CCTCGGGTTACAGAAACTTCAGGTTACAAACTCCGTTAACCCAGAAATAGTGCTTCAGGTTAAGAACTTTGCTTCAGGATGAGAACAGAAATCGTGCTCCGGTGGCGCGGCAGCAGCGGGAGGTCCCATTAGCTAAAGTGGTGCTTCAGGTTAAGAACAGTTTCAGGTTAAGAACGGACCTCCGGAACAAATTAAGTACGTAACCAGAGGTAGTCTCAGGACTGTGAAGGTTTACTGCTGGAGAAGTTAGTTTCACTTCTGTGTGTTGCTTTTCTGTACTGGTGCTCAGAGAGCACAGACATGCTGATGGATTCTTTGTATATAGACTGTAAATAAAGTAGTTTTAGAGCTACTAATTGACTCTTTCTTCTGCAATGAGATTCCAGAAGATGAGTGTGCTCCTCTCAGGAGGGAGGGGTTCCTTATCACCGGTCTCTCTGGACTGAGGAAGATTTACAGCCAGAGAGTGACCACCGGAGAGACGCCCCAAGTGTCTTGGGAAGGTGGTGGCCTTCCCGGGCGTTTTTTCCAACACGACGCAAATCCTGACAAACCACTGATAAACTTCCGATCTAAGGCTCCAGTCTAAGTCATGTGGGGCTGCTTCTGGAAGATGAAGATGCAGCCCTTTGCTGTGGCTTTCTGACAGCTGGGGTGTACATTTTAGGATGCACCTTATTTTTGTGACTGTATGTTGTTTTAAACTTTTTAAACAAGAAGGTGGTTGTGACACAATAAAACAAAACAAAAAGTTATACTGCAGTGACATCCGAAGGCGAAAAGAGGCGAAAGGAAGGACATGTCTTTTGAAAGTTAACTTTTCAAAGATTTGCTGGCCAGGCATGAAAGCAAAGCCCCGGAGTGGGCGGCTCTGCTCAGAAACTGCCCTTGGAAATCCCACCTGCAAGGAAGGAATGCTGCCCCCTCCCTCCTTCCCACACAGCCCCTTTGAACCTCACAAAGGAGCACCTGAGCATCTGGCAAAGGATGCGGAGAAATGACTGATTGCTGGACAAAGACCTCCGTCTTGGAGAATGCCTGCGCAAGCCTCTAAAGTAAACACCCCCCTTGTGGAGAGGCCCCTTTACAAGGCAGCTGGGGAATGCAAACCAGAGGAACTGGAAGGCCTCATAGCCACCTCCAGCCTCTGAATCAGCACCCCTGGGCAGCGGAAGAGCATGTGCCCACACTGCCCAGGTCAGGTGCACTCCCGAGGGAGGCGGGACACGGAGGGTGCCCTCCCAGGGGCAGGATAGCTGCTCGGGTGCCCAGAGCAGAGCGCATGCCCTGCAGTCAGGAGGTGGAGCAAGCCACCCAGGGCGGACATTCGGCGTGCCGCCCGCCTGCGACTCCCAAGCCACCCCAAGCTGTCAAAACAAAGGGGGAAAGGGGGAATGCCACCAGCAAAGCAGCGCAGCTCCTCCCCTTCCAACTGTTAACGGAGAAATCTGGGGGCTCTCTTGGACAAAAAAACAAGGATACCAGCCAGGAATACCAGAGCAAAACAGCAGCCAGTAGGCTTGGTCTTGATTGAAGACTGTCGCGACAGGACTCCCACCTGCCACCAGGTGGAACAAGATGGAAGCCCCGAACAAAAGAGCCCCCAAACTTTTATTAGCTGCTAATCCCCATGTTGCAGTTTCCATGTGCTGCCCTGGTTCGCCAGAAGCGGCATAGTCATGCTGGCCATGTGACCTGGAAGCTGTACGCCGGCTTCCTCAGCCAATAAAGTGAGATGAGCGCTGCAACCCCAGAGTCCTTTACCTTAATCCCCATGTTACACCCCCCCCAAACTACATCACGGTTACATCATGAAAGGGGAGGTCTGGGGGCAGTAATCTGAGCATCCTGGACCCTGCCCCATGGTTCCCCTTGCCCTCCACCAAACACCCATGGAGTGGAACAAGAGATATTTACATTTCCCAGCCAAGTTCATCCCACTCTTTTGTCTTCATCTGGGTTTGTTATTTCTGGAATGGCTACCTGTCTGGCACTCAGGTATGAGGATGCCAGGGATTATCCCTCAGGCAGAGGGGCTGCTGAGGAGCTGAGGGTTTCCCAGTGAGCCAGTACAGAGATACATTTATCAGTGAATTGTTCCATTTGGTATCGTGCAGCAGAGGTCCTTTGAATAGATAGGAAGAAACCATGAAGTGTTTTGTGGGGACAAGCGATTGTGCTGGTTTTGGTAGTGGGCTGCATGTGCATGAGATCTGCTGGAGGGGCAACCCCCCTCCAACCCTTATATAAATTCCTGCAACACCCCAATGGTACAGGGTAGGCTTGGGAGTCATGGGCGGTCGGCGAGCCAAATGTCACCCCCCTCAGCGAAGACACCCAGGGTGGTCTGCCCCCACCGCACCCCTTCCTCTGCCCCCACCCCTGGGTGGTGTGGGGGGGCTGGGAGGGCCAGGCACAGGCCTGGTCTGGATGCTGCTCTTAAGATCCAGCCCACAGCCTGGGGGGGCAGTTTTAAGGACTTTGCATGTCCTTGAGGATGTGTCTATGGAGACAAGGGGGCCTGGAAAACCCACCCCCTCCACCTGCCCTCAAAGGTGTGGGAGCTTTGTGTTTTCAGCAGGAAACTGTTGGAGCAGTGGGAGCTCCTGCTTCTCCTTCAAAATAAATGTGGTCAGTTCCAAGTGTGGTGGTCGAGAGCACAAATGATGCCTCACGCAGAGCCCAGAGGGGCTTCTGACCATCCTTAACTGTCCTGAGCAAATCTGAAGAATCATGAATTGTGCAGGCTGTTTATGTTAGCCAGATTTAATATGTTTCCCTCGATGACAGTGAAAGGAAGATATTTAGCTCTCCCAGAATCAGAGCGTCTCTGCAAATGTAGTAAACAGGAACCGGATACTTTGGAGCGTATTTTCTTTCCTTGTGATTTTGGCATTTATGCCAGAAGACAATTATTAGAGGCCTTACAACTCAATAGGCTGATTTCTATGCTACCAACGGTTCAGGGCCTGCTTTCGGACAGGAATGATCAAATTACTTTAATAGTGGCTGAATTTTTGAGTGCTGTCCATGTAGAAAGACTGGGTCATTATAAAGAAAATTGGCGGTTCTTAATTGATCAGGGATTTGGTAGTGCTGTATTGTATTATTTATGCAAATTGATTTTCTCTGGAGTTAAAGATCTGACCGGGACAAATCTTGTTTTGTTGAGCTCGTATTTTGCACAATTTGTATATGGTGTCTGTCTGATAATGTGTGGTTTGCTATGCCTAATAAAGGATCATATTATGTTATGTTATGTTATGTTATGTTATGTTGTTATGTTATGTTATGTTAAAAAGGTAAAGGTACCCCTGCCCGTACGGGCCAGTCGTGACCGACTCTAGGGTTGCGCGCTCATCTCGCTCAAGAGGCCGTGAGCCGGCGCCGTCCGAAGACACTTCTGGGTCACGTGGCCAGCCGTTTACCTTCCCGCTATAAAGCGGTACCTATTTATCTACTTGCACTTAAGGGTGCTTTTGAACTGCTAGGTGGGCAGGAGCAGGGACTGAGCAACGGGAGCTCACCCCGCCGTGGGGATTCAAATCGCCGACCTTACGATCAGCAAGTCCTAGGCACTGAGGTTTTACCCACAGCGCCACCCGCGTCCTTATGTTATGTTATGTTATGTTATTAACTGTCCTGAGCTCTGCATCTTCTGCCCCAGGAGGGGCAAGGGGCAGCTCCACTAGATGGAGGGTCTCTCTAGCAGGACCCCCCCCCCGACAGACAGCAAATCTTCCAAGGCTCCTCTGCGCGCACACAGAGTATGTGCAACACAAGCAGCTCTGAGAGGAGAGGTCACACACCCTTGAGTTTTCCCCATGAAGGAGAAATCCAGCAGCTGCTCTCGGTGGAGCTTCAGTTCCAACCAGGACCCAGAAACCCTCAAAAAGTGAGTGACAAAGGCAGGTAGCTCCGTCCCCCGCTGGGTGCGCACTTGGGTGTGCAAGAAATCACGCAAGGACTACAACTGGCATCCACATTAAGCAAACATCCCCCAATTTCTGCTCAAAAAGGGGATGCCCTGATTTAGAAGGGCTGTTTTGTCGGGAGGTTGGGGGTCAGCTGGGGTGATGCAGAGTCCCTTCCAATTCTTGGGGTCCTGTATCCAAGGAGAGTTAGAATGACAGAGAGGTTGCCGTACTAGTCAGGCACTGTGAGACCATGGCCGTATCTGCCCAAGTGTCCTCATCAGCATCACAAAAGGATGAGCTGGGATGCAAGAGCTTCCACTAAGTGAGGGGGCCCTCCAGGCTAATGGGGGGGGGCTTTTCTTCCCCTGCCCCTTGCTGCTAGGCAGGAGAACAAGAGCCAGAGTGAGAGAGAGAGAGCGCTATGGAAGCTGAAGACCATGAACTCTGTTTGCTCTGTGCTGGATCCAAAGCTGTGACTAATGGAGACGCAAGATCTATTGGGGTGTTAATGCTGGGAGCCCCTCTGTCACCGGGATCAGGCTGTGTGGATGAGTAAAAAAGCCATATATCTGTGGGCCTCCGATGATCTTCATTCCCAAGAAGCTGAGTCCTTTGTAAGCAGCTGGAACCCCTGGCATCTCTCATCGCCTGGAGACTTGGGGTGGTGAGCAACCGGATTACCCGACACCACCAGCTTCTCCCTGCAGGAGTCTGGCCACCAGGATCTTGTGGGCTTCGCAGAGAGAGCCGTTTGGGGCAAAAGGGGCCAAGACCCTCCTCTGGCGCTGCTTCCATGCTGGGCCTGAGGCCGGAAGGCAGGCCAGCTCCGGGCCATTCGGGTGTGTTGTGGACCCTTTTTCCGGGAAGACCATGCTAGCCCTGACCTCCTCCCCTCCTTCCAAGGGTGAAACCCCCGGGAGAGCCTGGCCCCCATCTGGGGGGGGGGGTCAAGAGCAGGAACAAAAGACACAACATGTGGGAGGGGGACGAGGATCCTTCTGCAGCACCCCCCCAGCCCAACCATTTGTCTTCCCCAGCTGCAAAAACGACACAAACAGGGGAACTTGCTGGTTGCAGCTTTATTCAGCCCACAGACTTGGAAGCGAAGCTCAGAATCATCCCAGCCAAAAAACCCTCCTTCCCAGGGGAGATCCGAGGGGCTCCAACTGCAGGGCCAGGGCCACCTGCCCACTCTGCCCGAGGCCTTGGGGGGCCACAAGGCCCCACAGCTGGCCACTGGAGTGGTTTCGGTGGTGGTGGTGGGGGGTTGAGAGAGGAGCCCGGCTTGGGACCAGGCAGAGAGTGGAGGGTCTCCCAGAAGCCTAGAGGGGAGGGCATAGAAAGGCCTTGGCCAGGTAGAAACTGCTGGGGCCCCCAGACAAAGTGGGGCTGGCCCTCCTGGTGCTGGGGGGGGGGAGGCTGGAGGAGGAAAGGCCAAGTAGCGAACAAGCCCAGCTCAGCCAGAAAACCCCCAGAGCACCCCTTTCCAAAGCGGGAAGAGAGGAATTTGTGGGGGCAACTGCAGGGCTCTTCCCCCTTCATTCCAGCTTACGGTGCCCAGCTGCAAACCTCAGGCCACGCTGCCCCCTGGTGGGAAGAAGAGGAGTGGCAGGTGCAGCTCATCTCCCCTCACATGGGGTGTGGGGGCCCCCCTGGAGCGCATGGCATGGCTGACCTAGGCTCATTCAGTTCAGTGGGTCTACCCTGAGCAGGACGAGCGCTGAATGCCGCTTGCATGCAACGCCTGCTCCCCACGGAGGGAGCCTTTCAACTCCCCCTCTTGCCCCACGGCTGACAGAGACTGCCCCCCTGCAGACCCCCTGGTGAGGAGGGGGCCCATCACGCTCTCTCCTGGGCCAGGCGGTAGTCATAGAGGCTCCCTCGCTCCAGGAAGGGCCAGCCTCTGGGGGGGGCTGCCTGCCCTTTGGGGGGTCCCGGGGGCGCGGCAGGTGGTCCGAAGCCCCCTCCTCCCGGGGTCTGCAGGCAGAAGACGTCCTGAAGGGAAGGAGAAGGGAGACGTTTGGGGTGGGGCAGAGGAGGAACTCCGTGCTGGGGGGAAGGTCCCCCTGGGGGGCAGGCAGGCAAGGAAACCGAGATGGGTCTGGGGGTCCAGGGCCAGGAGCAGGGGGAGGGGGTGCGCATGCACGGACCGGATCCTTACCCCAGGCATCACTTTCACAGATGTCTTGCCGCCCAGGTTGATGGTGTGGCCGTCCTGTCGAATCAGCAGGTTGAGGCCTGGGGAGCCAGACTCACCCCCTGGAATCAGTGGGGTGGGGGAAGAAAGTCATTACAGCGGGGGGGGGGGGAGTCCCAAAGAGCCAAACTGAGAGGGCAGGGGGAGTTGGGGGGTGCCTCTGTTCTCTGCCCATGACACAACCCTCCCCCCAGATTCAGCCAAGGCTCCCCGTCCCCACAGAGTACCCCTCTCTGACCCCACCCACAAAGCCACCTGGGCGGAAGGTGGGGGGCGAGCGATGGGAGCCGGGAGCCCCCTCACCTTGCAGGCCGTAGGGGCGGAAGGCCCGCCTCTCGCTCAGCACCGACAGCACCATCTCCTCCCGGAACTGCAGTTCCCGACGCACCCCGTCTCCACCTCGGAAGCGCCCGGCGCCCCCGGTGCCCGGGGCCAGCTCAAAGCACCTCAGGACCACCGGATACCTTGCGGGAGGGAGGGAAAGTGGTGGGGGGTCATTCAGGAAATGCCACAAAATCCCCCCCCTTAAGAAGGGTGAGGGGCTGCAGAGACGGGGGCTGAGAGGGACCCTACAAAGGTTTCAAACTATAACTCCCACAGCTCACAGGAATTGAAGCCCCAAACGTATGGAGGGTCCTGTGGGTCTGGGGGCACAGCAACAGCCCAGGTCTTTGCTGTGGCTCTTGCCTTGCAGGGGTCAGACTAGAGAACCCTTGGGGCGCCCTTCCAACTCGGCAGTTCTGTGATCCACACTGCAGGTCATCCCAGAGTGAGCCTCCCAGGGGGCTCGGCTAGATGCCCGGGAAAGGAGACGGAGCCCACCCTGATCCCCCCTCCTCCCCCCAGACCCCTGGAGGCCCCCCCACCCTCCCAGAAAGCACCCACCGCTTCTCCAAGATCTCGGGGTCCGTGATGCGGGTGTTGGTCATGTGGCTGTGCACCCCACTGCGGCCGTGCCAGTGGGGCCCTGCCCCACACCCGCCAGCCACCGTCTCGTAGTAGCCGATGCGCTCGTTGCCAAAGGTGACGTTGTTCATGCAGCCCTGGGGAGAGGGAGGGGCCGTGAGGAAGACGCCCCCCAGCCCCTGAGAGGCCAAGGCCCCCGGCAGCCCCCAACCGCCCCCCCATCTAGACTCTTCCCGGGGGATGATGGGAAACGGGAGCCACGCTTGGCCTCCCCCTCCCCACCCCCTTCAGCTGGAGAGCCCCCACCTCGCCCTCTCAGGCCCACCCCGGCTTGGCCCACCCTCACCTGTCCCTCCTCTCACCTGAGAAGCTGCGCAGGCCTCAAAGGCCCGGAAGATGACGTCGACCACCCTCTGGGAGGTCAGGACGTTGCCCCCGACCACGGCTGCGTCTGGGGAGGGGTCCAGCAGGGAGCCTTTGGGGATGAGGATCTGCACGGGCGCCAGGCATCCCTGCGGGGAGGGAAAGATGCCAAGGACCAGCCTGACCAAGAGGGCAAAACCCAAGCAGATGGGGGGCACACTATGGGGGCCCCAGGCACTCCGGCACTCTGTCCAGCACTCTGACCACTACGTCACACTGCCTCCCCCAAGGGGGTCAGGATCCCCGTCTTTTGAGTGCGGCCATCCCTCTCCTGGGGCTGGAAGGCTCCTCTGAGGGCAGGGCTCCTCCCCACTCCTTTCCGCTGGGGGGAGGCGGGACCCCCCCGGCCCCTGGCCTGCCCCCCAGGGGCCGCTCTCCTCCCCCTGCCCTACCTGGTTGAGGGGGATCTCCTGGCCCACCATGCAGCGCAGGCAGTAGATGAGGGCCGAGAGGGTGATGGCGCGAGGGGCGTTGCAGTTGCCGTAGACCTCGTGGCCGGAGCCCCGGAAGTCAAAGACAGCCGTGCCCTGCGGGGGGAGAAGAGAGGAGGCTGGGGGAGGAAAGGGGGAGAGGCAGGGGTCCCGCCCCCCCGCCTCTTGTGGGAGGGAGTCCCACAGATGAACTCTGTGCTACACAAAGCACTTTCTCTTCTCTGTCCTGAATTTCACAACAGTCATCTCCCCTGATTGTCCACAAGTCTGAGCGTTACGAGAAAGAGAGAAAAGCTTGTTGGGATACTGCCGGGAAGATGGGGGCATCAGGCAGGCCCCCAGCTGGCTCCAGCCACCGGCCGGCAGCCGGGCGATCACCGGTCTCCCTTGGAACAGCATCAATCAGCGACACAAGCCTCAGATACGTTTAGAGACTTGGCACGCTCTATCAGCAGAGTGAAGAAATCTTCTCACAACGGAAGTGGCGGACAGAGCCATGGGTAAGCATATTGACAGCATTTATTCCGCATAGTTCAGGAACAAAGGAAAAAACCTGTCTGCTTCCCTTTGTGTCCAGCAAAACAGCAAAAGCAGTATACAAAACGGAAGTTCCCAGCAAGCCTGTGCTGGAAGTAAACAGGCATGTGACACACAACAGTCATGCCTGTTCCCTTTTTAAGGTGGAACGGAACTATATCCTAACAAAGCTTTCCTCTCTCCATCATTTGACAAACTTTTTCCCTGCCTCCTTTTGCCCCCCTTCTCTCGAAACTACAAGGTCCCAAAGGCTGCCGCCTTTCTTCCATCCATCCCCTGCTTGATCCTTTTGGCTGCCCTTTCCTGAACTTTTCTCAGCTCAACAAATCTCCTTCTGGAGGTGAGGAGACACAGCATCCCCCCTGAGCCACCTGCGCTCACCTGCTGGGGATCCACCGTCACCTTCAGGCGAATGGGGGAGCCATCGTCCAGGAAGTCCTCCGCCTCCACCTGCAGGGGGCGTCCCGGCTCCCCCTGGCGGGCGGCAAAGTCCTTCAGCATGTCTTGCACGGCCACTTCTGCGTTGGCCTGGGGGGGGGCACAAAGGACAGCAGAGACTTGGGGGTGGTCCTGCAGGTCTCTCTCCCCCTGCCCACTTGCCCACCCGAGTCCAGCAGGCTCCTCCGCCCACCACGCTCTCCAACCTGCGCCCACGGCGGAACTGGGGAGGCGTTTGGGTGTTTTGTGACAACCGTCCAGTGGCATCTGTAACATTGCTCTGGCTTTCCGTTTTATACTGAGGGCTGCTCTGGAAAGGTTTGGGTTGAAATACGTGAAATTATACGCACATATAACCCCATGGATTAAGGAAGGCCTTGAGGGTGTTATTGCACACTTCTAATAGGATTCCAAGGTGGGAGTTTGGGATGCAGACCAACATGCAAGGATGTCGGGATTCACAGAATGCTGTGTGAGATAGTAAGTCTGCAGGCTTGAGTCTGCAAGCTGATGCAAGTGGCTGATGCAATCAGCCTGCAATACTTTCTATGCAAGTGCTGGGTCAGAAAGATTTGCAGTAATGTGCTGTCAGTTGATTGGCTGTCATCGGTTTAAAAGGGAAACCTGTCCAGCAGTAAGTGGTGGTATAGAAGAGTGTGGTCAGAGAGATAGAGAGAGATAGAAAGGTCTTCCTATTTGCCTAAAGACTAGGGCCCTGTGGGACTTGACATTTTTCCGCAGGGCCTGCAAGACTGAGCTGTTCCACCAGGCCTTTGGCCAAGGCATAGCCTGACCCCCATCAATTTGATTTGAACTGATTTTAGAATGAATTGATTTTAGAATACTGTGTTACTTTTATTGTTGTTAGCTGCTCTGGGCCCGGCTTCGGCTGGGGAGGGCGGGATATAAATAAAATATTCTTATTCTTATTCTTATTCTTATTCTCATGTATTATAGCCCGTAGATTATTGTATATATTTGTGTATCTATAGCTCACAATAAATATACTGCACTACACTGAAGAACCTGGAACTCTGAGCTAAAGCACCGCGGAGAATTCGTGACAGAGGACCATGTTTGGGACGGGGGGGGGGAGGGGAGACCCGCAGCAGCTGCTGCTTCCAGCCCTGGATCTGCAAAGGAAACGGATGGCTCCGTCCCTCCAGTTTACAATAATATCCACATACGAAAGCACATGGCAAAATCTCGGAAGGAGGTTGTTCAGCCATCCCTCAGGGATTCTTTAGTCGCAACTGCTGCCTTGCAGAGGGTTGGGCTGGATGACCCACGGGGTCCCTCCCAGCAACGGTCAGAGGCTGTCCACTCCTAAAAGCCTCTCTCATTTCCAAGGGCCGATTTAAAGCCCCCCAGCCCCCCGCCCTGCGGTCTTCCTGCTCACCTGGATGTGAGCCATGTAGGCCTGCACCACTTCTAAGCCATACTGGCCAATCAGCTCGTTCACCAGCTGGATCCCCTTCTGATTGGCTGCCACCTGAGCGCGAAGGTCAGAGAGGTTGTCCTGCAGGTTGCGCGTGCCGCTGCTGCCGGGGAATCTGGCGGGAGCCATCAGGGCCTCCGTGACGGCTGCGGGGGGAGCGGGTGGAGGCAGGTGAGCCCCCCAGCACGGCTGGCGGGGCAGGGAAGGTCAAAGGCCACCAGTGGGCAGAGAGACCCCTTGATTCTCCCCCTCCTTGGCTCAGCCCCCACATACCCTCCTCCTGGAAGACGCCACCCTTGACCAGCTTGAAGGAAATGAAGACGGCCCCCTCCTCCTGGAGGGAGCGGGAGTGGGGGGGCATGGAGCCCGGCGTGATCCCCCCAATGTCCGCATGGTGCCCCCGGCTGGCCACAAAGAAGACCGGCCTGGCCTCTCCTGGCCAGAAGACCTGCGATGGGTAGGAAGAACGGAGCAGGCTTAGTCCACGGAGAGCGGGCATGGGGCAGGGCCGTGGGGCAGGGATGGAGGGAGCCACAGGGCAATGGGGGGAGCTCCTAGGACTGCCACCCCCCAGCTCCAAGGGCACTGGGCTCCCCAACCCTCCCCAGTCCTGAAGGGGCCCAAGCCACACACCCGGGCACGGCTGTCGGACTGCCAGGGCAGAGATGCCAGCCCAGGCTGCGCCCCAGGATGAAGACCCCTGCCCGCCGAGAGACCCCAACTCACAGGGGTGATGACGGTCAGGTCCGGCAGGTGGCTGCCCCCCGCGCAAGGGTGGTTGCTGAGGAGAACGTCCCCCTCGTGGAGGTCGGAGCCCAGGTTCCGGATCTGGAAGGGCAGCAGGAAAGAGAACGGGCAGGGGGAGGGAAGCAGGGGCTCCCCAGGGCCAAAAGGGGCAGTTCCTCCGGCCCCTGAGTCCTGAAGTCCCAAGACCTGGAGGAGGGAGCTCTGGCCGCCAGTAGAGTCCAGCTGCTCCATCCAGGCAGTGTGACCTAGTGGTCAGGGTGCTGGGCTAGGGACTGGGTTCAAATCCCCACCTGACCGTCATGGCCCGGGGGAACCAGCGGCTCTACATTGAGCTCCTTGGAGGAAAGGCGGGATTCAAAGGGGATAAAGAATAAGAGAGAGAGGGACACTTTCCATTTTCCCATTTTTTGGAGTCCCAGCAAAGGAAGAATGGAATATGCAGAAACGGCAAAACTCACCGGAAGAATAAGAAATCAAGATAACAAACATTTTATAAAAGAATGGAAATGGTTTATTGAATATTTGCAGATAAGTTATAAACAGATAAAAGCAATGTCAGCTGCAGCTATATAAGAGCAGCTACCGTATTTTTCGCCCTATAGTGTAGCAGGAAACTCCCCCCCCCATCATTCAGTTTGTACAAACTTCACACGTACTCACACTCACACACTACATATGCTACGCTTCTGTTATAAATTCATAGAAAATCAACCATACATCGGATTTGCACTGTTCCACTTTTATTTTACTCCATGAAGGAAGGTTTGATACAGGGCAGCCATAATCCCTTGACCATACCAGCACATCCACAGGAGCCCTGCCCAGTCGCTATGCCAACCCTGATGGTCCTAGACAGAAGACCATCAAGATCACAAAGAACTTGCATATGGGAGTGGATTCAGCACAGACTGGAACAAAGGACAATAATCAGCTCTTCCCTCTGGGGGCAGGAAACGGCAAACTCCCCTTTGTCCTATGGAAATGACTCATGGGGAGGGGGAAAGGGGGAACCAGCCAGGTGACAGGACACTCAGGTTACCACCACCACCCCTCCCTCAACCCCTCCTTTCTGTGATGTATGCATGATGTTTCTGGGGGTGGGCTTGATCTACAGGAGGGGAATTTCAAAAGTCTTTATAAGGCCTTGCACACCATTTTTCTGGGTCCCTCCTCTTTCCTGCAAGTGAGGGGAGCACCCTGTTGCAACAGTTCAATAAAGGCCAAGCCTACAGGCTGCTGTTTTGCTCCAAGTAATCCTGGTTGGTGTCTTTGTTTTTGTCCAAGGGAGCCCTCAGATTTTTCCGTTAACATAGGACGCACTTTTTCCCCTCCAAAAATGAAGCGGAAATGTGTGTGCGTCCTATGGGGCGAATGCAGGCTTTCACTGAAGCCTGGAGAGCGAGAGGCGTCGGTGCGCACCGACCCCTCTCGCTCTCCAGGTTTTAGGAAGCTATCCGCAAGCCCGCCGGGCTCCCAAGGCTTGCGGGCAGCAGCCTGCAGCCCAAAGCACGGGGCGCACTCTGGAGCGCGCCCTGTGCTTCGCACAGATGTCCACAAGCCTTGCGAGCAACAGCCTGTTCTGGGGGCTGGGGAAGCTCGGGCTTCCCCTGCTCCCAGCCCCGCAAGCTCTGGGAGCGATGGCGAGGTTCAGCACAACCTCGCCTTCACTCCCGGACCCCCAGCCCCGAGGCTAAAAACGAAGCCAGGGCAGCTAGCGGGATCCATCTCGCTCGCTGTCATGGCTTCTTTGCTCTTTGGGGCTCAGGGGGGAAATGATTTTTTTTCTCTTTATTTCCCCCCCTCCCCCCAAAAAATAAGTGTGCTCTATGGGCCGGTGCGCCCTATAGGGCGAAAAATACGGTATATAAGAGTGTATATATATATATATATATATATATATATATATATATATATATAAAAATAAATGATCAGTTTGGATGTGCAGAAGATATTAAAAATAAATCTAAGGAACCGCAGAAAGAGGGGGAAGGAAGTCAAGTTCTAAAATGTCAAAATGAATGTAAAATAAGTGAAATGTAGATATCTGGAAAGTATAATTTAAAAAAAAAAAAAAAGACTAAGAGAGGCTGCACTGGGGCCCAAAGCCCATGGCAACTCAAGACCATATATGAAAATACATATAGGGTTATGGATAGAAAGCGGGGAGCCGGGCGCCTTGGCCCCCTCCCTGGCTTGGGTGCAGCTTCGCAGAGTTACCTTGTGGAAGTCTGGGGGGGCGGCTTACCTGAAACTGCACCGTCTCCTGCATGGCGCCCAGGTGGACCGGGATGTGGGGTGCGTTGGAGACCAGCCCCCCATCGGGGCCAAAGAGGGCGCAGGAGAAATCCAGCCTCTCCTTGATGTTGGTGGAGATGGCTGTGCGCTGCAGGATGCGCCCCATCTGCTCTGGGGGGGGGGGAAGGGTCAGGGTTTTTAATATTCTGTTGGGAGCCACAAAGAGCGGCTAGGAAAACCCAGCCAGATGGGCGGGGTATAAGTAATAAAACTATTACTATTAATTATTATTATTACAGTATTATTATGATTCCCCCCTCCCGCCAGGAATCGTCTCCAAGGAGACACTCTCCTAGCCCCCCCCCCCCGGGCAGAGCACACCCCTTGCTCACCTGCAATGCTCATGAAGCGATGGGAGAAGATGGAGAGTTGGATGGGGTCTATCTGGGGGCCAACGGGGCGCTCCGACCCGGAACCCACAGCGATGCAGATGTCTCCGAGTCGGGTCACAGAGGCCGTGCAGGCGGGCTCCACGAGGATGGTGCTGGGCGGGGGGCACAGAGGTTGTAGCGCGTCTCCTTCTGCCCCAACCCCCCTCCCGCCTCTCCTTGGAAGGAGCCCCCACTCTGGGTGCCCCACAGCCAGCCAGTGCCAAAGGCTCATGGACTCATTGCAGGGCAGGGATGAAGGCCCCCCCTCACCTGTTCTTGTCAATGATGATGCTGGGACCAGGGATGGAGTGGCCCCAGGTGAGCTCCTCCAGCAGGTAGACGCTGGTGTCCAGGTAGCCACCCTCAAAATAGCAGCGGGACACCTGGGGGGCAGACAGTGGGGCTGGATGGTTAGTACTAAGGACTGTTGGTTTAACTATTGCAGTTGAGCTTCCTGCATTGCAGGGGGTCCGCCCCAACGCTGCAATTCTACCATTCTAATTTATTGCCCCCCTCCACCCGGAGTCCCAGGGTGAGTTGCACCACCAAAAGCAACTTTCAGCCTTGGAAATGAGGAGTAAGGAAGCTTAGGGATTTAAGCTGCTTTCCGGAAGCAAAGAGCGGTGCGGCAGAAAACATTCCTTTTCTATTTCTGACCCACCCAGAGAGGAAGAAGGACAGAACCAGCAGAGTCCAACGCAAGAGCCCCAAGCTGTTGGCAGCTGGGTCTGGGGGGGACCAGGCCCCTCTCCCAAAGCCCCAGCACAGACTCTGGGGGTCCCTGCCTGCTCCCCAGGCTGGCCTGTTGTATTTGCAAACAATTGGATCCAGTCATACCTGGGCTCCCAAACGCCTTGGGAGTCGAATGTTCCAGCTCCCAAACGATAGGAAACCGGAAGTGAGTGTTCCAGTTTTCAAATGTTTTTTGGGAAGCCGTACATCCGCTGCGGACACCGCTATTGTTTCCGCCACACCTGCGCAACCAGGAACCAATCAGAAGCCACCCCTTGGTTTCCTAACTCTTCGGAAGTCAAACAGACTTTCGGAACAGATTCCGTTCGACTTCTGAGGTACGTCTGTATTGCAAAAAGGTCACCCATGTCTCCAGGACCTAATCCTGCCAGAGAAACGGCGCCCTGCACTCCCCATCTTCCTGCCCCACAGCTCTGCGATTGTCTGCTGGGACATACCGTATTTTTCGCTCCATAAGATGCACCTGACCATAAGACGCACATAGTTTTTAGAGGAGGAAAACAAGGGGGGTGGGGAATGTTCTGAACAAAACAGTGGATGTATGATTTTTGTGGTTCATACTGTGGCCACAGACATGTGATTTGACAGTGAGTTTGGGGTAGCCCAATGCAAAATTCCTGAGAATCCATGTCAATCTGTTCTTTGTAACCACGTTTTTGCGCTGTTTTGGCCCCACGCAACAGTGGATGCGTGATTTTTTTGGTGCAGGCTGTAGCCATGGACATGCTATGTGATCTGATGGTGAATTTGGGGTGACCCAGTGCAAAAATCCTGAGGATCCATGGGCTTTTACCTCCCCCCTCCCAGGCAGCCTCCTTTATCTCTAGAGTCCCTTATCTCCCTCCCGATCCCTTGCTGATAAGCTGCTCAGTGGCTTTGTTTCAACACTCCCTTCCCTCTTGTTTGCCTTAGTGTCTTTTCCTTAGCTGGAGCAATTTTTTGCTCCTCCTTTTCTTCTAATTTCTCTCCTTATTGCTTTAGTCTTCCTGTCTCCTCTCCTTGCAAGCTCACTGTCTTTTCCTCCCCCCTCCCAGGCAGCCTCCTTTATCTCTAGTGTCCCTTATCTCGCTCCCCGATCGCAAACGATCAGCGGTTTTGTTTCAACACCCACTTCCCTCTTAAAAAAAAAAAAAAGCATCATCTCCTTTTTGCCCCTGGACAATTCGACTCCAGGGACCCCGTGTTCGCTCCATAAGACGCATAGACATTTCCCCTTACTTTTTAGAAGGGGAAAAAGTGCGTCTTATGGAGAGAAAAATGTGGTATATTGTATCAGGAACTGCATGACCTTGAAAATAAGTGTCGCCTTCTGACGAAAGAGAGCGTTTGAAAGTGGGAGGGGGCTTTTCTCAGACTGCGGGTTCCAAAAGCACCTGAGCACCCAGCAGTCGGGGGAGTCCAGCTTCCCCCCCAACTCAGTGCCCCCTGGATGCTCTGGACTCCAGCTCCCATCAGCCCCTGGGCCAGGTGGGGCTGCCAGGAGGGGAGGAGCCAGAGTGCAGAGTTAAACTGCGGAACTCCCTCCCACAGGGACGGCTTTCAAAGAGGATTGCCCAAATGCACGGAGCAGGAGGGGGCTCTCAAGGGCAACCAGCCAGGAGGGGGCAGGGGCTGGGGAAGAGGGGCAGGGGGGTCCTCACCCTTTCCCGGCGGGGGGGCTGCTCACTGGCCGGCACCGGCTCTTCCTGGCCCAGCCCGGAGCTGGCCGTGCCCCTCACGCGCACGTCGTCCACCAGGACTGCTCGGCCGGGGATGGTGAAGCCAAACTCCTGCTGGTACCTGGGGGGCCAAGCGCAGGCTCAGGGGGGCGACTGCAAAGCATCTCCCGGCCCCCGCTGCAGAAAAGGGGCAGCCGGGCGCTTCCGAGCCGCGGTGCCAGGCAGGAGGGGAGCCCACTGACCTGGTGGCAAAGGCAGCGCCAAAGTCCCCGCTGCGGCAGGACTGGGCAGTGGCCGGGTAGCCCTTGGCGGAGCACATGAGGGCGCAGTCCGTGCGCTCGTAGCGAAGGTGCAGGAAGGGCTCCGTGCTGATCTGGGATCTGGGGAAGGCCAAGGGGAGGGCAGTGAGCAAGCGGCTGGCTGGGGGCTGTTTTGCCCAGCTCCCCGCAAATGTAACGCCAGCCCCCCTTTCTCACATGCAGCCCCCAGGACTCTGCCTTCCCCGGACAGCGGGCCGGGTTGCCCACAGCGGCCTGCAGGGCCTTCTCCCCGCAGGCACCTGCCCCGCCCTGCAGGGGTGGCGCTCACCTGGCAAAGCCCTGGGCCTCCAGAGCCTGCACGCACTTGGCCTCCAGGGCAGCGACTGTCTCGTCCAGCTGGGCGTAAGCCTCAGGGCCGTAGGCCAGGGAGCAGGGCTGCTGCGTCTCGTGAACCACGTCCGCCAGAGCCAGGCCAAAGGCGGACAGGATCCCGCTGTGCCTGCCGGGAGGAGGAAGGGAGCAAGTGAGTGGGGGGGGGTCTTCCTCTGCCAGGCCAAGCGAGGGGTCCTGGGGCCGGAGACCCCCCTCCTTTCCCTCCCCAGGGCACCTACTTGTGGATGAAGACCTTGCTCATGCCCAAGGCCCGGGCGATGGCACAGGCGTGCTGCCCGCCAGCTCCCCCAAAGCAGGCCAGGATGTGGCGGGACGTGTCGTGGCCCCGAGCCTGGAAGGACAGAGAGAGAGAGAAAGAGCAGGCACTCTCCCCCCACCCCACCTCCCACAGGGGGGCCAGGGAAAGGGTCCCCAGGCAGCAGGATCGGGAAAGGGAAGCTCTGACCCCCTTCTTCAAATATCTCAAGGGCCGTCCCATGGAAGGTGCCGTTAGTTTCTGTTTGCCACTGTGCAGCTGCTTAGAGTCACAAGACTCTGTTTACATTCCAGAGACATTCCAGGCTGTTGGAAGTCTCACGGAAGACAGGAGACGGATGTGATGCTACTGGTTTCCTGTTCCTTTGTTTTTCAGTTGCTCTCTGCTCTCACAGAGAGAGAGTAATTTCTTTTCTGTCCGCATAGCTAGAAAATAAAGCATAGCGATGTAGCCATAAATCTCATCACTTCCGCGTCCTGCTTTGATTCTCTACTGAATGGGAATGTGCCTGGAGCCTCATCAAAGTCTCAGGTTGTTAATCACGTCGGAGGAGCTTTATCACCTCAGGTTCCAACAGGTGCAGCAATCTACTGGAGGGTAGGACTTGAAACCATGCCTTCAAGTGACAAGGAAGGAGATTCCGGCTAAATGTCAGGGAGAGATTTCTGGCGGCAGTAAGAGCTGTTTGATGGAGGAAAGGACTCCTTTGGACGGTGCTGGGCTCCTTCATCAGAGGTTTTAAAGCGGAAACTGAATCAGATTCTTTCGCTGCAATTCCTGCATTGCAGGACTAGATGAGCCCTGGGTGTCCCTTCCAACTCAACAATTCTGTGAGTCTATGAAGCTGCTGCTGTTTGTGTGTAGGACCGTTCTCCCTCCGACAGCCTGGCCCCACAGCTCACCCCATCCCTCCTCCCTCCGAGCCCCCATGGCAGCCCCTGCCCTCCCGTTCCCAGGCTGGAGGGAATCCTTTGGAGCTCCTTAAAACAGCCCAGAAGTTGCAGCCCCAGAGAGCAGCGGCTCAGAGGTGCCTCCCCAGCCAACCCCTCAAGCGGCTGTTGAATCCGAGAGCTGCAGAGTCGGCTGGGACACCAAGAGTCATCTAGTCCAACCCCCTGCAATGGAGTGCCCAACATGGGGCTCGAACCCACAACCCTGAGATTAAGCACCTCCTGCTCTATGGACCGGGCTCTTGATATAATAATAATAATAATAATAATATTTATACCCTGCCCATCTGGCTGGGTTTCCCCAGCCACTCTGGGCAGCTTCCAACCGAATATTAAAAATCAGACTGCCTCCCACCCTTGGGGGGGGGGTCTCCCCCCACCCCCCCTTCTTACTAGGGGATTTCAGCCATCCTTAAGGAGCTGCGTCTGAAACCACTGAACCTTCCTTCCCTAGAAGCAGCCCAAATTTGGACGGGTAATCATTGTAGCATTCTTGAAACTGTCCAATCCAATTTTTTAAGGCAGATTTTTTTCTGTACCACCTTGTGTCCCAAATGCAGAATTACAACTGGAGGCAAGTCTTCCCTCTGTAGAAGCTTGGTCCTGGCAAAGAACTCTTAATTATTGGCTCCGTCTAAATCTCAATCCACCCGGTCTACTGGCCTTAGTGACACAAGACCCCCCATAAAAGTGTGTGGTCTAAAATTGTGCACCAAAAATCCCTCTCCTGCGGACTCCACCCACATCAGCTTCTCATGATGGGCTTTATTAAAGCAAAAAGGCTAATTGGACAGCGTCTGAAGGACTTAGAGCAACAGAGCAATCTGGCCATTATAAAGAAACTCTGTCCTTGGTATGCCTTCTTTTCCCCTTCTCAGTTTGATTCCCTGACACCATATCTGTATAAATTAACTATCCCAAAATACAGGCGTGCCTTCACACTGGCCAGATTGGATGTGATGCCCTCCGCAGTACTTGAGGGCAGATCCCAAAAGATTCCAACTGAGAAACGACTCTGCCCATGTGGAGATGGCAATCTGGAAACAGTGGGTCATGCTCTCTTGTCCTGTCCCCTTTATAAAGATCTGAGGGACGAGATCGTCACTCCACTCCTACTTACCATCCCAGGCCGCCCATCTGAGGCCACATTGGTCTTTCTTTTATTAGATCAAAATGGATCAGACAGCAGCAAAGGTTTATCAAGGGTGCAGTGAGATTAAGGGCCACTATCTGAACAATAATCTTGGCCATTGGTTTGCTGTCTTTTTTATTTGTATATATTTTATTTGTATATATTGCTTGTTTTATGTTGCTATGGCCATTGGCTAACGTGAATAGAGTTTATCTATCTTTGTGATCCCTAGAAGCAGGCCGAGGCTGCTGCCCCGATCCGCAAGTGGCCTGCTCTCCCGCCTTCCCACCTGGCAGCTGCCCCCCAGCCTCTGGGGCCACTCTGCTCTCTCTGCTCCCCCTTCAGGGGCTCCCAGAGCAAGCCAGGAGAAAGCCCCTCTTTCCCCTGGTGCAGAGAAGGGGGGGCTCTGCCCGGGAGCCTTGGCGCAGCCCCTACCTGCGTCAGGGCGCGGATGGGTCTGCACATGGCCTCGTTGGCCACGCGGATGAAGCCCATGGCCACCTCCTCAACGCTGAGTGGGGGGCTGGCCCCACGGAAGGCATTGACCCTGGCGGCCAGCTCCTCAAAGGCCTGCAGGGTGGCCTCCGGCGAGAGGGGGAGGTTCTCCGTGGGTCCAAAGATGTGGGGGAAGTAGCTGGGCAGGAGGCGGCCCAGGCACAGGTTGGCGTCCGTCACCGTCAGGGGACCCCCTGGGGGCACAGAGGGAGAGGCGCAGTCAGGCACCCACCGCCAGCACCCTGTTCCCCCCACGCACACCACCGCCCCCTGCCCCACACGGTTGCCTCACCCTTCCGGTAGCAAGCGGGGCCAGGATGCGCCCCGGCAGACTCAGGGCCAACGACAAAGAGCCCGGACCTGGAGGGGAGGAAAAAGAGAGAGGAGGAGATTAATTGACCACTGTGGCAAATGGGGGGTGGGGGCAAGGAGCTGCCAGGCCAGAGAAGGAGAAGAGTCTGCTGGATCAGGCCAAAGGGGTCCATCCAGTCCAGCAGCCCAAGGGGAAACCTGCATGCAGGATTGGAGCCAGGAGCACTTCTCTTCTCCTGCGGAGGCCGCGCAGAGGCCTCCTGGCCCCCTCCTCTTCCACGAAATTCTCCAATTCTCTTTCATCCTGGTAGGTAGCCGTCCTGTGGCAGGGAGTTCCACAGGTGAACTCGAGGCCTTCAACTTAAGGCAGGGAGAATGGGAGCGAAAGCCCGGCAGCAGGAACAAGTGAGGCAGGGCGTGGGCCCCAAGGAAGTGGCCCTCAAAGGAGGCGGGGGCCGTGGGGACGCCCACCCCATCGAAGGAAGATGGGACGGAGGCAGCTGGATAGGCAGGGGTCCAGCACCCAGAAGAGGGACCAGCACCCCACAGACCCCGGGGGTCAGGAGCCCGACCTGAAGAAGAGCCGCGAGCCCCCTCCGGCCGCTACGGTGTTGATGTCCAGCTGCGGGGCTTGGATGCTGACCCCGGCCGTCGTGGCCTCAAAGACGTGCTCATACTCCCCGGCGTAGCGGCTCACGTCGGTGGAGGTGCCTGGGCGAGAGACCCCAGGTGAGGGACCCGCCAGAACAGACCCACCCTGTTTTCTATTTTATTTATTTACTGAATTTATATACCACCCTATACCGGGAGGTCTCAGGTCTCACAGAAAAGACCGCAATACAGCGGACGCTCAGGTTGTGAACAGGATCTGCGCGGGAAGCACATTCACAACCTGCAGCGTCCGCAACCCGCAGCGGCACGTCTCACACGCGCGGGTTGCGATTTGGCACTTCTGCGCATGCGCAAAGCGCAATTTAGCACTTCTGTGCATGCGCGACCGCAGAAACCCAGAAGTAACCCCTTCCAGTACTTCTGGGTTTCAGCAGTCCGCAACCCAAAAAAACACAACCTGAAGTGGCTGTAACCTGAGGTATGACTGTATATAAATTCAAAATGAAAACAATAACCCAATAACGCTCCCCCTCAAAAAGAGCCACATTTCAAAAGGGTGTCGGATGTCCTCTCCACGCCCCGTGGTCCCTCTTACCTCCCATGTCAAAGCCAATGACAGGCTGTCCATCTTCTCGGCGGTAGGTGGTGACGGCATAGCCCACGACGCCCCCTGCTGGGCCAGAGAGGATGGCGCGGGAGCCGCTGAAGGCCTCCATGGGGGTCAGGCCCCCGTCAGAGCGCATGAACATGACCGGGACGCCCTACGGAGAGAGGCCAGGGGGCAGGGTAGACCAGGCTGAGGGGGGGCCCCATCTGGCGGTGCCCTTGCAGGGTGCCCCCCCAGCCCCTCTGCTGTGATACCCCCAAGGAAACTGGGTGCAAAGCAGACCAACCCTCTCCAGTTTCCAGAGGGAGAGAGGGAGGGAGGGAGACTGCCAGAGACAGAACTCGAACCCAGCTCTCCCCGGACAAGTCCTCCCCCGTTTCCCACCTGGAGCTGCTGAGCGAAGCCGTCCCGGAAGCTGCTGAGGTAGCGGTGGATGCAGGGCGTGAGGTAGGCGTCTGCGCAGGCCGTGTAGCCCCGGGGCACTGCCCGCACCATGGGCATCACCTGGGAGGAGAGGGAGACCTGCTGGAAGCCCAGCTCCTTCGCCAGGCACCCCACCTGACGCTCGTGCTCCGGCCACCTGCGGGGGGAGGAGATGCTCAGCGCTGCTCACGCTCCGCCCTGGGAGCCAACGCGGGACTTGGCCTCTTTCCGCAGGTCCTGCAAGACAGAGCTGTTCCGCCTGGCCTTTGGTTTGGACTCAGTCTGACCCCTTATGGCTTTGACTTTTAAAATGAGGCTGCATTTTAAATTGCATTTTAACCTATATTTTAAATTGGTTCTTTTCCTATTATGTTTTTACTGTAATTTTACTGGTGTTAGCTGCCCTGAGCCCGGATCTGGCCGGGGAGGGTGGGGTATAAATAATAATTATTATTATTAATTTGTTACGGAGCAGCCCCTGCTTTTCTTCTGAAGCTGCCTAACTGTCTTGGCCGTCGCTTTCTCGGGGGCTCTGGTCTGGATCAGGCCAAAGGGGGCCCATCCAGCCCAGTCTCCTCCTCTCCCAGTGGCCGACCAGATGCCCCACAGGGAAACCAGAAGCAGGATCCGGGCCCAAGAGCAGCTCTCGGCTCCTTGGTTTCCAGCAACTGGGATTCAGAAGCACGCCAGCCGCCAACCAGGGGGCAGAGCATCACCATCCCGGCCGGGCGCTCTGCAAGGCCTCCTCTTCCTCCTCCTCCGTGAATCGGGCCCATCCTCCTCTCATCCCTCCTGCAGGACCAAGTTCCAGAGTCGGACTCTGCGCTGCGTGAAGACGGGCTTTCTTCCTCTGCCCTGAATCTTCCAACATTCAGCTTTATGCCGTTTGCCAATGTAGACATAGCTCAGCACAAGACTCCTAATCTCAGGGCTATGGGTCCGAGCCCCACGTAAAAGATTCCTGCCTTGCAGGGGATCCAGTGATCCTTGGGATCCCTTCCAGCTCTGCAGTTCCACGACTGCACTTCCTTCACTTCCTTTTCCGCTGAGGCTGCCTAGCTGGCTTGCCTGCCGGTTTCTGCTGGCAAAGGGCTGGACGTGGGTTGCGAATAAAGGCTCTGGGGCTGGAGAGGAACTAGGCTGTGTCCAGGGCAGCTGTCTGCCAGCTCCATCTGGTACGCAGGATGAGACCCTCCCTGCCCTCAGACTGTCTTGCTAGAGTGGTGCATGCTCTGGTTATCTCTCGCTTGGACTACTGCAATGCTCTCTACGTGGGGCTCCCTTGGAAGGTGACTTGGAAACTACAACTAATCCAGAATGTGGCAGCTAGACTGGTGACTGGGAGCGGCCGCCGAGACCACATAACACCGGTCTTGAAAGACCTACATTGGCTTCCAGTACATTTCCGAGCACAATTCAAAGTGTTGGTGCTGACCTTTAAAGCCCTAAACGGCCTCGGTCCAGTAAACCTGAAGGAGTGTCTCCACCCCCATTGTTCAGCCCGGACACTGAGGTCCAGCGCCGAGGGCCTTCTGGGAATTCCCTCCCTGCGAGAAGCGAGGTTACAGCGAACCAGGCAGAGGGCCTTCTTGGTAGTGGCGCCCGCCCTATGGAACGCCCTCCCACCAGATGTCAAGGAAATAAACAACTATCTGACTCTTAGAAGATATCTGAAGGCAGCCCTGTTTAGGGAAGTTTTTAACGTCTGATGTTTTATTCTGTTTTTAATCTGTTGGGAGCCGCCCAGAGTGGCTGGGGAAACCCAGCCAGATGGGTGGGGTATAAATAATAAATTATGATCATATTATTATAAGCAGCCCCACACCCTCAACCCACAGGGCAAGACTTCCTCCCACCTCAGGAGCAGAACTCACATGTAGGAGTGCAGAAGGACCACTGCCAGGCTGCGGATGCCCTGGGCCAACAAACCCTCCAGCTGCCCTCGCAGGGCCTCCAGGTCCAACGGCCGGAGCACCACAAGGGACTCCCCTGTCAAACCTGGGGGGGGGGTGAGAGGAAGAGAACCGCCAGGTGAACCCCCGTCTGGGAGACCCTCCCTGCGTCATCCTCCCACAGCCCCACAGAGCCAGTGCCAGCCCTCCGGGGCAGATGGAGGCAGCAGTGCCCCTGCCTGGGCAGGAGCTCCCACCTGTGACTTTGGGGGCAGAGCCGTAGAGCTGGCATCCCTCGCGACGGAGGACCAGGCGCTCGTCCACCTCCAACACGGCCTCGTACAGCAGATCTGGCATGGAGACTGCCTGGGGAGAAGGAGGGGGTGGCGGGGGGGGGGTCACAGGCAGATCACTGTACGTTTCCGAGCACAATTCACAGTGTCGGTGCTGACCTTGAAAGCCCTAAACGGCCTCAAAGGCCCAGTGAACCTGAAGGAGCATCTCCACCCCCATCATTCTGCCTGGACGCTGAGGTCCAGCGCCGAGGGCCTTCTGGCAGTTCCCTCATTGCGAGAAGCAAAGCTACAGGGAACCAGGCAGAGGGCCTTCTCGGTGGTGGCACCCGCCCTGTGGAACGTGCTCCCATCGGATGTCAAGAAGATAAACAACTATCTGACTTTTATAAGACATCTGAAGGCAGCCCTCTTCAGGGAAACTTTTAATGACTGATAATTTAATGTATTTTTAATCTTTTGTTGGAAGCCGCCCAGAGTGGCTGGGGAAACCCAGCCAGACGGGCGGGGTATAAATATATTATTATTATCATCATCATCAGGGGACGGACATCCTCACTCGCAGGCTGGGAGAGGGATCTGCACCCCTTTCACAGAACCACAGAAATGCGGATTCAGAAGAGGCCTCCTGGATCATCTAGTCCAACCCCTGGGATCACCACCACTGGCTCCTCCTCCATCTGCTGTGGGGGGGGGGGACTCCGCCGTCATAAACGTGTTGGGTTTGGTGCCACAGACGGACGCCGCCACTCCCTGCAACATGTTCCTGTGCGTGTAACCAAAATGCCAAGCGCAGGTCAGCCTCCTCGCTGGAGCCACATCGGGTGGTGCTTGCAGGAGGCCTGGCTCCCCAGGGCAAAGCTGCCAGGTGGGCAAGGCAGCCCCCCAAGCGCAGGATGGCCTCGTGAATGAAAAGCAAAACCTTGAACTCGGCTCAGCAGCAAATCAGTAGCCAGAGCAGATCTCTGAGCAGAGCTTTCATGCACTGGCAGAGTCAACCTCCTGTCGGCAACCAAGCTAAGTGCATGGGAAACTGTGCCGGGCTGTTGCTCCATCGAGTTCCGTGTTGCCTACTCTGGCCGGCAGCCTCTCCAGAGGTCTCTCCCAGCCCCATCTGGAGACCCCAGGGATCAATGCAGGGAAGATGCTCTGCTACTGAGCTACGGCCCTTCCCCGATGGCTATGGCTGTCCTTCAGAGATTCTTCCTGCAACTCTGCAAGTTTATGATTCTATCCTGTTTCCTTGTCCCGCCCCCCCCTTGGCACAAGAAGAATTTAGGGCATTTGAGGGCAAGCCCAGCCGTGAAAAATGTGCTGCTCCACTTGCCCTCCGGAGAAGGAGGGCCCAGACCGGAGTGAGCAGCAGTGATTGGGGTGGCAGGAAGGGAGGGAGATGCTCAAGGCAGCCAGGGGTGGGGGCACCAGCACATGGCAGCCGACTCTGCTCCCCCCCTCCAAGCCTGCCAGGAAAGCCCCTTCTGCAGCCTCCATGGAAACCAGGAGCAAAGCCCCCCCTCCCAGCTGGCTGGCTGCCCAGTCGGCTCTGCCGAGGGACCTCTAAGCTGCTCCCACGTGCCCCCCTCCATGCCCAGCCAGCAGGAACTCTCCAGCGTTGCCAGCCAATCCCGAGAGTGGCACAGCACCCGCCCACCCCTCCAGGCTGCCCAGGAAGGTGGCACCGGCTGGCACAGGCTGGAGTCCAGACCGCTGCCTCTTGAGGGCAGAAGGGGACGGCCGAGGAAGGAGGGGGGACGGGAGGGGAGAGAGTCCCAGCACTGACCAGGTCAAAGATGTGCGGCCGCGCCTGGTTGCCAATGTGTAGCAGGTCCCTGAAGCCTTTGGTGATGAGCAGGGCCAGGCGCTCCCCCTTGCGCTCCAGAAGGGCGTTGGTGGCCACCGTGGTGCCCATGCGGATCCACTCGATGTGCGAGGTGTCCAGGGGCTGGTCTTTGGGGAAGGGGACGCCGCATTCCTGGGGAGGAGCAAAGCGTCCGTCATGGCCTGTCAGGCTGAGCACACACACAGGGCAAGAGGACAGGAAAAGCTCCTGCACAGCCTTTCCCGGAGGGTAGAGCCCTTGCGTATAATGGTTTGGAAGGGGCTCCTGTCGTCTTCTGGACTAAGCTCCTAAGGGGCACCCCTGCTCTGCGAAGCAAAGAACCAGCCCCTCCAGCCCCCCAGGAGGACCACAGCAGCCAGGGGAGGACACCCACCTGCCCACCAGGGTGCTGCTGTCCAGACCCATGGCTCCGACTCCCCACACAGGGAACACACAGCCTGGGCACCAATGCCTGACACTGACTGGCAGCAGGTGGCTCTCCAGGGTGCCTGGCAAGGGACCCTCCCAGCCCCACCAGGGGGCATGCACGTGGCCCCCTATTTTCCAGCTCCATCCAAGGGCTGCCTTTAAAGCCCCTCTTTAAGACCCCCGTCCAGCTGCTGGGATGGTCTTCAGGGGCTTCCTCTGGGTGCCCTCAGGTGGGCAGGGAGCAGGGCCTTTTCTGGGATGGCACCCCAACTGCTGGAAGAGCTGCTGGGCATCCTGGTCGCCCTCTGCGAAGCCCCTCCCCTCTGCCTGGGGCTGGGGGGCTTCAACTAGCCTCATAGTAGGGCTGGGGGGCTCTCCAGGGCCGCCTCTCCTTGCAGAAGGGCTTGCCAGAGCTCCTGCTTCCTCCGGGCCACAATCCTTTCCTGCTGCTGCTGTCGCTTTCTTGGCCGAGGCAACCCGAAGGCGCGTCCTCGCCAGGCGCCCGGGCGGATCTCTGCCCCGCGCCCCGAGGGCTTTCCCGGCCCGCCGCCGCCTCACCTCCTCCAGGACGCGCCGGATGCCCTCGGTGGGCGCGTCGCGGTAGTTGGCCGGGTCCTCGGAGAGCAGCTTCAGCACGCGCGCCTTCCCTCCGGGGCAGCGGGCGAAGACGTCCGTGAAGGTGCCGCCGCGGTCGATGGCGAACTGGAACTGGCCGGGCGCAGCCATGGCCCGACGGAGCGCCCGCCGGACGGGCGGCGGGGAGAAGGGAGCGGAGCCGACGGGGATGGAAGGGAGGGCCGAGGGAGGCGTGCAGAAACCCCGGGGTCCCCGCAGCCCGGCTTTAGCGCCTCACGGGGTCCCCGGCAGAGTCCGGCGCGGGAGGAGACGCGGACTGGCTCGACGGCGCGCCCGTGGCCCAGACCTCCGCTCGGGAAGCTCCTCCTGCCGCGGGAGGGGCCGGCTCGGCGCCCCGCCTGACTTGTTGGACGGCTTCGCGCAGGGACGGGAAGGGGGCGCTGGCGAGGCGAGGGGGGCGCCTCACCCCCCCCGTCCAACGGCGCAAACTGCTGTCCCGGGACGCGGGCTCCTGGGAATCCCCGCTCCCTCCTGCGAACCCGAGCGGGACCAGGAGGCTCCAGGCGCCCCTTCAAGGCTCCCCCCCGACGGGCCGAGAGAGTTGATGCCCTGAAAGGCGGTTCGTGCCCAGCCCCGACGGGGGCGCCCGGCAGAAACTTCAGGCGCCGGCGGCCCCCCCTTTCCTGGCCGGGTCAATCCCCGATCCTCACTTCCCGGCTCGGCTGGGGGGGCGGCGCGCAACCCTCGGAGCCGCTTGGCGCGCCGCTTGCGCCGGTACGGGCGCCCGGCGAGGGGGCGCGGCCGGCGTCGAGGGGCGGAGCGGGGCGCGGCTTCCTCCTCCTCCTCCTCCTTCTCGGGCCGGGCATGGCGGGGCTGGAGCTGCTGTCGGAGCAGGGCTACCGCGTGGACGGGCGGCGCGCCGGGGAGCTGCGCCAGATCCGCGCCCGGCTGGGCGTCTTCGCGCAGGCCGACGGCTCCGCCTACCTGGAGCAGGGCAACACCAAGGCGCTGGCCGTCGTCTACGGGCCCCACGAGGTAGGCCGGGCGGGCGGGCGGAGGGCCGGGGAGGGAGGGATGCCGGGATGGCGGGGCCGGCGGGCGGGCGGGCGCAGGGCGGAGGGCGCAGGGCTCCTCTCCCGGCCCGCGCTGCCCTCCTCTCCTCCCCTCTCCTTCCTCCGGCAGATGCGCGGCTCCCGCGGCAAAGCGCTGCCCGACCAGGCGCTGCTCAACTGCCAGTTCAGCCTGGCCACCTTCAGCACCGGCGAGCGCAAGCGGCGGCCCCACGGCGACCGGCAGGCGGGCGAGATGAGCCTGCAGCTCAAGCAGACCTTCGACGCCGCCATCCTCACGCAGCTCTACCCGCGATCGCAGATCGACATCTACGTGCAGGTGGGACGGGGGGGCGGGGGGGGCTGGAAGGCCCCCCGGGGGAGACTGGGGGGGGGGAGGATGGGGTTCCCAAGTGGAGGAGGCAGTGCAGCCCCCCCACTCCAGCATCCTCTAACTTAGAGGGGTGCCTAGCTGGGGGGGGGGTGCCTTGGTTCCACAAATCCATCCCAGTGCCCCCCACCCTCATTAATTAGGTAGGACTCATCCTTCCCATTTGTTGGAAGCCACCCAGAATGGCTGGGGAAAGCCAGTCAGATGAGTGGCATATAAGTAATAGAATACTACTACTAATATTATTATTATAATATCAACCCTGTCGGATGGGTGGCATATAATAAATAAATTCTTAAAATCCAGTAGCACCTTAGAGACCAACTAAGTTTGTTATTGGTATGAGCTTTCATGTGCATGCACAAGGTGCTACTGGAAGGAATTTTTTTTATTTTGTTTCGACTACGGCAGACCAACACGGCTACCTCCCTGTAAATAAATTATTATCATCACCATCACTCTATAAAAAGCATAAATCAGAATATCAGTTTGCACAACCTGCTAAGGAAAATAACATCATAAAATTCAAAACAGTAATAATTAATTGTACTTTGATTCAAAATCCAATGAAAATTACTCAGTTTAATGAATTCAACAAGAGGGGCAAGCTTGATCCAGTGACCCCAGCTTTGCAAAGTCCAATAGCCCTTGACTCCTCCTTGCCTCTTTCCTCGCTCCCCCCGCAAGACGTAGCTGTGTGCATGGGTGCCCTTGCCCCGGGGGTGTGCTGGGTGCCCGAGGGTCCGGCTCTGGCCGGGGGCCTTGGGTGGGGAGGGGCTCCTTCCGCCGGGCCCTGAGGAAGCCTTTCCTGCCCCTTCCAGATCCTGCAGGCGGACGGCGGCAACTACTGTGCCTCGGTGAATGCGGCCACTCTGGCGGTCATTGACGCCGGCATCCCCATGCGGGACTACGTCTGCGCCATCTCGGCCGGCTTCCTGGAGGACACGCCCCTGGCCGACCTGAACTACGTGGAGGAGGCGGCCGGCGGCCCCCAGATGGCCCTGGCGCTGCTGCCCAAGTCGGAGCAGATTGCGCTGCTGGAGATGAACGCCCGGCTGCACGAGGACCACCTGCAGCGCATCATGGAAGCCGCCAGCAAGGCCTGCAAGGACGTCTACGCCGTGCTGGACCAGGTGGTGCGGGAGCATCTGCGTGAGGTCACTGCTCTGCTGGGCAAGTGAGCCCCCTCCCGGCTGCACTGTGGGTGGGGGGCGCAGAGCGGTGGAAGACGCCTCCTCCTCCTGCTCTGCCGTTTGCTCAGGTGGCGCCAGCTGGATGCGGCCAAGAATCTCCCCCTTCCTCCCTGAACTGAGCCGCTCTCTGTGGGAGAGGAATGCGCAGCTGGATGCAGGCCTGTGCTGCATTGCCTGTGGTGCTTTGCACTAAGCCTTTTTGTACAGGGTTGCTTCTTTCTTACATGCCAGAGAATTAAATATTCTTCCAAAGAAAGTACGGAGCGTGGATCACTTGGGCACGTGGCTTCCCTCTCTGGCCTCAGGACTGGCTGAGATTTAAGAGCAGGTGAGCCTCGCCCCCTCCTGACCCGGGGTTCTGTGCGAGTGTCTTCAGTAAACACACCGTTGTGACGCTTGACTTGGCCAGAACAACTCTGGCCTCTGGGGGAGCCACAGAAGTGGAGTCCAAAGGCCTGAAACTTTGCACAGCTTAGATGGGGCCATTCCTTCATCTTAGCTTTACATGTGCATAGAAATTAAGTTGCACTCTCAGAGGAAAAGCATGCCTGCATAATCGAATTGCCCAAATGGCACCTTAAACCTAGGTTACGGTTGCCACAGTGGTATGCAGGAGCTGGGACAGAGCAACAGGAGCTCAACCCGTAGCGGGGATTCGAACCACCAACCTTCTGATCAGCAAGCCCAAGAGGCTCAGTGGTTTAGACCACAGCGCCACCCGCATCCCTAATTTATATACCACTTTATATTTTAAATAATAAATCTCAAAGCAGTTTACAACACATTAAAAAAACAATCCAGAATAAAACAGATTCAAGCTTCAAGGAAAATATTTCAGATCCTTCTCTAAGTGACATTTGGCTTTCCTCATTCACCAACCTGGCATCCAGAGATCTCCGCATGGTTGCCGCAGTTGGACTCGTACCAGTCGCAAAACATGCCTGGTGCCTGGTTGGTTTCTAACACTGGATAGGAGATCTAGCAAAGCATATACTATAACTTCCACTACACTTCTCTTCAGAAACAGCCCATCCACATTGAGTGCCCACCAAGGTTGGCAAGTGTTTATGCCATGTGCTCTTTGCACAGGATGGTGCCTGCAGCATGACACATGCACCCCGGCTTCTCTCTGCAGGTCATTTTGGCTCTTGGCCGGCATGGTGGGTGACTGGTTCTGCCCTGGGCAGGTGGGGGGAGTTGGTCACTTCTTGTGCCCTTCCAACCTCATGCTTTGCTTGCAGCCCCCATTGTGGAAGAGTGCAAGTGAAGAGGGGGCGCTAGCCTGGGCAGGAGCTCCTTCAGTGGCCCTGGGGTCAGGCGAGGGGCACATGCCAGTCACAAGCTTCGGGGGAAAGGGGTTAACCTCAAGGAGGGGCACCAGCACAGCCCCATCCCACGTGGTCTCCGTGCCACGGAGGTACCACAGTCAGCAGATAATAAATGTAAGAGCTGTGGCCAGGCTGAGTGAGCTGCAACATTTCCCAGCAAAGACCTTGGAGGCAATGTGTCCTTGCAGGAGCAAAAAGTGGCCATGTGGGAAGCTGCCTCAGGCCCCCTAGCTCAGTGGATCTCGGGGGTGTCAGGCAGGAGTTTTCCGAGCCCCACCTGGAGATGCCAGCAGGGACCGAGCATGGCATGCACAGGGGAGGCTGTGGGCTGGTTCCCAGGCTAGAAGAACACAGCTGCCCATGGATGTTCAGGTGATCCCTGTTGGTGGCAGCATGAGGGGCCTGTCCCTGAGAGGAGCTGCTCTGGTGGAGAAGACCTGTCTGCTGCGCCATCAAACTGGGAGGGAGGGAGGGAGGGGGCCTGGCCCGGGGCGCCAGGGGGGCTTCCTGCCCTTGCCCTTGAGCAAGTCACCCTCAGCCTGGAAGACCAGGAGCCAAGACGCAGAGGCCCCGGGAGGGCGCCGGGGGAGCAGAGGGGGCCTTTTCCCTGCAGCCCCTTCTGGCCCTGGTCTGGGGCCAGGATCCGGCTTCCAGCTGGCCTTGCGAGGGCCACACTGAATGAAATTACAACCCCCCAGGCGGAGAAGGAGAGTTGGAAGCGGGTTTCTGCAGGGAAGGAACCGAGACAGGCCCCAAGCGCACTCTGCACATGCTCGGAGGACCTCTTGTGACCTCCCCTCGAGAGAGAGAGCGCGACCTTCTTGGGCCCGGAAGCGCCGCCAGACCATAGACTCAGCAGCGGGCTAGAGCGGCCAGTCCGGAGGCGGGATTTCCGGCGGGCCCCTCGCCGCCGCGCTCGCTCTTCCGCTTCCCCTCGCCAGGGCCCCGGGGAGCCGCTCTGGCCGGCTCCTCTCGCTGCTCCCGTGCGCTCGGCCGCCCCGGAAGGAGCCCCGCGAGGAGGGTGGGTGCGGGGCCCGGTTTTCCCCGCCCCTTGCGGGGGGGGGTCCTCGTTCCGCCCGTCTGGCCCCCCAGGGCCCTGCGAGGGAGGCCAGGCGGGGGGGGGGGCGGCTGAGAGGGAGCGGGATTCGAACCCAGGTCCCTGTCAGGTCTGAGCCCCATGAAACGGGGAAGGGGGGGGGCGGGAGGGGGGAATGCTGTTGTTCTTGCTATTATTGTTGTTGTTGTTCTTAATGGCGTTGCCCCCTTCTCTGCCCCCCAGGGCCCTGAGAGCTCTGCGCGGCCATGGGGCTGCTCTCGGACCCCTACCGCCGGCGGGCCCTCTCCCGCCTCCTGCTGCGCCTCAACACCCCGCTCTGGTGAGTAGCATCGGGGCAAGACCTCGGGGGGGGGCTCCCTGGGGGCACAGCCCCCCCGCCCCCCCACTGCAGCTTCCTGCCCCCCAACGGCCTCCCTCTCCTTCTCTCCGCAGCATCATCAGCTTCCTGGCGGGGCTGGGCTGGTTCCTGGGCCTGGCCTTCCACCCCTTCACGCTGCGCATCTACATGTCGGAGAACGCCATGGGCTCCACCATGGTGGAGGAGCATTTCGTCCACGGGGAGCGCGCCCTCTCCTACGCCCGGGAGTTTGCCGGCCACAAGAAGAAGGCGGGGTGAGTGAGGGGCTTGGGAGCCCCCTGGGGGGCTGGCACTCTCGGGCCTCTGCAACCCCCCGGATGAACCCAGTGGCTCAGAGCGGGCATTTTGGTGCCACCCCCAGCATTGCTGAGCCAGGGTCTTGCCCATCAGGTTCAGAGAAACTCCGACACTCCCTGACTCTACAAGAAGGAAAGTCTTCCGTTCTGCCAGGAGGGGGATATCGAAGGGAAGAAGCAGTTTTGCCCCCGGTGCAGTTTAGGGTCTTTCTGCCCCCGGTGGGTTGGCTTCCAATCTCTTAACAATGGCAATAGAAAGTGGGCATTCTGCGCATACTTTTCCGATGCGTGGATAAGCCTTGCCTCCCCTTTAACCTCTTATATAGTGAAGAATAAATTGTCAGTGTTGAGTGTTTCCTTCCATTGAAGGTCCACCCAAACCCAAGCCTGGATTTCTTATGGAGACAGTGCAAGATTTTTCCTTTATAAAAGCAGAAATTTCGGAGGTTGAGAACAGGGTTCTCAACAAACATGCACATGATGTAAAATACGCAGGTTCTCAAATGCAGAGGCAGAGGGCCTTCTCGGTGGTGGCACCCTCCCTGTGGAACGCCCTCCCATCAGATGTCAAGGAAATAAACAACTGTCTGTCTTTTAGAAGACATCTGAAGGCAGCACTGTATAAACATAAAGGTACCCCTGACAGTTAGGTCCAACCGTGGCCGACTCTGGGGTTGCGGCGCTCATCTCGCTCTATAGGCCGAGGGAGCCAGTGTACAGCTTCCGGGTCATGTGGCCAGCATGACTAAGCCGCTTCTGCCGAGCCAGAGCAGCGCACAGAAATGCCGTTTACCTTCCTGCCAGAGCGGTACCTATTGATCTACTTGCACTTTGACGTGCTTTCGAACTGCTAGGTTGGCAGGAGCAGGGACCGAGCAACGGGGGCTCACCCTGTCGCAGGGATTCGAACCGCTGACCTTCTGATTGGCAAGCCCTAGGGTCAGCAAACTTTTTCAGCAGGGGGCCGGTCCACTATCCCTCAGACCTTGTGGGGGGCCAGACTATATTTTGTGGGGGGAAATGCACAAATTCCTATGCCTCACAAATAACCCAGAGATGCATTTTAAATAAAAGCACACATTCTACTCGTGTAAAAACATGCTGACTCCTGGACCGTCCACGGGCCAGATTTAGAAGGTGATTGGGATCCAGCCCCCGGGCCTTAGTTTGCCTACCCATGCCCTAGGCTCTGTGGTTTAGACAACCGTGCCACCCGCGTCCCCCTGCAGCCCTGTATAGGGAAGTTTTTAAGGAATGATGTTTGAGTATGTTCTGATATGTGCTGTGAGCCACCCAGAGTGGCTGGGGAAACCCAGCTAGATGGGTGGGGTATAAATATTATTATTATTAATTATTTTTATTATTATTAAAGTGTAATGCAGATGATTTCCTTGTATCTCTCTTCATACTGTGGTGACACAGTGTAGGATAGCTCAGCCAGCCTAACTGGCCCGTCTGCCACCTGGTCGAGACCCCCTCCCTCCTCAAGGGGGGCATTGCTGTAAAAGCTGGTGGAGCAGAAGAGGAGACCTGGGCGCTCACCCGCCCCTGGTGCCCCTTCCTCTCTCCCCAGGGGCATGCCAGTGGCCTGGCTGGAGAAGACCATGTGGAACCTGGGCCTGGAGGTGCACAAGCAGTCCTTCTCCCGCACGCTGCCTTTCCCGGATGAGATGCGAGAGAGATACGTAGGTGCTGGGCTTCCAGGCTCCTCCGTGGGCAGGCGGGTGGGCCGGGGTGCGGCTGTTCCGCTGCTGGGGAGATGAACCCTCAGCTGCCCTTCTCTTTGCAGATGGTCAAGGGCACCAACGTCTATGGGATCCTGCGGGCTCCCCGGGCAGCCAGTACGGAGTCCTTGGTGCTGAGCGTCCCCTGCAGTGAGGGGCAGCAGAACAACCAGGCCGTGGGGCTGATGCTGGCGCTGGCCTCCCACTTCCGAGGTGAGCTGGGGGGGTGGGCTTTAGAGATCCATCAGCTGATCACGGCTAAGTTAGAGATGTGTAGGCAGGGGGCAGGGGGTGTTGTCCCCTGTTCCCCTCTATTTGTTTCCCAAAAAATGGAGGAGTGGAATCCAGGCCAAATCCAGTTTAAATCTGGGTTTTCTGTATCTCAACCTGCCCGGAACTATAATGCATGAAATTTCTTAGAAAGAGACGGGGTAGGATCCAGCTTCCTCCCTGGTGTCCCTTCCCCTGGCTGGGAGGGAAGAACTGGCTCTGCCCGTTGCTTCCTTTGGGGGGGGGGTGATGTGTGCCAGTGCTGGGCCTGCCCAGGGGGTTCGTGGGGGCTGCTGAACTTCCCCTCTGTCCTAGGTCAGATCTATTGGGCCAAAGACATCATCTTCCTGGTGAACGAGCACGACCTGATTGGGATGGAGGCCTGGCTGGAGGCGTATCATGACGTCAACGTCACAGGTGAGAGGGCGCTGCCTGGGGGATTTGCACAGCCGCCCTGGGGGAGTCTGCCTGGAGCACCTGCCTGGGAGCTGCTGGGGGGAGGGAAGTTGCTTCCTCCCTCCTCTTGTTTCTCCAGAGCGGCCCCCATGTGTCTCCCTGCCAGTTCTTTCGCTGTCTCCTCTGCCTGCATTCCCTAGGGCTGGCCCAGACCCCCAACGTCCCTTCACCCAGCCAGCTCTTCCAGGGTCCTGTTATCCAGCCAGAAAGGCTCATCTCCCAACGCCCCCCCCCCCCGGGCTTCTGCCCTGCCCTGTCGCAGAACGACTGGCTCCCGTCCTCTGGGAATGAAGGGCAGCGCCCCCAGCCCTGTGATGCGAGCGGCCATCACCCTCATTGGCTTTTCTTTTAGCAACCTGGGGCCATCCTTTCTCTCCCCCCCAGAGGTGCACTCGTCAGGGATGTTGGGTCGGGCAGGAGCCATCCAGGCCGCCATTTCCCTGGAGCTGAGCAGCGACGTCATCACCAGCTTTGACGTGGCCGTGGAGGGGCTGAACGGGCAGCTGCCCAACCTGGACCTCGTCAACCTCTTTTACTCCTTCTGCCAGAAGAACGGGCTGCTCTGCACCATTCAGGGCAAGGTGGGTGGGGAGGGGGGCCCTGGGGGGCTGCTGGAGGGGGAGGCCATTTGGGCCCTGCCCAGAGCCCCCTAGGCAAAGGCCTGTGAGGGAAGCGGCCCCAGCTGGCTGGAGGGGAGGCTCCGGCCTTGCCTCTTTCCCTGTCCTGTCCGTGGGGTGGGTTTCTCAGCTCCTGGTTGCGAGGGCAGGGAGCTGCTTTGGGCCCGTTGTCCTGAGTCCCCTCTCCGCTCCCCCCAGCTGCAGCGGACCGACTGGGACTCCCTGCCGGCCTTCGTCCACTCTCTGCAGACGATGCTTCTGATGGTGCTCAAGCAGGGCTCCGGCCGGCCGCAGGGGGACCACGGGCTCTTCCTGCGCTACCACATCGAGGCCATCACCCTGCGCGGCATCAACAGCTTCCGCCAGTACAAGTTTGACATGGGCATGGTTGGCACGTGAGTAGGCGGCCTTGGCAGGGCGTGGGTGCGAAGGACCCTGTTTGGGGAGCAGACTTTGGCCTGTGTGGAAGCTGAGAAGGGTTGGGATACGCCCACACTGGCCTCAGGAGGGGGAGGCGAACATCAGAAGAGCATGGGTACTGGATCAGGCCAAAGAAGAGCCCCTCTAGTCCAGCCTCCTGTTCTCCCAGGGGCCAACCAGATGCCCCAAGGGGAAGAAGGCCACAAGCAGGATCAAACCCAGGAGCTGCTCTCTCCCTTCCTGTGCTTTCCGGCAACTGGTTCTCAGAAGCCCTGCCACCTCTGATTGCGGACGCAGAGCAGAGCCGTCCTGGCCAGCAGCCATCCATAGCCCTCTCCTCCTCCGTGAATTGGTCCCATCCTCTTTCAAAGCCAAGAATTCCGCCTCTCACCCCGTCGCTTGCCTTCCCCAGGACCCTGGAGGGAATGTTCCGGAAGCTGAACAACCTGCTGGAGCGCCTCCACCAGTCGTACTTCTTCTACCTGCTCCCGTCTCTCTCCCGCTTCGTCTCCATCGGGCTCTACATGCCGGCCTTCGGGTTCCTCATCCTCATCCTGGTCCTCAAGATATCCTCCTCTTCCTCTGTGTGGGGAGCAGGGAGGGGGGCTGGGGGAGTTTCTGTCTCTTGCTGCTTCTGAGTTGGGATCCAGGGAGGGTCAGAGGAGAAACTCCCACTTGAGGAGCCCAGCTGTGGGGCCACATAGTGGAGGACTCCCCAGGAAGCAGACGGACTGATGGTCTCAGGAGAGGCTCCCTCTGACCACCAAGCGTTGAGGCCTTGCAGGGAGGCGCTTGGGAGCCCAACTCGAGGGTCCTCTGGCCTGAGGGTGGCTTTTTCTGTACCTCTTGGGAGCCAGAGGACGGGACAGGCTCTGGAGCTTCTGCCCTGACCAGCTGCGTGGAAGAACAGAAGCTGATAGGGCCTGGGGCATCCCCTGTTGGGAAGGTGGCCTGAGCAGACTTCCATGGTGCCAGGCTGCCAGCCCTACCCTTCAGCCGGACAGCGTCCTTGTGCAATGTTGTTCCTGTGCCAGAAGGAAGAATTTCAGCAAACGCAGCTTCTCCTGTCACTGGCTGCGTCCCTCTGGACTCCTCTCTTCCATGCAGCAACTGCGGCCCATAGGCCTGGCAGCCAAGCCCTTCAGGAGCAGCCCTGGTTTGCCGCGGCCCCGATCAGTGGGTGAGAGGCCTCCCTTGGGTGCCCCCTGTGTCTGGCTGGCCAGGCTCAGCCTCACTCTGCCCTGTGCGTCTCCCTCCACTGGTCATTCATCTCAGCAGAGCTCTGGCAAATGCCAGATGTGTTCCGACAAGAGGTCGAGGGGTGTTAGGTTCCCTGGCATCGCCTTAGCTAGACCCTGGAAGGCCACCCCCCTTGGTGCTCCTCTGGATACTTGGGGAGGGGATGTCTGGTTGGTGTCCCCTAGGATTTGGGTGAGGGGAGTTCCTGGCTTGGCTCATCGCGTCCTCTGAGGTCCTGCCTTTCCCTTGACTCCTCCTTCCTCTTCACGCCCTGGACCTGTGGATGAAACTGAGCCGCTACGACGTGGACCCAGATGACCGGCTCTGCGACGGAGACCAAGGTCCTAGTCCTGTTGCTCTGGAGGTGAGATGATGTGGCGGGGAGTGTCAGTGGCCCTGGGGAGGGGGCAGAGAAGGGACTCGGTGGTGGAAAAGGACCTGCATGGGCATTGCTCGCCTCTTGAAGTCACCCTGGAGCCCTGCACAGCCCATTCCTGCAATCCTGCACCCCCCCTGAAAAAAACATGGGTGCTGCTTGTCTGCTCCTGGAATGGTCAGTCCTCTCACACTGACTGCTTCCAGCGCATGGCATTGTAGTGTTTCCAAAGTAAAGGAAGGATTGGACTTTGATTAATAAGATACACACGAGGCTGGGAGGGGTGCGTATAATAATAATCCCTCTCCACTCCTTGGTCCAGGTCGTTTTATTCACAAAAGAACTTTTTACACAGTGTTCGTAAGAACCAATCAGATTTCCTCTAAGCATTTCAAAAAAAACCATGTGGGACAAAGTCAGATCAGAAGAAATTCTTTTAACTACAAAGAAACTATCTCCTACTTGAGCATGCATAGGTAGTTCAGAGTAAATAAAATAGGAATAAAAGGAGGAATGCATTCAGCAAAACCCCGGAGGTCATAAACAGGAGTACACAGGAGAGGTAGGATGGCAGTATTTGCCATCTCCTTGTGAACTCTCTTCCTGGCCCTTAAGATCTACATCAAAGCTACCTTCTATCTTCATGACCCAGGATGCCTGATGCAGCTGGTCTGTGTTTCAGAATGCTTATACGTGCCTGTCAGGCGTAGAGAAAGCAAATGGCAGAGGTGCAGAGACTTGTGGGATTCGATCAGAAATTATTGTCAATGAATCAAACCCAGTCAACGCCATGCTTTCATTGCTGTCACAATGGCTTGCTCCATATTTCATCATTCCTCATAGCAATCCCACCTGACCCCCACACTCTGGATATCTGCACCCCTAGATGGCATGGCCAACAAAGAGAGAGCACCCCAAAAAGACATGGCTGGTTGAGGAAGAGAACGGCTTGGAAATGTGATGCTCCCTGGACACCTTGAGACTAAAATACGCTTGAAGATCCTCCTGAGTCTGCAGGCCCTGAAGAGCCAGGCTTTGCCAGCCCCCTCCCCTCTTCTGCCCTGGGCCAGGCATGCTGTGGGGGGTCAAAGTCGTCCTGCTTTTTGGTGCAGTTGCTGCACTTGTTCCAGCAGAGATCCCCAAATGCACAATGAACTCTTCTTTGGGGAAAGGATGGGGTTGTTTTTGCCCCCCCGAAACCCCCACCAGCCTTAGCCGCGACTCCTGGCCCTCCCATCCAGGGAGGGGGCCCTTCTCCTGACCCCTCCGCCCTCCTCTCTCACCCAGGAGCCCAAGCCCAGCCTGCTGACGCTGGTGCCCCCGCTGCTGATCTGCCACGCCACGGGGCTCGCCCTCTACTTCGTGCCCATCCTGGGGCAGCAGGTGGCCACGCAGCACTTCCCCGTCTCGGAGTCAGAGGCTGTGGTGCTGACGGTCATTGCCATCTACGTGGCGGGGCTGGCGTTGCCCCACAACACGCACAGGTGACGGGGAGGGAGGGGAGGAGACGGCCCGGCCAGGTGGGGGACCTGGTGCGACTCTTGCCTGCCCTGGCACAAAGCAGGGAGAGGGCGAGACGTGCAGAGCTTGAAGGGGTGCCTGATTGCCCAGCGCTCTCTGGGTCAAGGGCCAGGCTGCTGTTGCTCTTCTTTTCAAGGGGCTGTGCTTGTGCCGCCTGCAGACTGGCTCTGTCTCTCTGCCCCGCAGGGTCCTGACGGGCTCGGGAAGCGACCGTGGCTGGATGACGCTGAAGCTGGTCTCGCTCCTCTACCTGGCCATGCAGCTGGGCTGCATCGCCCTCATCAACTTCTCCCTGGGCTTCCTGCTGGCCGTCACCATGGTGCCTGTCGCTGCCCTTGTCCAGCCCACGGGGCCCAAGTACGTACGCCCTGGGGCTGCTTCCTGCTTCCCTCTCTGCCCCCACCCCGCAAGAACTGGGCTGCAAAGGACAGGGATCACCAGAATTGCCCAGGGCAGATGACGGGGCGTCTCCTTGCCACTCCTCCCCCTGAGCTCTGTCCTCCAGCTACAAAGGGAGACAGAGGCCTTTCAGTGTTGCTGGGAGTTCGCAGCCAACACATCAGGGAAGGTGGCAGCTGTAGCCTAATGGCATCAGTTGGGCACTTGCCGCCTCCCCATCCCTGGCCTACTGAAGTGGCCGCGTTCCCCCTCTTCTGGGCCAGTTCTTTGCGGGGAAAGCCAAGGGCCTCCCCAGAGGAAGAAGCAAGAAGGCAAACGCTTGACAGAGCCAAATTTGTTTCTGTATGTCGGGCTTCCTCAGGACAGGCAAAGCAGAGCTGCCCACATCAGGATGATGTGTTTGGCCTTAGTTTCAAAATGGAGATACAAATAGGACTCTCTTGTCCAAAAGGTGCTTTGCAGGAATAGAGTCCTCCCCATTACCCTTCTGTGGGGGTGTTGCGGAATTTAGGGGTGGGGAGTGTGTCCCCCAGGCAAGCTTCTCAGCTTTTCAAATTTGTGGCCCTGGACCCTTGGTCCTGTCCTTCAGGGTGGTGGGTGTTTCAACCCTGTCCATGGCTGAAGAAGGAACGGTTGCTTTAGGAAGGTGGGGGGTTCTCGGTTTGTTTTTGTTCCTCAGTATTGGTATCAAACTTTATTTTGGTCACAGACCTGCATAAGATAAAAAATACTGATAAATAGAATGCGTAAGACTTAAACCAGGTAAGGGATAAAAACTAGTAGTTAAAAAGTGATATCATACATAACTTAAAAAGATAGAAACAAGGACAAGCGGTTAAAAGTGACTATAAGAGAGGGAGCGTGAAGGAGCACAGGTCTTGCATTTGGGGTCTAGTTTGTGGCGCAAACCACCCTTTGACAAATATCCATCATGGCAGCGCAAAATCTAGGAATTGAGTATGTAACATCTGGGTTTTCATCTTGAAGTAGCAGGGAGGGATGAAGTTGTTCTGTGCGACTTGGAAATGTTTTTCTTCTTGTTTTATCGTGTATTCTGTGTTTTTATCTTGTACTTCTATATTGTGAACTGCCCTGTGATCTACAGACAAAGGGTGGCATGCAAATTTTAACAACAAAACCCACAATACATCCTGCCCTTTCGGGAGTGGGCCTGCCCCTGCCCGTGTGCCCGCAGGAGCCCAGAGTTTTCTTTCCCCGTTTCCTCCCCAGGTACCTCTACGCTGTGCTGCTGGTCCTGGTCACGCCAGCGGCCACACTTCTCTTCTGCATCTTCCTGTACCAGGAGCTCATTGAGTACCCCATCTCCCTGCTGGAGGGCTGGCAGCGCTTCTTGCAGGCGATTGCTGAAGGGCTGTTGGACCACCACCTCTACGGCTCCATCGTCTTCCCCTTCATCGCCATCTTTGTCTACCCCTGCTGGCTTCTACTCTGGAATGTGCTTTTCTGGAAGTAGCCCCCTGACGCTGCCTCTGTGCTTGAATTGGCCTGCCCCAATTCACTTTGGACTTCCCTGGGGCAGCCAGGGGAGACTTCCCTTCCATCCTGCTGGGTGCCACTGTGATTTCAGAAATGTGAAACTCTGGGGCAGAGGCGTGAGGCCTCCTGAAGCCATCAGCTGGAACGCTGTAGGGGATGCCTGCTTGGGGAGTATCCTGGTCTTGTGGGATTTGACGTCTGCGGCAGCTGCAGCCACGGTTCATAGTTCTGGGTGTGGGTGTGGGGCAGGCTGGGCAGCTGCTCAGAGCTTGCAGGAGAGGGGGAGCTTGGGCTGGGGTAACTGGATCCTGGTTCTTTTTTGGTGGCCCTGCTTTAAGTCATGAGTGTGACTCTCAGGGGCAGGGGGCCAGCCTGGGGTGTGGCTGGTCCTTTTCTCGGTGGCTTCAGCTTGCACGTGGACCACGTGGGGCCAACAACCAGCTCTGATGTTAGCAATGCAAGATGATACTGGGGGGGGGGGGAGTGGCTGTGTACACTCTTTAAATAAAAATAAAGACAAAAGGTTTTGATACAGTGCTTGCACTTATTTTCATCCTGACTCCTCACCAGAAACACAGCTCTTGGGGCGTCTGCTAACAATTCAGAATATCAACCATAACCTTGAACTTAAGATGTATTAAAAGAGTAAAGCAAAGCAGCAGCTGGTCCCGTTATAACGGGGGTGGGGCACATCTTTGGCCCTGCAGATGTGGCTGGACTGCAACTCCCATCAGCTCCAGATGACAGGGCAAGTGTTTATACTGCTGCAGTTTCACTGGTTTCATGTTGTCTTTTTGTTGTAATGCTACTGGGTTTTGTTCTAACGATACTGGTTGGTTTTATGTTGTACACAGCTTAGAGATTTTTATTTTATTATTTATTAATTAAAGTTGTATACTGCTCTTCATCCATAGATTTCAGGGTGGTTCACAACAGAAAAATACAAGATTCTCTCACTCTATAAAAAAAGAACAAAACAAACCAAGACACCCCCCCACACACACACATTTAAAAGGGTATCAGACGTTATGCAGCCCAAGGCCTAGTGGAAGAACATTTTTACCTAGAATCTAAAGGCATTTAATGAAGGTATCAGGCGAAGCTCCCTGGGGGAAGAGCATTTCACAGACAGGAAGCCACTACACACTTTGAATTGGGCCAGGAATGGGCACCTGCCCTTCAGCCTGAGGTCCCTTGGGCAAGAGCCTCAGCTGCTCCTGGGCAGATTTCTCCCTGTGCCTCTGCCAGCCTGAGCTGAGGGAGCAGAGGGTTGGGGCTGCAAGGCAAGGCTTAGAAGCAGCACATACTGACTCCCTTTTCAGGTACAACAAAAGGAGGCGCTGGGGAAGGTGAGAGGCTCCCACCTGAAGCCCTGGCGAGCCATTGCTGCCGGTCAGTGTCGGCAGTACTGAGGTGGATGGGCAGCTGGGTCTAGCAGGCAGCTGGCTGGGCTCCTTTTCCACCCCTTGTTGTTGTTTAGTTGTTTAGTTGTGTCCGACTGTTCGTGACCCCCTGGACCAGAGCACGCCAGGCACTTCTGTCTTCCACTGCCTCCCGCAGTTTGGTCAACTCATGCTGGTAGCTTCGAGAACACTGTCCCACCATCTCGTCCTCTGTCGTCCCCTTCTCCTTGTGCCCTTTCCCAACATAGGGTCTTCTCTTCTCATGAGGTGGCCAAAGCCTTGGAGCCTCAGCTTCAGAATCTGTCCTTCCAGTGAGCACTCAGGGCTGATTTCCTTCAGAATGGAGAGGTTTGATCTTCTTGCAGTCCATGGGACTCTCAAGAGTCTCCTCCAGCACCATAATTCAAAAGCATCAATTCTTCGGTGATCAGCCTTCTTTATGGTCCAGCTCTCACTTCCATACATCACTACTGGGAAAACCATGGCTTGAACTATACGGACCTTTGTCGGCAAGGTGATGTCTCTGCTTTTTAAGATGCTGTCGAGGTTTGCCATCGCCTTTCTCCCAAGGAGCAGGCGTCTTTTAATTTCGTGACTGCTGTCACCATGCAGTGATCATGGAGCCCCAGAAAGTCAAATCTCTCCCTGCCTCCATTTCTTCCCCTTCTATTTGCCAGGTGATGGGCCCACCCCTACGAGGGTCATTAAGGAGTTAAAGCGACGGAGCACGCCGTTCCTAGAGGGGACATAGAAAGCGCAACGAGGTGACACTATAGAGCGGCTCCTCCCCGACTGGCATTTCCCGCTGGAGGCCGAGAAGCCTCGCCAAGGGGAGCTGGGCGAGACTCCAAGCGGGCAGCACTGCAGGGCTGTCGTTGGGCGGCCCCCTCCCGCTTCCAGCTGAGGAAAAGGCTCAGCGGCGCCTCTCCATCTCAACGCGGAAGCGTCCCAACCGCAGGAGGAGAAGGACCTCTTCTGTATTTTATAGCTCTATGGGGATTCTTTCGCCCTCCCCGTAGAGCTACAGATAGGAAGAGTGACACGCAGCTTAAACTTCCGGGAACACTAGAAAAGCCTGGCGTGGGAAGCGAGGAAGAAGAGCCCCGGCGGGATCAGGCCACGGGGCCCCTCGAGTCCAGCCTCCCCGGGGCCCCGAGGCAAAAGCCGCCAGAGCAGCACTCAGCATGACTGCATCCCAGAGAGCCACCCATGGCCTCCCCCTCCGCCATGAATGTGGCCAGGGGCTTCTTCCTCGCGTGGCAGGGAGTTCCGCAGCTGAGCTCTGTCTGGCTCTCCCAACACGCAGCTCCGAGGGCGACCCAGACGAGGAAGGAGCTGGGAAAGAGGAGCCGAGAAGAGCCGGACTCGAACCCGGGGCTGCAGGTGGCAAGGAAGGAGATGCCGCCTCAACACCCAGAAGGGCTTCCTGCCTGGCGGCGGCGGGGAGGCCTTCAAGCAGAGCCTGGACGCCCACCCGTCCCGGGGCTTTGGCCGGGGCTGGACTAGATGCCCCCGGAGGGTCCCTTCTGATTCCTGTCTCCGCCTCAGGCCGGGAAGCCCCGCCCCTCCGGAAGTGACGCCCTGCCGCCTTCCGCCGCGCGGTGCCTTGTGGGCGGCTGGGCTGGCCGGCTCCTCGGCAAGATGGCGGCGGCGGCGGCGGCGGCGGCGGCGCGGAGCCTGGCGCGATCCCGGGGGGGGCCTCCTGCTGCCTCCCCCGCCCGGGGGCCCCGCCCGCGGGTAAGAGCCGCCCCCGCCCCGCCCCGCCTCCCCCAGGCCCCGCCCCGCCCCGACGGGGGCGCCCCAAGGTCACCGCGTCCCCCGAGGGGTCACCCGACGCCCCTCGCCCGGCGGGCCGGGGGGTCCGGCAGAGGCGGCCCGGGCGGCGGGGAGGGAAGAGCCGCCCTCCTTCCCGTGGCGGGGAGTTCCGCAGGTCGCGCTGAGGCGGCGGGGGGGGGGGCGAGCCTGCTTCTCGGGATCAGGGCCGGATTGACGTAGAAGCTGAACAAGCTCTAGCTTAGGGTCCCCCCCAAAAAATTTAAGGGGGAAAACTGGGTGTGCATTTCCAAAATTTAAGAGTAAAAACACATAAAATGAAACCTGCACCCAGCAGCAGTGCTTTGTGTTGTGTAAGCTCCTCTGATGTAAGTCGTGGCCCCGCCTGCCAGCCTGCTCAGGTCTTCTATAGGGTGCCTGCATTCCGCATGTGCAAATGGCTTGAGATACCTAGTAGGTCCAGAACCCCAAATCCGGCCCTGCTCAGGATGCGACTCTCACCCTCAGGATGCGCCTGGAGAGTGGCAGAGCGAGGGAGCTGGGCAGCCAGGCGTGGGGACGGGGACCACGCAAAGCAGGGCAAGAAGGGGGTCCGGGTCTCTGGTCTGCTGGGTCCCGAGGGCCGTAGGGAGTGGAAGCTGCTCTGGGATTCTTGTCGTGAGCACCTGAAGTGCAATTGGGGGCATCTGCAGAGGCTGCAGGACTAGAGGTCGATCCGCAGCTTATTGTCACCTCTGGGTTTTGCGTTGGTTCTGGCCGCAAAGCCTAGATGGTGTGCTTGGGGTTTGCTTGCTGCTCTTGTTCGCGGTCTCTGCTCAAGCATCCCTCTGCGCGTGCCGGATGCAGCACAATGACTTTGGCAAGGGACCCCCTCCCCACGAACATTGAGGCATCTCCTGATGGTTGTAGCGTTGCTCATCCTGTAGTCTTATCTATTTTACTTATAAAATTATATAGTGCTGTATCATAGAAATATATTACAACAGTTTACAATAACGTAGAAGTGTAAAACCGTACGGTAATAACATTTTCAGGCTGCCTTTCATGTCCCCTTTCCTCCACCCCCACAAGGGATGTTCTTGGCTTGTAGAGGATTGCCTGCTTTCCATGCAGAAAGCCCCAATTTCTGGTCCCCCAGTATCTCCCAGCTAAAAGGGGCAGAGGTCTTCGGCTGGGGAGATACTGCTAGTTCATTCATTCATTCATTTAGGTAGTTTAGACCCTGATTAACAATTCCCCCCCCCTCACAGTATAGATGAGATTAGATGAATGGATCGTCTGACGTGGTGTTTGGGAGGCTGCTTTATTATTATTATTATTATTACTATTACTATTATTATGATTACAGTCATACCTTGGTTGCTGAACGCCTTGGAACTCGTATGTTTTGACTCCCGAACGATTGAAAACCAGAAGTGGATGTTCCAGTTTTCAAATGATTTTTGGAAGCTGAACATCTGGCGCGGCTTCTGTGGCTTCTGATTGCAGCCAATCAGAAGCCGCACTCTGGTTTCCAAACATTTTGGAAGTTGAACAGACTTCCGGAACCGATTCCATTCAACTTCCAAGGTATGACTGTATTATTATTATTAGAATTTGTATACAGTAGTACCTCTGGATGCGAACGGAATCCGTTCCAGAGCCCCATTCGCATCCTGAAGCAAATGCAACCCGCGTTTGTGCAGGTCGCGATTCGCCACTTCCGCGCATGCGCGTGATGTCATTTTGAGCGTCTGCGCATGTGTGAGCAGTGAAACCCAGAAGTAACACGTTCTGTTACTTCCCGGTTGCTGCAGTGCGTAACTTGAAAATGCTCAACCTGAGGCATATTTAACCCAAGGTATGACTGTACTGCCCTATACCTGGAGGTCTCAGGGTGGTTCACAGAACAATACCAGGCAAAAGTCATCGACAGGAGCCTATGTCTTGCTATTGTAAGGCCTCGGTGAAGCCCCTCCTGTTGTCGCCGCGACTTCTCTCCAGCCAGGGTCTGCCCACGAGTTCACTCTGTTGTCCTTTCCCCCCAGGCCAACCTGACCTCCTTGGCAGGTCTCTCCCGAGGCAAGAAGGTGGCGCTGACCACGCTGGGGGTGCTGACGGCAGGCGGAGCAGGCCTGGCCCTGGCCCTCCACACTGCAGTGAATGCCGGCGAGCTGGAGCTGCACCCACCCAACTTCCCTTGGAGTCACCACGGCATGCTGTCGTCCCTGGATCACAGCAGGTGCGGACGGGGCAGAGGTGGTGAGGGAGGCAGAGCAGCAGGGGGGGGAGATTTATGGGAACTGGGGCACCCCTTCCCCTTTGCAGCCTGCTAGGGAGCCATTGGAGGTGTGTGGTGTTGGCTGTGCCAGTGGCTGCCCTGTGCCCGTGTCCCTGTCTTGGTTTCTCAGTCGGATGACTCACACCAAGCACAAGCTCCTCCCCTCCCCCACGCTCTGCTTCCTCTTCCCAGCCCAAGAGATGTACAGATCAGAACTAAAGTTCATCTCTGTCAGCGCCCTTCCAGCAGCTGGCACTTGCCAGGACCTGCCACCTCCTTGGCCTTCCTTGACCATCAAGGCCTGTACAGTGGTACCTCAGTGAGGATGCTGGAGCCGCTTTCTGCTGGGTCTCCCACCCTCTCCCCAAGCGGGAAGCAAAGGCTGCTTTATTCCCTGTCACTGTGACCCCGTAGTCTCTCTCCTCTAGTCCACACGGTCCTGCCCTGCCTTGCTTTGTGCTCTCCTTCCTTCACCAACCCGGGCACTGACTGTACCCTTTTTTCTGCAGTGGGTGCCACACTCCCCATTCCCTTGCATAGGTGCCATTGCCTTTGCTCCCAGAAGATGCTTCCTGCCTGCCTGCTGGGGGAGTTGCCCCAGAGCCAGGAAGGTTTATCTTGGCTGGGCCGGATCAGTCCCACGGAGATCCCTCTGTGGGCTGAATCGCACACCCGTGATTTTCAGCGTCTGTGTTTGCGCAGATGCGATTTTTGGCGCCATGGAAGTGAATCGCTGTGCCGTGCCGGTTTAGCACAGCGTGATAGCAGGCAGCTCGATTCAGGGGTGGCTCGTGGGTCGGTCAAACGACCTCCGCGGGCTGCTTCCAGCCCATGGGCCTTAGGTTGCTGACCCCTGCCCCAGAGTGTCCTATCCACCACCCCAATCCTCCAAGAAGGAAGGAAAACTCTTGCCTGCATTCATCCTCCCTATTGGCTGCTGCTATCTTTGATTGTTTGACTTAGTTTGGTTTTTCTTTCATTTGTAAGATATTGTTTGATATATCCTATTAGTTGTAAGCTGTCACAGGAGGGTTATAACTGGAAGGGGGGCTAGAAACACACCAGAACCTTCTTTGGCTTGTCTCCAGCGTCCGGCGCGGCTACCAGGTGTACAAGCAGGTGTGTTCCGCTTGCCACAGCATGGAGTACCTGGCCTTTCGCAACCTTATTGGTGTCAGCCACACTGAAGCGGAAGCCAAGGCCCTGGCTGAAGAGGTAGGCTTTGAGTGGGGGCGGGGGCTGGGGTTGCTGTGGCTGGCAAAGCTATGGCCCGGAGCCCCTTGCACAGCTGGTCCTGACTCAGGGGCTCTCCTGCGCTGGCTGGCATTATGGATGGCTTGGTCGGCGGTATTGGAGGGCGGGTGGGTGAGACCAAATCATACTGGGCGTGGGGGGAGGCCTGGCTCCCTGGGGCGGCTTGGGACTATGGCACTCAAGTCTGGCATGTCCCGCATTAGGCTGAGGTGCTGGATGGACCCAATGAGGATGGCGAGATGTTCACGCGGCCTGGAAAGCTCTCGGATTACTTTCCCAAGCCCTACCCAAATCCTGAAGCAGCGCGAGCTGCAAACAACGGGGCGTTGCCCCCCGACCTCAGCTACATCGTCAATGCCAGGTAACGCTGCCCAAACCAGGGCTGGACTAAGGCGGGTGGCCTCTGGCACGTTGGCATGGTTTTGTGCTATTCCCGGTGGAGGAGCAGAGTCGCCTTTGGTGGTTTTGAGCCTCCCTTGCCCTTCCGTTCCAGGCACGGAGGTGAGGACTACGTGTTTTCCCTCCTCACTGGCTACTGTGATCCACCCGGCGGTGTGAGCTTGCGAGAGGGGCTTTATTACAACCCCTTCTTCCCTGGGGAGGCGATTGGCATGGCACCCCCGATCTACAACGAGATCCTGGAGTATGAGGATGGTGAGTGGAGCCGGGCAGGACTTCCCTTGGGCCGGTTGTGGAGCCCCACAGCAGAATAAAAATAAAGGACTGAAACCTCTGCCCTCTCCTGTGCAGGCACCCCGGCCACAATGTCGCAGATTGCCAAGGACGTCTGCACCTTCTTGCGGTGGGCGGCGGAGCCGGAGCACGACCACCGCAAGCGGATGGGCCTGAAGGTGGGTCTGCCTCTCCCCGTGGGGTAGGGAGCCCTCCAGGCGGCAGGAGCTTGGCTCCCCCCAGAGAGCGAGCCGGTGGGAGGTCTGGGAACACGCAAACAGGCCTGCTGAAACGGCCCCCTTCTGCCTGTGTGCTGCTCTCCTAGGAATGCCAGGGGGTGGGGACTCCAGTGATTCATTTCCTGAAATCTTTCTGTAGAAAAGTGACCTTATGCCCCCCCCTCGACTGTCTCCCCCCCCCCCCCAGATGATGCTGATTATGGGTATGCTGTTGCCCCTCATCTACTACCTGAAGCGGCACAGGTGGTCCGTTCTAAAGAGCAGGAAGATTGCCTACCGGCCCCCCAAGTGACCCATGCTGCCGGTGGGGCGGACCTCTCTCTGATGCCTGAGCTGCGCTGCCTCTACTGCCCTGGGAATGTATGCACAGACTGGCAGGCGGACAGGCGCTCGTCTCCATGCATTTGCTGTTATTTAACGTCTCCATCCGTTCGGTCACCCACAAAGCCTTGGGAAGAGGACCCTGGGTGGGCACCCAATAAAACGCGTTTCTTCAACCAGAAATAAGCGGCTGGTGTCTGTGTTGAAATCCAGGTAGTACATCGTATGGATTGTCTTGAGTGGCTGTTTTATTTTATACACACCCCCACACACCCTGGAAAAAAATCTCCTGCGCATGCCCCACATTTATACTTTTTCTTTTTTATTCAGCAGCATACATCCTGGGGAGCTTCCCCCTTCCTTGGTGCTGATGTTGCCCCCCCAAAGCTTAGCGCCCCGCACTGGGGGCTGTCAGTTGAGGCGAGGGTGCTTCCAGGAGTGGGACCCCTTTGGGGAGCCCCGTCTCCTTGGCCAGGGGGTCGCAGAGTGAGATTCTGGTAGTGCAAAAGGGGTGAGGGATGGGGCTCAAAGGCACAGTGGGGCGGAGGCAGGGCCAAAGCAGCCCCTTCTTCCCTCAGGCAGGGGAGCGTGGCCGCCCCTCGGAGGTCAGTGCAGGGAGTGGGGGGCAGAGCATCTGCGGCAGCCACAGTGGGTGGGGCAGGTGGGTCTTTCATCTGCTGCATCCTCTAAAGTCTGGGGAAGGAGCAGCCAGCCTTGCTGAGGCCTCTCCCCAAGGCCGGCTTCCAACGGGCCGCTTCTCGTCTCTGGGTGCAGAGGCTCCTTCCTTGCCAATGGGAGTCCTGGCAGCATCTGATGCCCCTTTGGCAGGTGCTCAGTGGCAGTTCTGGCATTGGGGGTGGCACCTTTCCCCATCCACGTTGCACCGGCAGCCTCCGCTGGTGTCACCGGGACCCTGCCAGGGAGGAGGACAAAGCGCATCAGGGGGAGACCAGCCGCCCGGCCGGAAGGGAGTTCCGCAGAGTGGAGCTTCCTAAGGATGTGGTGCTTTGGAGACATCCCAGCCCCCTTCCCAAGACGCCTGTCTCCCAAAGTCCGCAAGGCAGGGCATTGCTGGCCTCAGACTTGCTTCAGCACACGGTCCATCTCCCTCTGAGAAAGCGCTGAAAACTTCCTGTCCTCTGGCCGCCCTCACCCTCTCCATTTATCTCTACTGGGATGCCCTCTGCACATTGCAAAGCATTCTGGGCCACGTCATCTGTTGGATGGTTTGCAGATTGGGAGCAGCTGACCAGCCAGCCCCCTTTTTCGTCTAGGCCCCCCGTTAGTCTCTTCTGGAGCCTCTTCTCGCCCCTCCTGCTGCCTGGTGTGGCAGCCCCTGAGCCCCCTTCCGCGCTTACCCCAGGCCCCCAGCGCGGCCCCTTGGTCACCCAGCAGATCTCCGTCTGGCAGACAGGGCAGCGGAGCCAGTCGCAGCCCCCCTTCTTCTGCACCACGATGCGGCAGACGGGACAGTGCATGGCGTCTCCCAGCTGCACCAGCGTCTGGCGGAGACAGAGAGAGGGTGGCCATAGATCATAGAGGGCAGGGGCTCCCACGGGTCACCTAGTCCACCCCCATCATGCCCTTTGTGCCAAGAGGAAAATGCACCCAGAGGCCGTCCGGGGGGTGGCCAGAACAGGCCCTTGTCCAGTCCCTTTGAGCTACTCCCCATCTCCCCCGCCCCCCCGCATTGATCCAGAGGGTTGGCTCTGCCAGTGCCCACAGCCCAGGCGATAGGGCTGAATACCGTGCCAAGGCACTTGGGCTTTGAACGTTTCATTGGGGTGGGAAGAAGCGTGGTAGGACCCAGCCCCTGCCATGAAATGCAGCCCCTCCCCCTCCTGGCCAGCTCACCTTCAGCATGTTGCTGGTTTCGCGGGCAGCAGCGTCATTGTGAGCCTGGAACTGCAGCTTGTCCTGGTACTGCTTGCAGTTCATGCCCTCGTGGATGGCCTGCGGGTGGAGGGCAGAGAATCAGACCCGTGGCGTCCCTGCAAAGGGTTCCTTCCTGCTGCTCAAACTGGCGGGGGTGGGCAGCAGCCCCAGGACCCTCCCTGAGTGGCCGAGGCGTCTTAAGCCAAGCGGACACGTACAGACAGCAGAACGGGCATAGCCTTACGGCAGGTGGGTGGGTCAACGCCAGTTTTAACTGTCACTCTCTGAAAGTCAAAGCTGCCACAACCTGGAGACGGAGAGCTTGGCAGCGCCTAGTTATAAACTGTTGAACTCGCAGCCCCAGGAGGCAGGTACGGCCACCAAGATGGATGGCTTTCAAAGAGGATTGGGAAAATTCATGGAGGGCAGGACTGTTGATGGTGCCCAGCCAGGAGGGCTCTGCTCAGCCTCCAGAATCGGGCAGTGATGCTTCTGAAGACCAGTTTCTGGAAACCGCAGGATGGGAGAGTTGCTCTCTTGCCCGTTTCCCTTTGGAGCATCTGCTTGTCCGCTCTTGAGAGGCTGGACTAGGGGGGCCATTGGCCTGATCCAGCAGATTCTCTTTATGGTCTTACGCCTCCCTGCAGGGCCTTTTTATGTGGTGAAACATCCCCAAGGGGCCTTGCCCTTCCCCTGCAAACTGGCTCTTTGCATGTGTCGACCAGGCTGCCCCCTACTGTGACCACCTCCTTTGCCCTCCGGTGCCCAGGAGACCCCCCCCCATCCTGCCTCCCTTCCCCCAGGGGCTGCTGAAGCACGGGGCCAGGGTGCAAAGGAAGGAACTTGATTCCTTCAAGGAGATTTCTCCCCTCCAGTGTTTCTGAAAGACGCTAGAAAACAGTCTGGAGGCTGCTGACAGCTCAGAAGACGGAATGGGGGAGGGAGACCTCCAAGATGCGGGGGGGGGGGGGGCTGTGCTCTGGCCACCTTCAGCACCCTAGCCCCTCAGAATCACAGAACTGTAGAGTTGGATATTATTATGTCTGCCAGCACTTCTCCTTCATTCTTTCCAATCCCCACCTGTGGGCCTCCAGCCCCATAGCCAGTCCCCGTGGAGGTGGGGGGCCGAGGGCACAGTGCTGCCCCTGCCTGGGCTCACCTTGCAGACGAGGCAGTTGAGGGCCCAGCAGATGGGGCAGCGGAACTCGTTGACGTCGTCCTCGTAGATGCACCAGCCCAGGCAGTCGGCCGTCTGGCAGTGGTAGCTGTTCTGGGCCCTGCTCTCGGCCACGGCCAGCCGCCGCTCCAGGAAGCGCTCATACTCATCCCACGACACCAGCTGCGGAGACCAGGGAGCTGGCTCAGAGCCCCTGAGAGAGGGAGGGCAGGGCATGGGCTGGCCGGGGGGCACCCCCGGGCTTCCATGGCCGGAACGGGGTGGAAATCAAAGGAGCGTCTGGCCATGGCAGCCTCCTCCACTCCCCCCGTCTGCAAGAGGACCAAGCTCTGCAGAAAAAGACCTCAAGAGCTGGCCTGCTCAAATGCCACTTTGCATCTCCAACCGCTCTCGATGACGGCGGCAGGACAAGGGGGAGCTGAGCTGCCCTGCCAGCCTGCCCAAGGGACCCGGGCCGGAGGGATCCTTGAGCCTTGCGGACTCACCGCCCGGATCTCCCTGTCCTGGAGGTGGCTGCTGCAGGCATAGGAGTCGTCCCGGAAGGGACAGGCCACCTGGGGCTCCTCGCTGCAGTTGATCAGCTGGCGCAGGCAATCCCTGGAGAGGGAGAAGGGGGGACGGCAGCGGGGTCAGGCCACAGCACCCTCCCTTCCTTTCCCCACCCCCCGGTCCCTCCTGCCCCAGGCAGGCCAGGTTACCTGCAGAAGCTGTGCAGGCACTCCCGAAGCAGGACGCCCTCGCCAGGCTCCACGTTCAGGTAGCAGATGCGGCACTCAATCTCCTCCCGGTTGGGCACCAGCGCCGCCTCATCCAGCTGCTGCAACTGCTGGAAGTTCTGCAGCCGCTCTTGCTCCAGGGCCTGGAGGGGGCAAAGAGGGGCAGGTGGTGGTTGCCCAGCAGGCAGGCCGCAGTCCCCTGGTTAAAGGTGGGTAGGGGTCTCAGCCTGGGCACACCCACCACCCAGGCTGGTGAGATTTGGAGGGTCAGCTAACTCTAGAAAAAGGGGCAGAAGCCCCATTGCTATTCTTATTCTTATTCTTATTATACCACCTTTCCTCCAAAGATCAGAGGGTGGTTTACAACATAAAAATGCAAAATGCGTAACATAATAAGAAAAAAACACAACCCGCCCACCTCCAGGCACATTTAACAGGCCGCAGATTGTTTTAACAGTGGAAGAGGAACATTTTTGCCTGGTGCCTAAAGATATTATCACGAGCCAGAGTCAGTTGAAGGTCAGCAATTTTTAAAAAACCCAGTATTGTTGAAGTTAACTCTTTATTCAAATGAACCAAAACAGCTGAGGCCCAGTGATCCCAGCAACTGTTCCCAGTAGGTCTTGCCCCAATAAGGTAGTTGCAAGGACTTTCAAGCAAGCGGAGACTGTGGCAGCACACAACCAAGTTCTCCTCCTCTGCCCTTTCCATTTCTCTGCATGTTCTGGGAGACCAGCAGGGAGGGGAGCTGGTCACAGCAGGAGGGAGAGACCCCCTGGACTCTTCAGCAGCCGGTCTCCCCTCTGTCTCCTGCCTCTGAGTCTGGACTGCTCTCTGCCACAGTCTCTTCCTGCTCACTAAACCCTGTTGCCTCTTCAGCTTCCAACGCCTCCTGCTCCCTCTGACCAGGCATCCTTGTCCCACCACCAATTCCCGGGCTCTGAGCCTTCTTCCCCTGGGGGTTCCCCGGCTGGCACCTCGCACCACTCCTCTGCACCCAGCTGGTCCATGACAGAAATGGAGTGAAGGTGCCAGGCCCCCCCCCCGAAAAGCCTGATGGGAAAAGTAGGATACAAGACTCTGGAACAAACGCTCTGGGAAGAGGCATAAAACGAAGGTGGTGTCCCAAAGCATCACCTTCTGAAGAGCAGCAAGAACGTTGGAAGATAATGCACACTTTGGGTGCCTGATCTCAGGCGGCCTTTCGCGACACCTCCTCTAAGGCAGTCCAGGAACTGCATGCATATTTTGGGGAGGGGCAAGGCGGAGAGTGAGTCTTGGTAAAGGGGGTGACCTCACCACCTGCGGAAGACCCTCCCCTGACCAGGGCAACTGGCACCCGCAGGATCTTGCCAAGACTCAGCCAAGACGGATCTGCTTGCTCAGACCTCTGAAGGCCTTTGCTGCTGACCCAACCCAATGGGTGTGCTTTATTCTTCTGCAATTTTATTATAGGGCTCGTTTACATTCCAAGTGGCTCTCTGCTCTAGAAACGACAGACGAGAAGGACAGAATCGGGATCCTGAGATGTCTGGCAAGCACATCACAGCAGCATTCACAGAATTATGGAACTGAGCGAGTTGGAACCCAGGGGTCATCTAGTCCAACCCCCGGAAGGAGCTTTTTGCTGGCTCCCTCCTCCTCTATGCTTGTTTAATTGTGCCTCACTTTTTGCAAAATGTCTCAAAGCAATTCATAAAATATTTAATATGCAGAAGTTAGCAAAGTTTTAAAAGCCGTGACAGAATAAAACACTGGGTGGAATCCAGTGTAGTGCTAGGTGTGGGGGTCTGCTTGCACAACAGGACTTCTCCCCTCACGCCTCTGGGGGGCTGCTGAACCCATTCTGGGGTATCCCCCAAACCTTCAGAGATTTAGCGGGTGAGGGATATGAAGGGAGGGGGAAAACTCCATGTGCAAGCAGACCTCATTGTCCATGCAACAACTTAATTCCTGCCCCTTCCGTGTAGTGGGCCTGAACCTGTGGAACTCCCTGCTAGTTGAAATTAGGCACATGACTAAGACTTCCTTGTTCCAGCAAACAATTTAAGGCAGCGCTCAGTTTTATGATACGTTTTTATTCTTTTGCTGTCCCATTTTTGGTGGCTTGTTTTTATGTACCCCACTAAAGCAAGGAATGCAAACCTGCTGCAGTTCCCCAGACATGAGACGCCCATGAAATCAGCAAGTGGGGGTGCGTGCGAGGCAGTGAGGCTGCTCCGACCCTTGAAGTGGCTGTATCAACTCCTTCGCAGGCAAAAGGGCCGCCTGTGGCAAAGACAGCCTCAACGAAATTCTCTCAAGGGGAAGCTCACAGCAGAGACCCCTCAGTCACCACTTTGTGGCTCAGAGAGGACAGTGGGGATAACCCCCCCTCATCCCCCATGCATACCTCCTGAACAGCCCCTGCCCCCTTTCCCCATCAATGACGCTACAGAGAAGTACCAGGATGGACCGTCAAGCCCAAATGAATCATTTAATAGAACAAAGGATTTGCTCTCCAATTCATTTTTAAAAAATCAAATTTACAAACACGTTATGCAGAAATCAAGCCATTTCAAAACAGGTCCCGAAACTTCTGCTGCTGAATAATCAGTGTTCAGTACAGAGAGGGAGAGAAGGGCGTTTGGTGCCCCATCAGGGGCCAGGGCAGCAACGACTGCCCCACGGCGAGGGGAGCCACCTGCTCCAAGATCTGCTGGCTGGGACAAGCAGCAGCTGGGGCAGACCCCCAACGCTCAGGCGGCCCCTGACCCACCGAGAAACAGCCACCTTCAGGGGAGGGGGTTACAGCATTTCTCTTTCAAAGTGCTATCACGGCAGAGGGTCTCTCTTTCTAGTCCAGCTTCAGCATAAGCAAGTCCCCAAGGCAGAGCCTGGCCTTGCAGTTCAAATGCTGCCTGACCTGTGGGGCTGGGCAGGCCATGGCTTCTCCTGGTCAAAGGCACACGGGGAGAGCAGCCTCCATGGGGGGCAGAGGGAGGAGAGACCTTCAACGCAGGCCCCAACGGAGCGAGGAGCACAAAGCCAGCAAGCGGGAGGCTCCCGGCAAGCAGCAACGACACCCTGGCTGTGCAGGCCTGAGGGCAGAGCGGAGGAGAGCCAGAGGCAAATGAGGGAGGAAGGCACTGTGGGGCAAAAAGGAAGGAAGCTCTCGCAGGGCAACGGGCTCCATGGGTTGGGCAGGCAGCCCACAGATCCAATGCAGAGTGTCAAATACAGCAGATCGACTGCCTCCGCTGGGCAAACAGTGCACACACACACACATTTTCATGGTGGTATTCAAGTGGCAGCCCCACTGCAGGGGCTTTCGTGGCCCAGGAGACCGACCTGGCTCCAGCCTCTGAGGCTCACACAGCTCCAGTCTTCCATGAGCGAGAGGCAGGGAGGCTCTGGGCTGCTGCCAGTTGAGATGGGAAATGGGCCGAGCTCCAAGACCCAGGTGGAATGGAGGGGCAAGGGGGGAGCCTAGGCAAACCCACAAGTGTTGCATGGCTGTGCCCCAAAAGCTGCTCAGGTGGAGCGCAGCTCTTGCTGCTGTCACAGGGGGCTCTCAAAGCACCCCCCCATATGGCCTTGCTCAAAGGCCGGCCAGCCAGTGAAGCCGCCAAGGGCCAGCAGGGACTCTCAGCTGCTTGTTCTCAGCAGGGGAAGGTGGGGGGCAGCCACAGAAGCCCACCCCTGCCCTGCCCCTTGGGCTTCACTGTCCGCTTGGCTCATCTTGGCAGCCCTTGGTGCTGCAGCCGGGACTAACACACGTCCCCACTGCAAGGCTGGGAGGGGCAGTGGTGGCGTTGGCGGCCCCGGCTCTGAGGAGGGCTATGAGAACTCCGAGGAGAGGTGGATAAAGTCGTCCGGGGTTCCCAGGCTGTGGGCACAGGGCACAGCGGAACCGTCTTCTCTCCTTCCTTTTTCCTGCCACAAGAGAAAGAAGAAAGAAGAGAAGAGTCGTCAGGTGCTGCCGCCAGAGACTGCTGCCTGGAGCCTGACGCACCTTCACCACCACCACCACCCCCCAGAATGGCCTGCAGCCCTCCCTGAGAGCCCACCCTCCTTGGAAAGCACGGAAGGAGAAGGACGGAGCCCGAGAGATTTTGAAATTCTATTCTTTTTCTGGTGCACTCGACAACAACATGTTTTTCGTATTTACAGGAAATGTGATGAAAACAATACACTAAAAATATACCACCGACAAAACATTGAAAGGGACAACCAAATCATAATTAGTATCTCATTATTTAAGAAAATGAATCAAGCAAGAACTAAAGATCACCTACATAGTTGGGGAGCAGGATTTGGCCAGTATGTTAGACCCTTAGCTCCCCATCCGTCAACCAGCTGACATCACCACGGCATTGGGAGATAACTTCATGAGAAAGGTACAGGGCTCTTCCTCCCTCCCTTCCTTTGCAGGCAGAGATTGCGCCCAAAGATGTTTAAACTCAGAGGCGTGACGTCGGCCATACAGAGGGGAAGGGGGAACCTGACCTCGCTCTCAGGACCATCCTGGAAGTGGACTCCAGGCATCTGCAGCCTCGGAAGCAGGACATGTTCATTTCCACCCCATTCAGCAGTTTTGTTCCTTAATTTATACTCCACTCGTAGACCACAATGGCTTCTGGGCAGGCAGCAACTTAAGTGATTTGGGATGCACACTTTTTTAGCACGTTTCTTACGATGTAAATTTATAGCACTTCTCTTGTAAATAGCTTTGCGACTCCGTTCGGTTGTGTGAAGTTATCAATAAATTTAGTAAGCTGAACTTACTATCATCATCTAATTAGAAATCCCAGAATTAAGAAGAATCTGCCTGGAGACTCTATGAGCAAATTTGAAACAGCAAGTGGGGGATGCTTTTGAAAGCCTCCAGAACACAGTTGGGGAGCTGGCTTCTTGGACCACTACCAGCCACAATGACGATGTTTCCTGCCCGCTTTTGTAGGCAGCAAAGGCCTCTGAATAACACCAGGTGCTGGGAGGAATCGCAAGTGGGTAGAGTGCTGCTGCTGCCTTTAGCTCCTGCCTGTGGGCTTCCCAGAAGAGGCAGCTGGTTGTCCACTAGGACAACAGCCGGCTGGGCTGGACTGGCTCCCCTTGGCCTCATCCAGCTGCTGCAGGACACTTCTGGGGTTCTTAAGTGTAGGAGTGCAAATATCCAGAGTGTGGGGTCAGGTGGGATTACTATGAGGAATTATGAAATATGCATCAGGCCATTGTGTCCACGATGAAAGCATTGCGTTGACTGGGTTTGATACACTGACAATAATTTCTGATCCAATCCCACAAGCTTCTACATCTAAGCCATTTTTCCTCTACTGCCCATTTCTCTCTGCCTGACAGGCACGTATAAGCATTCTAGGACACAGACCAGTTGCCGGCTGCTGCATCAGGCATCCTGGGTAATAAAGCTAGAAGGTAGCTTTGATATAGTTTGTTAATCATTCATAAGGAGATGGTAAATACTACCTATCCTTCCTCTCCTGTTTATTGCTGTTTATGGCCTCTGGAGTTTCCTAAAAGCATTCCTCCTTGCTTCCTCCTTTATTTACTCTGAATTACATATGCATGCTCAAGTAGGAAATTAGCTCTTTGTAGTTTTAACTTTAACTTTGTCCCACGTGGGGTTTTTTGAAATGATCAGAGGAAATCTGATTGGTTCTTATGAACACTGTATAAAAAGTTCTTTTGTGAATAAAACGACCTGGGCCAAGGGGGTGGACGGGAATTATTATACACACTCCTCCCAGAGTCTTGCTGGTCAAGCCTTTGTGTGTATTCTATTAATCAGAGTCCAATCCTTCCTTTGCTTTGGGAATGCCACATTAAGGAGCTGCATAAGGAGAGGGAGCTAGAGAAAAGAGCCAAGAGAGCTGGGAGCAGCGCACAAAGCTTCAGACCCCTGCAGGGAGCTTCTCCAGTGGACTGTGAGGCACAGGAAGGGAGCTACCAGGACCTACCTTCTGGTACTGTAAGATGCCCTCCTTCTCCTGCTGCATCCGCCACAGCTCCACCTCATCCGGCCTGTAGCTCCCGGGAACCACATAGTTGGCAGGCCGGTCTGTGCTGCACATCTCGCAGCCGGGCCGTGTGGGCTTGTTGATGAAGGTGCAGGTGGGGCAAGACCAGCCAGTCTGCAATGGGAGATGAGGAGGAGGAGGAAGAGACCGCTAGACGTGGCGCCTGCAAGGATAGCCCAGGATGCAGCCACGTGCCCCACGACCACCCCTCTCCCACTTGTGCTTCCTGCCGGGCGATGAGGCCCACGCCACAAGGCGCTCTGGCCCCTTTCTTGAGCAGACTACGGGGTGAGGGGAGACAAGGCCACAGGGAGCCCAGGGACTGGGAAAGAGAGAGGGGGCACATATATGGGGAGACGGCTGCCTTGAGTTTCACCACTTAGCAGAGAGAGTACATACCGGCACAGGAGAGGGAGGAGGGGCAGCAGCCGGGGGCGGAGGGGCTCGCGAGTGGCCAGGGAGGAATTTTCCCAGGAAGTGGCTGCTCTCACCGATGTCCCTCTTCCTGTTAGAATTTTTCACACCTGCAACAGAAGAAGAAGACTTAGAAGAAGGAGGTCTAAGAACTTCGCAAGTGCAAAGTTTCTCTTAAACAAAAGCTAGGTTAATATCGATCAATCTGAATATAAGCATGTTAACTATTGGAGAGATTTTAATGATTTTTCTCAAGCTTCGTTTAAATAAAGTTACACAAATAAATGTTGTCCCTATGGCTAATCTCTAAACTCTCCCAGATACATTAAAGGAGGCTTTTCTATGAACATGAAAAACTGGTTGGATCATTTCTCAGGTATGCAGATTTGCACTCTAACAAAAATCAGATACGTTTCCTTTTCAGGAAATAAAGTCCTCCTGACTCCCAAAGGCCATCGGGCCTGACTGCCACCCACAGTCAGACCTCGGGTTGAAGTAGCTTCGGGATGAATATTTTCGGGTTGCGCTCTGCGACAACCCGGAAGTAACGGAGCGTGCTACTTCTGGGTTTCACCGCTCGCGCATGTGCAGACGCTCAAAATGACGTCACGCGCATGTGCGGAAGCGGTAAAACGTGATCCACACACACGCACCTTAAGTTTACTTCAGGATGCGAATGGGGCTCTGGAATGGATCCCGTTCGTATCCAGAGGTACCACTGTACTGGTCATGGGCAGGTCATTTTTGTTGCTGTTGGTTTCCTCTTTTGGGGGGGTGGTCCAAGGCAGAGCAAAGCAAGAAGGAGCAACAGGGACAAGAAGCGGGAGGAGCTAAGAGTGCTCAGCATACAAGTTCCTATGTCCCTCCCTCCCTCAGCCAAACCTAAGCCCACCCCACCCCCAGCACAAAGGGACAGATTCCTATTAGCATCATTTATGAATTTATACCGTTTTAGGATTGGACCTTTAACCACACACTGTCACAAGCTGTGTATCCAGATGTAAGAAAGAGATGCAAAGCTTGGCTGGAAGGATGAAACAACGTTAACAATATACTATTTAGTTGTAAATTAGTGGTCAGAATTGCACCACAGAGGAGGAAAGATATGAATAAATGTGAAACTGGACTTCAGTAACTGAATTTGGTCTTTTGTCTTCCCGATTTAAATTGCCTTGACTTGCATGCAGAAAAGCCGTTGGGGAGAGGTGTAACCTGTTCTGAGGGTTCCAAAATGAACCCCCTGCTTCTAGCCAGATGCAACCTCTTCCCCTCCCCTTAAGGAGCCCCCGCCATCCCCAAAAGGGCTCCCTGCCTGCTCACTTTTCTTGGGCAGACTGGTGGGCAAGGTGCTGAATTTGTGCCTGGCATCCGCGTTGTCCGCCAGGGGCGAGGGGGGCGGCTGCAGCACCACCCAGTCCCTGTCCTCCTTGAAGCGCTGCTCAGAGAGGTGGGCGCCCTTTGCCGATAGCAGGTAGAGGAAGGCTGTGTCTCCGTCCTTCCGAATCCCGTAAGAGCCAACGGTTCGGTCATCCACACAGAGACACTGGCCAATAATCCAGCGCTGGACGCTGGGGTGGAATCCGTAATCCTGAAAGACCTGGGGGAAGCAGAGACGGGGTCAGTGGGAGTCTGAAGGCTTCTCCTGCAGGCCAAGCAGCCAGGCAGTCGTTGGCATTTTGCCCCAGAAGCTGCCCCAGTGAGGGAGACAGAAGACAGCATCCCCGCCTCTGAAAAGCTGTGCCCGGGTTACCTTCTGCCTGAGCCCTGCAATGGTGGTGTACGTGTGGACGCGGGTGGTGATGCTTGTTGAGCAAGTGGCGTCTTCCACCTGCACCTTCATGCTAAAAGGAAGGGAATCAGCCAGTGAGGTGAGCACAGCTTGTCCCGCAACCGGCCATCTTCAGAAGAGGAGGCGTGCAGGGGATTGGCCCCAAATCACCCAGCCTAACCCACCCAGCCTCCTCCAGAGACACCGGCTCCCTGCCCAGCCCTCCGCTCCCACCTGATCTCGCTGGTGGGGTAGCAGGACTCCTTCAGCAGGATCCGCAGAGCAGCGTGTTGCTGGGCGAGCAGCGTGGCACAGCGCATGGCTTCCTCCTCGTCCCCGAGCTCAATAGCAGTGGACAGGTGGAGCGCCAGGTCCTCTGAGGAGGAGACAAAGCCAGGCATGAGCCGGCCAGGTCAAGTTGTGCACCCCCCATCTCAGGCAAGCCTCCCGCCTCCCGCCCTTCTCCAAGGTCTGCAATGGAAAACCTCCTAGGGAGCCACCCACTGCTGAGCAAGAGCTCTCAAGAGCAGCCCCACCCCCTGCCCCACACTTGGCTTGCTGCTGCAGGTGGTCAGACCCAAGACTTCCTTCCAAGTGAGTTGTAAAAGCTTTCTTATCTTATTCTGATTTTGACCATTTGCACCCTGCTCTTTTCTTAGTCACACAGAGGCCTCGTGCAGCTGTTGGATTGGTTTTAGTTGTCTTCAGTTGCAGCATAACTCAGGCTAGGACCTGGGAGGCCAGGGTTTGAATCCCCAGTCAGCCACAAAGCTCACTGGGTGTGGAACTAGGCCAGTCAATCACCCTCAGACTAACCTACCTCAAAGGGTTCCTGCGAGGATAAAATGGGGAGGAGGGGATCTGTGTCAACCACCTTGAGCTCCTTGAGGAAAGGCGGGATATGAATGCAATATATGACACTCTTCTCTTCCTCTATGTTGACTGGTTGTTTTACTTTTTTAAAAAAAAATGAAAAAAAGTTGGGGCAGTTGGGGGGGCTCACAATATGGGTGGCAAGGGCAGCCCCCTCTTCCTCATCCAGCTCAAGCAGCCACTCCTTCAGGACACTTATGCTGCTCTGGTGAGTTATACAGGGCAAACCGCAAAGCACGGCTGGGGAGCCTCCAACCCAACCACGGATGCGGCCTCCTACTTAACTGCATGTGGCCCCTGGGTATTTCCAGCGACTCCTCACCACTGAGGTGGTGGATCAAGCAGGCACCCAGGGAAGAGGTCAACATAAAAGGAAATAAAACCAACCAAGTGCTTTTAATGCAATCAATAACTGAATACTTGCATGGGCACCAAATGAAACCCCCATTCCAGTGGATTAGCGTCAATGGGGAGGAAAGGCTCAACAGGAAGTGTAAACATGGCTTGCTTTTTAAATAGGTATTATTTATTCATCTGTTTACCTCTTGCTTGCCAAAATGGATTCTAAGCCATAGAAATATGGGGGAGATTTTGGGTAATTACTGAAACCAAGTTCTCTCTCAATTCACCATCTCAACAATACTTCACAAAATGCACCCACTCCTCATTACCACTGTGCAACAAAACCAGCTGCCTAACCTGATACAGGCAGAAGGAAATTTCAGATATGCAAACATCATATTTCCTGGCAGCTTAGTAGCGTTTATGATGTGTCTTCAAGGGCACAGGTAAAAGGAAATTTCAAATACGCAAACATCACATTTCCTGGCAGCTGAGTAGCGTTTATGATGTGTCTTCAAGGGCACACTGCCAGTGGACAAGTGTCCTGTGCCATCAGCCACCCACCTTTCCTGGCAAGCTCCAAGGGCAGGGAGACTTCGATGTCTGACAGAGAGTTGAAAAGTGCCAAGGGAAGGGGAGAAGGCCGTCCTGTCAGCAAACCGCTTCCCTCAGTAGCTGGGGAGAGAAGAGACTTTAGAAGAAGTGCTCCAGCAGGCAGACACAGAACATAAGATGATCAGACTAGCCTGCTGGATCAGGCCGATGGCCCATCTAGTCCAGCATCCTGTTCTCACAGTGGCCAATCAAATGCCTGTGGGAAACCTGGAAGCAGGATTCAAGCCATGCCCTCTCTCACTACCAGAAGCCGGACCCTGGCATTGTAAGTGCCTTCCGGGGCAGGAGCTGACCTTTCTGGAGCTCCTGGAGGGAGCTGCTGACGACTGTCCACCACTTCTGTGCCTCATGCTCATCCTCAAAGTGGAAAACAAGGGGGTCGTCTGGGCGGGCTAAGAACTTCAGCTCATGACACGTGGCAGTCTTCACCTCATAGGAAATGTCTCTGAGGTTGTACTCAACAAGGCCCTGGGGGAAGAAAAGCATTAGTGGGCGAGTGCAAAGTCAAATAGCCCCAACCAGCTCTTGTTGAGGCCTCTTTACCTCAAGCAACACGGGGGTCAAAGCACCCATTCTATTCTTCAGCCAAGTCTCATCAGGCTCCCCCTCATCAGTGCTCATGCTGAAAGCTGCTCCCACTGCTGAAGAGCTCAAAGGATGGACCTCTCCTTGCACAACAGGACTTGTTCCTCTCCTCCCTCTGTGCAAAACTGCTTGAGAGGTTCTCCCATCCCTCCAGAGCAGATTTTGAGGGTGTATAGTGGACTGCAGGGGAGAGAGAGAGGAGGGGAAAGTTCCATTCTGCAAGTGGAACTCCTAAGAACAGAGGGAGAACCTGCTGAATCAAGCCAATGCCCCATCTAGTCCAGAATCCTGTTCTTACAGTGGCCAACTAGATGCCTCCAGGAAAGTCGCAAGCAGGATTCAAGCCCAAGAGCCCTCTCCCCTCCTGTGGTTTCCAGCAACTGCTATTCAGAAGCATTACTGCCTCTGACTGCAAAGGCAGAGCTTAGCCATTATGACTAGCAGCCATCAATAGCCCTCTCCTTTGTGAATTTGTCCAGTCCTCTTTCGAAAACACCCAAGTCTCTTGCAGGAACACTGCATACTACTTTGGGGTGAGGGTGTCTTTAGAACGCCACTGGCAGAAGCAAGAGGAGCCTGCATGTCCTTTCCTGTTCTGCCCTATTTGTTTACAGCCCCTCAGGATGAGTGCGAGGCCTGTGTATGGTAGGCAGGGTGTTATAGAGGTAACGAGAAGGTGTAAGAGGCACAATCCACAAACGCCACTAACCAAAGCAGTTTCAGTGCTGTGCCCAGGCCTGAAGCTGGACTTAAATGGATCCAGATAATCAGTTTCCTCCAAGCATGCCTGGAGCTGGACCACCAATACTGTCTCAAAGACACTTAAACTGTTGTTAAACATGTTGACTGCAAGCCATTTTGGGTACCGCTGTATGCGATGAAAAGGTGGGGATGTAATTGTTTTTAATGAATAGTACATTATGCCTGGCGTGCTCTGGACTAAACAACTAAACAACAACAACACATTATGAGCAGGCATACTTGAAGCACACAATGGACTAAAGCATGTTGAGGAACGGACCTGGCCTTTCTACTTGATCCAAGAAATCAGTGCATTTAACAAAATCGAAGTGCAAGGGAAACGGAAACAAGCTGCTACCATGATCCTTGCTTGGATATATGAGCTGGATATTCTATGCTCAAATCCCTGGATGTTGTTTGTTGTTGTTAATTAATAAACACTTAGGAAACACCTAATTCTTTTTCTAAGCATTGTTCATACATTGAGACATCCTGTAAAATGTGGGGTGGGTGGGGAGAAACAGATCCTGTAAAGAATGACTTTGCTGGCCTCTTGGGCACCTCTTGTGAAAGAGGCAAGCCTTCAGCGCCACTCAGAGAAGAGGGACATTTTCCAGCAAAGTCCGACAGCGGCTAGGAAGCCCCAAACAGCCTGGGCTTTGCCCCTGGCGCTGCTTCCCCACGGCCGGGCAGCCCCTTTCAGCAGCTGAAATGCACCCACTCCGGTCTGACGGGTTGGGGCAGCAGCTGCCGGCCCAAGAGCTTCGACGGCCTGTGGGGAAGAAAGGCAGGGAGGAGGAGGAGGAGGAGGAGGAGGAGGAGGCAGCAGCCTCTGGTAAGCGGGCGAGAGAAGCCTGTGTGGCAGGGCCAGAGGGGCGGACCAGGACCTGGGTTCAAATTCCCCTTGGGCCACGGAGCTCTGTGGGCGTGACCTTGGGGGGGGCCAGTCGCCTCGGTCTACCTCGCAGGGTTGTTGCTGGGGGGCGTGACCTTGGGGCCAGTCGGCCTCGGAGGGGTGTTGTTGGGGGGATGAGGGGAGGAGGAGGAGGAGGAGCATAGGCCCCCGTTGAGCTCCCTGGAGAAGGCAGGCGCGACGCCAAGCCAAGGGCGGCCCAGGGAAGGGGTCCCGCTGCCTGCCCCCTCCCCGCCCGAGGCCCTTCCCTTCCCGCCCCCTCTCACCGCTTCGCCCCCCGACTCCGCCGCGCCCCTCAGGCCGAATCGGAAGCGCTCGGGTCCGGGCGCGGCGCTCAGCTGGAGCCGGAAGAGGCGCTGCGCTTCCCGGCCGGCCGGCGAGGCGGAGGGCGGCGCGGAGGGCGCGTCCGGCGAGCGGCGCGGCACCCAGGCCTTGGCCGAGGCCAGCAGCACCAGGCCCGACGGGGACGGCGAGCAGCCCGGCGCCGCCGCCATCGAGTCGCCGCCCGGAACCGGAAGCCGAGCGCGGCTCCCCGCGGGGCGCTTCCGGCGCGCCGCCGTCCGCTTCCCCGCCGCCGACGGAGGGAAACCGCCGCCCGACTCCGAGGTTCCGGGCCAGGAGGGGACCCCCTCAGCGGAAGCGGGGCGGGGGAGCCCTAGTCTAAGAGATATATTTGAACGGCATATAAGCTAAACAACCTAGAGCTTAGTTAGGGCCCCACTCTCTTGGGGGCCCCCAAAAAAATTAAAGGAAAAAAATATCTGGATGTACATTTCCAAAATATAAGATAAAAAAGAAATAAGATAAAACCTTCATACAGAAACAGTGTTTTGTGTTCTGTATGGACCTATTAGGTCCATAAATTACCATATAGCATATATTCAACACAAAAAACAGCAACAATTTGTTGCTGATAAAGGGCCCCATTACCTTCAGGAGCTTAGGGCCTCATCAAACCTAAATCCAGCCCTGGCCCTCCTATATATATATTTGGGCGACATGTTCGATTCAGCACTTGGGCTTCTTAAAAGATGGTTGCGGCCACCCCCTGGAGTTGCTGGAGCCTGGAAAGAACTCACCTGCCTTCCACATTTCAATGCCCAGCCCTCCTGGCCCCGCTGGCTGGGGCTGATGGGAGTTGTAGTCCAATGCTACCTACCTGCATCGTAGGGGGTTGGACTAGATGACCCTTGGGATCCCTTCCAACTCTACAATTCTGTGATGCTATGATGGCACCTTGTGAGCGAAGTCTGCTCCCCCTTGGAGCTTGGCGGGAAGGATAGGCCTTGTGCCAGCTCTCAGGCTGGTGTGTAGCAGCGCTGTCAACAGGGAGCATGGGCTGTGCGCCCTCTGCTCTACCGTGAGCTCCTTCCACCAGCACATTTTTTCCCATTGGCAAAGGAGCATGTTTGGGGAGTTACACCAAAGGAGACTTCTGTCCCCTCCGAGAACCCCTCTGCAGCTGGGCTTTCTGCTTAGGACAGCCCTCTGAAAGAACATAACATCTGCATTTGTTTGTGTGGCGTTTGCCCTCCTAGGTGGGTCATAAGGAAAGGGTTAAATGAGTGGGAAGTGATTGGCCAGTGGGACCCAAGGGGAGGAGTTAGAGTTAGAGTTGGTGTTGTTTGGAAGTCAGTTGAGAGTTGGGAGTTGGAGAAGGAAGAGGGAGGATAAGTCTGTGGGTTGGTCGAGTTGTGTTGTGAGAGAGTGAGAGGAACTGTTAGGTGGAGTCAGATAGATAGTTGGGGTAATCAGTTTGAAGTTGTTAGGAACGTTTAGGTCAGTAAAGAAACTACGATTAAGAAACTGACAAGAAAAACTATCTGAAACCATAAACTTGTTAAGGCTTATAAAATAAACTTGATTATTTGTTTTAATGTTAGCAACTGTCTGGACTCTGTGTGTACCCGAGAGAAACGGGTTGGTGGCAGCGGGGAAGCAATCACAGTGGTGGCACAGGGATCAATAGACAGTCAAACGTCCGGGGACCCTGTGTGATCGCCATAGTTTGCAATCCAAATTGCCACAGGAGATCTAGTGTCCTGTCATGTTTATTAATAATAATTAGTGACTGACTGCTATGTCTTCTATGAAAGAGGGCAACCAAAACTGATTGCAATATGTTTGCCCACAATAGACACATCTCGCAGGCTTGAAGGATGGCCTTCTACCAGGGGAGCCAACTTCCATGCTAAATCCTTCCTCAGAGGCTTGCTGCCACATACTCACCCCTGACAAGGCCCATGGGCTTGTCGGTGGTGGCGCCAATTTTGTGGAACTCCCTCCTGAGGGACACGAACCTAATGTTCCTTCCCTGGTATTCCAATACAGAGGCTAGGGCTGTGTCACTCTATAATGCTTTTGGACTAGTGAGCCATCTGGAGCAGAATTGTGCTTTTTTATTCCTTTCGACATCACCTTGCCAACAAAGGTCCATATAGTTCAAGGTATGGTTTTCCCAGTAGTGATGTATGGAAGTGAGAGCTGGACCATAAAGAAGGCTGATCGCCGAAGAATGGATGCTTTTGAATTCTGGCGCTGGAGGAGACTCTTGAGAGTCCCATGGGCTGCAAGAAGATCCAACCTCTCCATTCTGAAGGAAATCAGCCCTGAGTGCTCCCTGGAAGGACAGATTCTGAAGCTGAGACTCCAAGACTTTGGCCACCTCATGAGAAGAGAAGACTCCCTGGAAAAGACCCTGATGTTGGGAAAGAAGGAGGGCACAAGGAGAAGGGGACGACAGAGGACGAGATGGTGGGACAGTGTTCTCGAGGCTACCAGCATGAGTTTGACCAAACTGCGGGAGGCAGTGGAAGACAGAAGTGCCTGGCATGCTCTGGTCCAGGGGGTCACGAAGAGGCGGACACCACTAAACAACAACAACAACATTCCTTTCCATGAATTTGCACTGGTTTTTCTGTGGAGATATCCTAAGTTGGTTTTAAATTATTATCATCTTTCATGTGGCTGCTTCATATGGAAAAAGCAGCGGGCAATTTTTAAAATGAAATGAAATGAATAATCCTGGTCATTTTAAAGATTGCCTGAAATGCTTGGCCTTCCCAGAAGGAAAAGAATTGCGGCTGCATTGGCGAAGCGGGTCCTGATTCCGCAGCTGGACAGGCGCGGAATCCCTCAGGCGGCGCCCTCCCCCGCCCCCTGGGAAAGGGGCGTGGCCCTCCCTTGAGTGACAGCTGCCCCGCCCCTTCTTTGTTCCACGCTCGGCTCGACAGCGCCTTGAGGCGGCCGCCAATGAGAGCCCGGCTCTATCCCAACGGGTGGGGCTGGACACATGCCGTTGATTAGCGCGCCGGGGAGCCACTGGGATGCGTCAGCCCGAGTGATGGGCACCCGTTTCCTCCAATGGAGATGGCGGACCTGGCTGGCGCCCAATGGCTGCCCGCGCGGGGCGGAGCCGCTCGCTCTTGTTGTCGTCCTCTGCTCGAAGCCCGAAGTCAAGTCGGTCGCTTCGCCTGACAGGAAAGAAGGCAGGAAGGGAAGCCGGGAAAGCGACTCCGCGTCGGGCGCTCGACTAGCGGCCTCGTCGTGCCGAGCAAGCGGGGCCATGGCCGGGTCTGCGGGGCCCCTGAGGGCCGCCGGGCGGAGACGGGCCCAGGCGGCGGCTGAGGCGACGGCGGCTGAGGCGGCCACGCCCGCTTCGAGTTCCCCCCGGCCTGCGCTGCTCGACGGCGCGCAGCCCCTGAAGGAGGCGGCGGCGGCAGGTGGGTAACGGGGCCCCGGGGCCTGGCCGGGCCGCGAGGGGCGGGACTGCGCTTCCCGGCATGCCCCGCGCCGGGGCCGCCTCGGCGGGCGCCGTCCTTGGGGCCGCGGGGCATCATGGGAAGCCGAGTCTTTCGGAGGCCCGGCCTGGGGAGGGGAGGGCGGGGCGGGAAGTGGAGTGGGAGGCCCGTCTCCTTCGCCGGAGCTTCCGGGCCCCCCCATCTCGGGGGCGGGGCGAGCGCTTCTCTGGGTCTTCGGCCTCATCCTCTGTCCTCCCGCGGAGCCGAGCCGCCTTCCGCCCCCGAGGCCGAAGCACCCGAAGCTCATCGGGGGGCCTGGCCGGTCTTCTGAGTCCTGCACCGCGGGGGGTTGGACTAGATGACTCGGGGGGTCCCCTGCAACTCCCCCCTCCCTCTGTGTATCCTCTTTCCCCTCCCAGCCAGGCGTGACTTCAGGACTAGTGGTTGCCTCTCACCCAGGCTATGCGTGAGCCTCCACGGGGAGAGCAAAGTAAATGCTCGCTAGCACCCGAGAACGTTTCTCGTAATCACATTTCCCTTAGAAAATCAAAACACCAAGGACCCCACAAAATCTCCAGGAGGATTCTTTGGACACATTTCTAGGTTCAGCATTTGATCGTGTAACTTTTCTCTCTCCTCTTTTAATGCTGTCACATCCCCCTGCACCACATCCACTTTCTTCTTAACCTCACGGTTCCCAGATAATTTCCCAGCTGCCTCCTCCACAGAGACTGTTATTTTAGTTAACGTAGATCTGGAGGCCAAGTGCAACTGACTGCATGGAATTATGTTTGGGTGGCATTTTGGGAGTTGAGGTCAAGATGGGAGATGTCAAGGCTTGGATATCACAAAACTCTCCCCTTTTCCACTGAAGTATTTCACAGGTGCTGACTAGAGCTGGGGGGGGGGGTGTCATCTGCATCCCTGTATGAGTCACTGCCTTGCTGGTCTTCCAGAGCCAGTGCCGGCCTTCTTCCTTGTTTGCTTTTTTGATATGCTTTGAGTATAGTGTCCCCTTGTGGGTGGGCAGCAGCAGAGCCCAACGTCTTCTGAGGTGTCAATTAAGAGGCCCTTCTCTCTCTGTCACTGCCAGGAAGTTCCAACCTTGAAGCGGTAATACTGAGAATTTAGTCCAGCGCCAGGAGGTACAAAAAATGAAGCTGTTGGAAAACTCAAGTTTTGAAGCCCTAAACTCCCAGCTGACGGTGGAAACGGGAGATGCACACATCATTGGCAGGTGAGTGGCAAGGCAGCTCCTGAACTGGGCCATCTTGCCATGTGGCCCCCAAGGGTGCTTTTCTGCAGCTCAGAGGCCTCTCCAAACTGAGATACACCCCCACCTCCCCTCCAGCTGAGTCTTGCCTGTCTTCCCTCAGGATTGAGAGTTACTCCTGCAAGATGGCCGGGGACGACAAGCACCTCTTCAAGCAGTTCTGCCAGGAAGGGCAGCCCCACGTGCTTGAGGCCCTGTCCCCACCTCAAACCACCGGGATCAGCCCCAGCAGGTATGTGCTGTCCCTTCCTCACCCCACACGGAGGAGGCAGAGCTGGCTCATCATCACCAGCTTCACTTGGCCTTGCAGGTCGGTGGGCTGGATCAGAGTTCTGTAAGCCAGGAGAGTCTCACCGTATAATTATTATTATTGTTGTTGTTGTTGTTGTTTGTTTATATCCCACCCACCTGGCTGGGTTTCCCCAGCCACTCTGGGTGGCTTCCAATAAAATATTAAAAATATTGCCAGGGGGAACTCAGAACTTCCTGTTCCCGGCTTGCTGGGGCCGATGGGAGTTGGGAGTCCAGGAACACTGGAGTCCCCCATTCTTGGTTTAATGCTACATGAAATGCTGCTTCTGTTCTCTGGAGCATCCCAGGCCCTGCCCTTTCTCAACTGGTGCTTTGAGGCTGTTGTGTCAAGATGATTCCCCACAGCCCAGATCTTCCTGCACCTTAGCACTGGGAAAAGTACATGGCAGATTCCAAGGCCACGGCCTGATGCCCACGGCTTCCTCCAGGCGGAGGTAACTGACCGCATCCTGTCCCTTGTGCGCTAGGCTCAGCAAGAGCCAAAGTGGCGATGAGGAGGGCCCCCTCAGCGACAAATGCAGCCGCAAGACCCTCTTCTACCTGATAGCCACCCTCAACGAGTCCTTCCGTCCTGACTACGACTTCAGCGCTGCCAAGAGCCACGAATTCAGCCGGGAGCCGAGTCTCAACTGGGTAAGCCCCCACCCTGCTATGATAATCTGGCCTTCAGGCCCCACACAAGTCAGCAGATCTCTTGGCCCTCCTTGTCATCCCGGGTCTCATAGCCCCACATGTGATAGCAGTTCTCCAGCGCTGCTTTTTGTGTGGATGCCTGCCAATTCTTCTCCACCTCCCCCCCCCCCACTGCATTGAAAAGTGCCAGGGTCCCAGGGAGTGGCTTCTAGAGAAGGTGGGGCAGGATTTCCTTCACGTTGACCCAAGGGCTCCATCTCCCTCCCATTCTTTGCCCTCTTCCCACAGAGAAAAGGGCATTGTTTGCCCCTGAGATGCTTGGGGTGGGGAAACATCCGGCTGGCATGAAACCCCTCCCTGCGGTTGGTGGTGCTACTGAGGACCTGCTTCCTGCCTCCTAGGATTTTTGCAGACTGATGGAAAGGTTACCTATATGGGATGGATCAGGCCAACCCGTTGGCATATCTGGTCCCTTTTCCAGCTTGGATGCCCCTGGATCCCACCCAGCTCTCCCGCTGGAACCTGCATCTGCTGCCCTGGACAGGCCCCACCTGTCTTATCTCTTGGAGGATGCCCCTCTGCAGTCCAGCTCAAGACTGGGGCTTCCCTGGCCCCTTCACCTGGTCTAGGACTGGGAGGAGCTGCATCCGTTCTGTCTACCTGAAGCCTCCCACGCTTGAGCTGCTGCAGGACCATGCTGTAGCCGCCTGGGGACAGTGCAGGGATGGTGGGGGCCAAATGTACACATGCACCCCCTCCCTCTTTGCAGCACCAGGCCCTCACCAAGCTCCCCTCTGTGTCTGTTTCAGGTGGTGAACGCTGTGAACTGCAGCCTCTTTTCTGCTGTGCGGGAGGATTTCAGCGCCCTGAAGCCCCACCTGTGGGACGCTGTGGACCAGGAGATCTGCCTCTCGGAGTGTGACATCTACAGGTGGGCTCCCAGTGCTGCTCTCGGGCACCAAGGGGTGGGTGGGTGCTGCTTTGCTAGCAGCCTGCTCTGTGGAACACCCTCCCACCAGATGTCAAGGAAATAAACAACTGTCTGTCTTTTAGAAGGCATCTGAAGGCAGCCCTGTTTAAGGAAGTTGTTAACGTTTCATGTTTTATTGCATTTTTAATATTCTGTTGGGAGCTGCCCAGGGTGGCTAGGGAAACCCGCCAGATGGGTGGGGTATAATAATAAATAATAATAAATTTTATTTATATCCTGCCCTCCCCAGCTGAAGCCGGGCTCAGAGCGGCTAACAAATTATTATTATTATTATTATTATTATTATTATTATTATTATTATTCCGCTTTTTCTGCCAATGTAGCTACAACCCGGACCTGGACTCGGACCCCTTCGGAGAAGAGGGCAGCCTGTGGTCCTTCAACTACTTCTTCTACAACAAGCGGTTGAAGCGGATTGTCTTTTTCACCTGCCGTTCCATCAGGTCAGGGTCCCTGCCAAAGTGGCAGGTTTCGAGGCCTCCCCACCCCCTGCTCCCTGGGTCCCCTTCCTGGTCCAAAGGGCAGCTTGAGGCCTTGGGAGACATAATGTGGTGGGCTTCTCTTTCTGCAGTGGCTCCACATACCCTCACCCCGAAGCGGGAAATGAGCTGAACATGGATTTGAGCGAGGATGATGCGGAGGAGGAGGAGGCGGCCGGCCCCCGCGACGAGGACGGGGCCAGCATTGAGGAGGATAGGTGAGGGGGCTTGGTGTCAGAAGCCCCTGTGTGCCTGCTCCCCCCACTGGAGTTTGCCAGAGCTGGAAAAGGCCTAAGGGTCCCAGCTGGGGACAGCAGCAACCTCTGTGTGGCCTGCAGCTCAGGTGGTGGCCCCTCCTGGGAGCGAGGTGCTGGGTGGGCTTTGCTTCTCCCTGTGGCTGGAGACAAAGGCCGTGGGGTGCTGAGGACCTCCTTTCCTGTCTGCAGGAGACAAGTGATCTGCATGTGACTTCTTGGGCTCTTTTTGCGCCCCCTCTGAAGACGGCTCCTCCAGCGTGTTCCCCCAGACTAGCCCGGCATCGTCGTGTTGCTCTGCCTATTGGCCCTGTGGATGCTGCCTGACCAGCTGGTGCCTCCAGACTCCCAAGGATGCTGCCAGCCAGTCCCTTTGCCCGCCTGCAGGCTTTGGCACCCCTGCAGCACTGGAAAATTTGTCCGGCCCCCAAGAAGCACTTTTCTGTTCCAAGTGGCGTCAGAGCAAATGCCCTCCATTCATCTGCAGCCGCAGCTGCAGCCACCATGGTGGAGAGGCTGCCCCTGTCTGGGTTTGGGGCTGTGCCTCTCTATCCTCAGGACGCTGGACCCTCTCAGACTGACCCTCCCTGGAGATTTGTCCGTCAGTTTCAAGTGTCTGTGGCCCCTTTCTGCTGACTTCCAGATGCTACAACCTGCTAAAGACTGCACAACATGCAGAAGATGGATTTCCTGAGGATGGCATCTTCCCCTCCCTTGTTTTTGACCGCAAAAGACATTGGTGCCGAGTGTCCTGGACTGGCAGAAGTCAGGGGTTGGGCACCTTGGTGGCTTGGCTGCTTTGCTTTCCCCCAAGGGCTCATAGAGTTTTATTTTTATATTCCAGCCCAAACCTCTGTGCTCATGTCTCCCCCGTCCACCCTCCCTGACCCTTTCCAATGCCAGCCTCCTTCCACCTGATGCCCACCTCTTCCTCCTTTCAGTCTCCACTCCGTAGCCCAACAGACTCATTTCTGGGTTGGTAGGAGGGAGCGCTTGGTACCTCCTCTGCTCAAGAGCTGAAGGAACATTGGTGCTGGCAGAGCAGAAGGGGCTGCTCTCGTGCCCTTGCCATCATACTATGGGGCTGTGAAAGTGCCCCCCTTTCTCGCTCCCCCCTTTCTCTTGCACTGACTTGGATTCCCTCCGGGGGCGCAGGGGGTGTCTTGCCGTCTTTTCTGCAGTCTTGTGATCTGATTCCAGAGGGCTATGGCTGTAGGGGCCTCTATCCCTTGGCTTCTCATCTGGGCAAAATCACTCCAGGCCCACCATTTGGAGCAACCTGCCAAGAACAACAGGCCTGGTCCTCTGTTTGCCTCCCCCCCCAAAAAAAAGGTTGGCTTGAGAAGTAGCCTGCCTTTGGTCCCCTTGAGGCTTCCCCGCTGCTGCTTCCCGCTGCTTCCCTTGCCCCTGTGCTAGGCAGCAAGTGATTTTGGAGCACCCCTTGGCCTCTTTCCCTTTAGATCCACTGGCTTGTTTGCCACCTCCTGTTTAATTCTGTTGCCTAGCAATTTTATTGTTGCAGTTATAAACGTTTTTCTCCCTGCGACTTGACATCGTTCTGTTTCCTCGAAGGAGCATCCGGATAGGGGAAGAGGGTGCCAGAGGGAAGGGTCTGCTCTGTGACTGCCTCCCACAGCCCTCTCAGAACTTATTTGTTCCTGGGAAGCTGTAGCTTTGAGCGCAACAGGTGGGGTGTTGTGCGCTTCTGTGGGTCAGCCTCATCCTTCAGGATTGCTCTTGCATTTCTGGCCCAGCCTCTTGCTCTTTTTGGGGCAGGCAAAGAACAACAGAGCAAAATGATTTCTAGAATTCTCTCCCTGTCCCTGGTAAGTCTGCCTTGATATCCCAGTGGTGAATTGTATGTGTGGACAGACAGAGGGTAGTTCTGGAGGGTTGAGAAATAGCACTCTTACCCCTGAATTGGCACAACTTCAGGGGTCTGGGTCTGGACCACAGTGTGGCTCACGGGTTGGGGGGTGGTGACATCATCCACATGCGCCAGTACTCTGAGGCCTCTTCCTCCACCCTGCCAGCAACATGCAAAGGTCAGCCAATCCTGGCTCACACCTTGGTAGAGGGACGTGGGGCAGTTGTATCTTCACTGAGCCTAGACAGTCAAGCTTTCAATCTAACTGGTTTGAATGTGTGTTTGTGTGTGTGTTATTTATTTAAGACAGTTATATACCATTTAATCAGTAGCATTTCTAAGTGGTGTCTAAAAACCATATAGGCGTTGAAATAATAAAAGTATCATAAACCAGAACACTTCCTTAAAATGCCTGCTGGGACAAGAAAGCCTCAACAAGGAGGGTGTCTGTGTCATCTGAAGCTTGCCCCTCTCGCCTCCACTGCATGGGGTTACTGGGGGAGGAGCAGCCTCAGGCCAGAGCTGGAGGCCCCGTCTTCAAGAGGAACCTGCATGACCACACCCAGGAAGCCAGTGTTTTAAAAAAAAAAAGGCAAAGGACCCCTGACAGTTCAGTCCAGTCGCAAACGACTCTGGGGTTGTGCTGTTCATCTCACTTTACAGGCCGAGAGAGCTGGAGTTTGTCCACAGTTTTTCTGGGTTATGTGGCCAGCATGACTAAGCTGCTTCTGGCAAAACCAGAGCGGCACACGGAAACGCAGTTTACCTTCCCGCCGGAGTGGTACCTATTTATCTACTTGCACTGGTGTGCTTTCAAACTGCTAGGTTGGCAGGAGCTGGGACAGAGCATGGGGAGCTCATCCCGTTGTGGGGATTCGAACTGCTGACCCTCTGATCGGCAAGCCCAAGAGGCTCAGTGGTTTAGACCACTGCGCCACCCATGTTAGCCTGTGCCAAAATTCGATTCTGGCAAAAGACCCTCTGCTTTGGATTGCTTCAGTCCACTGGTGCCAACTGGGTGGGAGAGATGTTGCCTGTGGTGACTCTCAACGTTTTGCATCTGCTTCTGAAGTTCCTGCTTCTCCACTGACATTTGAGAGGGGGGCAAAGTTGCAGCACTGCAAGCATTTCAGACCAAGTCTGCCTTAATTTGTGGGACAAGGGGGCAGCTCCACCAACTGCTGGGGGGGTATTCGGGGGACTGTGCTCAACCTTTATTTCTAATATGTTCTCCCCACCTTTCTACATAAATCATTATCAACCAATTAACATTTCCCTCGTCCTTCCGTATGTCTCCTGCCCCAAAACAAATGCAGGCAGGTAAAGAGTGTGTGTAAGAAACTCTAGTGCCTGCTGGGGTCTCTCAAAAAAGCCCTAACCTCCCTCACAGGGTGGTTGTGAGGATGAAATGGAGGGGAGAACCACGCAGGCCGCCTTGAGATCCTTGGAAGATAAAGGTGGTGTATAAAGGAAGGAAAGAAAGAAAGGATATCTGGTCAGCCACTGTGAGGAAAAGATGCTGGCAATTTTATATTCTTCTGACTCCTTGTGGTAGGGAAGGCTAATGGAATTCAACTGGGCCTGCCTCAGTTTCAACTGCTGGGTTCAAATGTCCGTCCTGGTCAGTATTCCCCCTTCCTGACAGAAGTCCCACAATGTTTCTTAAAAGCTTGCCCTGGCATGGAGGGGGGGTCACCTGTGGCACCTGAATGCTTCCTGCACATCATTTCCCTGTTCCTGCTGGTTCCAGGAAGCCACTGGGGACACACCATTGGCAGTTGCTTGATCTGGTGCCAGTGGTGTGAGACTCACGGCCCTTAGCCTATGCTTTGTGCTGTTGCCCTGCAAGGGAGAGCTGGCTGGGGTTTCTAGGGTGCCAGCCCCCAGGTTTCCAGCAGCATTGATTCCTCGCATCTGGGGGTGCAGAGCAGAGCCACCATGGAGGAGGCAGAGCAGAATCACTCGGGCTGGTAGCCACTGGCATCCAGCTCCGAGGGCCTTCTGGCGGTTCCCTCATTGTGAGAAGTGAGGTTGCAGGGAACCAGGCAGAGGGCCTTCTTGGTGGTGGTGCCCGCCCTGTGGAACGCCTTCCCATCAGATGTCAAGGAACTAAGCAGCTATCTTATCTTTAAAAGACATCTGAAGGCAGCCCTATCTAGGGAAGTTTTTAATCTTTAATGCTGTATTGTTTTTAACACTCAATTGGAAGCCACCCACAGTGGCTGGGGAAACTCAGCCAGATGGGCAGGGAATAAATAATTTATTATTATTATTATTATTATTATTATTATTATTATTGGTACCCCTTTGCCTAATTCTCAAGGCCACCCACCACTGTCTCCTGAGGGAGGGAGTTCCACGGTTTAACTCTGCGCTGTGTGAAGAAGGACTTTCTGAATCTCCCAACATTCAGCTTTGTGGGATGTCTGCAAGTTCCAGGGTTGTGAGAGGGAGAAAACTTTCTCCATGAGCCTCTGTCGTGTCACCCCTTAATCTTCCTTCCCCAAGACGCTGCAGCTTTTCTTCACAGGCGAGTCACTCCATCCTCTCCTGCTTCCCTCCTGCTGCCCTTCAAGAACGCGTTCCAAAAGGTGGGCACTGAAGGGGACACAGCCCGGTTGGGGGGCCACGGCCTGGCTTCCTGCTCCCGGTGTGTCCGTGAGAAGCAGCTCCTCCTCTGCTAACAATACGGAGCCCCCTTTTGAATTGCACCCTCTCCCCAAAGGTGCACAGGTGTCCTAGAAGGAAACCCCCTAACTGTGAACTGAGTCCAGATGCAACCTTTCTCCCTCTGCCTGGGCTCTTGAGGAAACTGACCCCTTGTTGGGGCGAGAGACGGCAATCTCATCCTCAAAGACCTCCTTGGGTTGCAGGGTGGGGCAGTGGTTAGAGCGCCCTACCAGGATCTGGGAGAGACCAGCATCCCAATCCCTGCTTAGCCGTGAAGCCATGACCTTGGAGGCCATTCGCTCCCTCTCAGCCTAGCCTGAGGAGAACATGAGAAGGAAGAAAACCCATACAGGCCCCCTTGGGCTACTTGAAGGAAAAGGGGGGGGTGGAAACACAATATATTAGTAAATAAATAACAATAAAACTTCTTCATCAGAGAAGGCAGGCCACAGCCCGGCCACCTAGGAGACCAAAGGGATGCTCACTATTCTGCAGGGCTGGGGAGAACTAAGCTGGCTGCCCTCCTCGCCCGCCCTCTGCCCACACTCAGGAGCTTGGCATCCCTGGGCCAACATGCAAGTGCGGACAGGCAGGGACCTCTGTTCCCTCCTGAGGACTGGCTGGCATCTCACTGCACCCCCTCTGGGCATGCCAAGCCCAGCGCCCTGCCTGGAGGGCTCCCTGCGCCCGCCTGCATCCCTCCCCGGCTGCGTTTCCTGCCCTGAGGACCAGGCTGGGCCTGCCCTGCTAGACAACAGAACGCCTGTCTCCATGGCAACGGGGCTCGGCCGGCCCAGGCTCCCGCAGGCCCCAGGTGAATGCTGCCATCTTGCGGGTGGGCAGTGCGAAGCCCAGGAGCCAAAGGAGACGAGGGGAGGCTCTCCTCCTGCTGCCGCCCCCCAGGGATGGGGCTGGGCAAAAGCCTGGGCAGGTGCCAGCTCCTCCTCCCAGGCCCTGATCCTGTGCCCTTCCTGGAGGCAGCCAGAGCTGCGGGCAGCCATGCTGAGGCCTGTGAGGGTCAGGTTTTGGGCCTGAGCCCCAGAGGGTGGTCCTCCAGAGGGGTACCTGCACTTTTTTTGGGGGGGGGAGAAGCTGTGTAAGAAATGGGTGCTACAGCTTTTCACTGAGATATCTGTGTGTGCGTTCTTAGAATACACTGGCCTGCATATTGCGGATTTGCATGTAGCAGGTCATTGTTATTCTGAGCTCCCCTCGGATGGAAAGCGCAACTCGTACATTGAACAATTGACCAGGCTGCTTTTTACGTTGCTTTTAAATATTTGCATTTCATCATCTAACCTGCCCTGGAAAGATTCTGTCTGATGATGGGATGGATCTTGATATCTTATTAAGAAACATGCATCTCTTTTACCTCGCCTGGCCTTTGACTGCGGAGACATAGCTGTCAACGCTTTCCTTTTTTTAAGGGAAATTCCCTTATTCCAAATAGGATTCCTCACAAGAAAAGGGAAAAGTTGACAGCTATGTGCTGAGATAGGACGCTCTCTAGTTGTGATTGTAATTGGTTTTAAACTGTTTTTAATACTGAATTTTAAATTGTTGCAATTCCCTGGGACCTTATGGTGAAGGGAGGGTAAGAAATAATAATAATAAATCACCATCAGGACAAAACTCATGGTGATTTTATGGTTTGTTAAAGAATCCATGGTTTAGGTTGATGTGCGATGAGACCTAGGCTTCCTTGGGTGGCTCTCTTTGGATCTTCTTCCCAATTCCCTATGACAGGCCTACTGTTGTGGGGAGAACTGAGCTGGATGTACATATGAAAACGCACAGTACCTCCAATAAATATGGACTATAATTTGCAATTCTGCCCTGTCGCTTCCAACAGATCAGCTGAAAACCCTCTGCATTTCTACAGAAACACTCTCATGGTTAATGGTTACCCAGGGTGGCTGGGCTTTTAATAACATCATTATTAAAAACATATATTATTGCTACTTTTCCAGGTTCCAGTGCGGACCCCGTGCCTTGAAAGCTGGTTCCAAGTCCAGCTTTGCAGGTTCTAAGAAGGCGTTTGGTTCCCTTTGCCCTTCAGCATCCTCTGTGTGGATCAGCTGCTCTGTTCTCCCCTGATGCGAGGAGTCTGTTGTCTGGAGAAAGGCAGAACTTACAGGGATGATGGAGGCGGAACGCAGAAGCTGTAAGCAGGGTTGCATCGGGGTGGGGTGGTGTTTATAGGAGCCCTGCCCCTGGGTGTGTTCACCAGCCTCATCATGCTGCTGAGCGAAGCCAGGACTGGTCCCCGAGGTGTGATGCTCTCAGAGGCTTGTGTGGGGAGGGGGAGACCCAGAGATAAATAGGTACAAATAAGTAAGGTAAAAGGACCCCTGACCATTAGGTCCAGTCGTGGCAGACTCTGGGATTGCGGTACTCATCTCGCTCTATAGGCCGAGGGAGCCGGCGTACAGCTTCCGGGTCATGTGGCCAGCATGACTAAGCCGCTTCTGGCGAACCAGAGCAGCGCACGGAAACACCGTTTACCTTCCTGCCGGAGTGGTACCTAGAATCATAGAATCATAGAATCATAGAGTTGGAAGAGACCACAAGGGCCATCGAGTCCAACCCCCTGCCAAGCAGGAAACACCATCAGAGCACTCCTGACATATGGTTGTCAAGCCTCTGCTTAAAGACCTCCAAAGAAGGAGACTCCACCACACTCCTTGGCAGCAAATTCCACTGTCAAACAGCTCTTACTGTCAGGAAGTTCTTCCTAATGTTGAGGTGGAATCTTCTTTCTTGTAGTTTGGATCCATTGCTCCGTGTCCGCTTCTCTGGAGCAGCAGAAAACCACCTTTCTCCCTCCTCTATGTGACATCCTTTTATATATTTGAACATGGCTATCATATCACCCCTTAACCTCCTCTTCTCCAGGCTAAACTTGCCCAGCTCCCTTAGCCGTTCCTCATAAGGCATCGTTTCCAGGCCTTTGACCATTTTGGTTGCCCTCCTCTGGACACATTCCAGTTTGTCAGTGTCCTTCTTGAACTGTGGTGCCCAGAACTGGACACAGTACTCCAGGTGAGGTCTGACCAGAGCAAAATACAGTGGCACTATTACTTCCCTTGATCTAGATGCTATACTCCTATTGATGCAGCCCAGAATTGCATTGGCTTTTTTAGCTGCCGCGTCACACTGTTGGCTCATGTCAAGTTTGTGGTCAACCAAGACTCCTAGATCCTTTTCACATGTACTGCTCTCAAGCCAGGTGTCACCCATCTTGTATTTGTGCCTCTCATTTTTTTTGCCCAAGTGCAATACTTTACATTTCTCCCTGTTAAAATTCATCTTGTTTGTTTTGGCCCAGTTCTCTAATCTGTCAAGGTCGTTTTGAAGTGTGATCCTGTCCTCTGGGGTGTTAGCCACCCCTCCCAGTTTGGTGTCATCTGCAAATTTGATCAGGATGCCCTTGAGTCCATCATCCAAGTCGTTGATAAAGATGTTGAATAAGACCGGGCCCAAGACAGAACCCTGTGGCACCCCACTAGTCACTCTTCTCCAGGATGAAGAGGAACCATTGATGAGCACCCTTTGGGTTCGGTCCAGTCAGCCAGTTACAAATCCACTGAGTGGTAGCATAGTCAAGACCACATTTTACCAGCTTCTTTACAAGAATATCATGAGGCACCTTGTCAAATGCCTTGCTGAAATCAAGGTAGGCTACATCCACTGCGTTCCCTTCATCTACCAGGCTTGTAATTCTGTCAAAAAACGAGATCAGGTTAGTCTGACATGACTTATTTTTCAGAAATCCATGCTGACTATTGGTGATCACAGCATTCCTTTCTAGGTGCTCACAGACTGTTTGCTTAATGATCTGCTCCAGAATCTTCCCTGGTATTGATGTCAGACTGACTGGGCAGTAATTATTTGGGTCCTCTCTTTTCCCCTTTTTGAAAATAGGGACAACATTTGCCCTCCTCCAGTCTGCCGGGACTTCGCCTGTTCTCCAGGAATTCTCAAAGATGACTGCCAGTGGTTCTGAGATCACATCTGCCAGTTCTTTTAATACTCTTGGATGCAGTTCATCTGGCCCTGGAGACTTGAATACATCTAAACTAGCCAAGTATTCTTGTACTATCTCCTTAGTTATTCTGGGCTGTGTTTCCTCTGCTGAATCATTTGCTCCAAATTCTTCAGGTCGGGCATTGTTTTCTTTATCGGAGAAGACTGAGGCAAAGAAGGCATTGAGGAGTTCAGCCCTTTCTGTGTCCCCTGTTTGCATTTCACCATCTTCTCCTCTGAGTGACCCCACTGTTTCTTTGTTTTTCCTTTTGCTACGAACATACCCATAAAAGCCTTTTTGTTGCTTTTAACCTCTCTAGCAAGCCTGAGTTCATTCTGTGCTTTAGCTTTTCTGACTTTGTGTCTACACGTGCTGGCTATTTGTTTGAATTCCTCTTTGGTGGTTTCCCCCTTTTCCATTTTTGTACACAGCCGTTTTCAATCTTAACTCAGTTAAAAGTTCTTTAGATAGCCACCCTGGCTTCTTTAGGCACCTTCCATGTTTCCGTCTCATTGGTATAGCCTGACGTTGTGCTTTTACTATCTCCCTCTTAACAAACTCCCAGCCATCATGAACTCCCTTTCCTTTTAGTATTACTGTCCATGGGATCTCACCCAACACTTCCCTAAGTTTTATGAAGTCGGCTTTCTTAAAGTCAAGAAATTGAGTCCTAGTATGCTTGGCTGCTCCTTTACGCTGTATAGTAAACTTCAGAAGAGCATGATCACTTGCGCCTAATGATCCTTCCACTTCTACCCCACTAACCAGGTCATCAACATTGGTTAGGACCAGATCTAAAATGGCTGTTCCTCTTGTTGCTTCTCCCACTTTCTGGACAATGAAGTTGTCTGCAAGGCCAGTGAGGAATCTGTTTGACCTTATGCTCTTGGCTGAGTTTGACATCCAACAAATATCTGGGTAATTGAAGTCCCCCATTACTACTATCTCCCTTCCTTTTGCTTTTTTTTTTTTTTAAAATAATTTTTATTAAAGTTTTAAACAAAGAAAAAAGAAAAAGCAACACACACAAAAAAACAATACAAAATTTAACAATAGAAACACACAACATAACAATTTAAAACAAACTCTCTTTTACATTCCCAATTTTGAATTACTTATTTTCTGGACTTCCTCATACCTCCCTCTTTTGTATTCCAATCTACATTATTTGTCCAGCAGTTTCTTTTCCACTTTTTTAAACCCAATCTTTAATTTAATGAAATATTAAACTATATAGCTTCAGCTTTTTTAAACATAATCCTTGTTCTTAATGTCATATACCTTTAAATTTTTCCCTTTTATTATCAAATTTCCATTTCTTTAAACATCTTTAATCTTAATCTTTAATCTTAATCTATCCTTAGCTTTAACCTGTACAGCTGGAAACCACTTATTTTCAATCCAACATCACTCTAACATTCCTTAATTTTGCAGTGTTTCTGAAGATAGTCTTTGAATTTCTTCCAATCTTCCTCCATCGACTCTTCTCCCTGGTCACGGATTCTGCCAGTCATTTCCGCCAATTCCATGTAGTCCATAAGTTTCATCTGCCATTCCTCCAGCGTGGGAAGTTCTTGTGTCTTCCAATACTTTGCGATGAGTATTCTTGCTGCTGTTGTTGCATACATAAAGAAAGTTCTATCCCTTTTTAACACCATTTGGCCCACTATGCCCAGGAGAAAGGCCTCTGGTTTCTTGGGGAAGGTATACTTAAATACCTTTTTAATTCATTATATATCATTTCCCAGAAAACCTTAATCTTTGGGCACGTCCACCAAAGGTGAAAAAATGTACCTTCAGTTTCTTTACATTTCCAACATTTGTTATCGGGCAAGTGATAGATTTTCGCAAGCTTGACTGGGGTTATGTACCACCTGTATATCATTTTCATAATATTCTCTCTTAAGGCATTACATGCCGTAAATTTCATACCAGTGGTCCATAACTGTTCCCAGTCAGCAAACATAATGTTGTGTCCTACGTCCTGTGCCCATTTAATCATAGCCGATTTTACCGTTTCATCTTGAGTATTCCATTTCAGCAGCAAGTTATACATTCTTGACAGATTCTTGGTATTGGGTTCTAACAATTCTGTTTCTAATTTTGATTTTTCCACCTGGAAGCCAATTTTCCTGTCTAATTTAAATGCCTCCATTATTTGATAATAATGAAGCCAGTCTCGCACTTTGTTTTTTAATTTTTCAAAACTCTGCAATTTCAGTCTATCTCCGTCTTGTTCCAAAATTTCCCAATATTTCGGCCATTTGACCTCCATATTGACCCTTTTCAAGGCTTTCGCTTCCATTGGTGACAGCCACCTTGGGGTTTTATTTTCTAGCAAATCCTTATATCTAATCCAAACATTAAATAATGCTTTCCTGACAATGTGGTTTTTAAATGCTTTGTGTGCTTTGACCTTATCATACCATAAATATGCATGCCATCCAAATACATTATTGAAACCTTCCAAATCCAAAATGTCAGTGTTTTCAAGAAGTAGCCATTCTTTCAACCAGCAAAAAGCTGCTGATTCATAATAAAGTTTGAGGTCTGGCAGGGCAAATCCACCTCTTTCCTTTGCATCTGTTAGTATTTTAAATTTTATTCTAGGTTTCTTGCCCTGCCAGACGAATTTAGAAATATCTTTCTGCCACCTCTTGAAACAGTCCACTTTGTCAACAATCTGCAAAGTTTGAAACAAAAACAACATTCTAGGCAATACATTCATTTTTATCGCAGCAATACGGCCTAGCAGTGAAAGCTTCAAGTTTGACCAAATTTCTAAATCTTTTTTTCACTTCTGACCAACATTTTTCATAGTTGTCTTTAAATAAATTCCCATTTTTTTGCTGTCATATTAATCCCCAGGTATTTAACTTTCTTAACCACTGTTAACCCTGTCTCATTCTGAAACCTCTCTCTTTCAAACGGTGTTAAATTTTTCTCTAAAACCTTGGTTTTTAATTTGTTCAATTTAAATCCTGCCACTTGACCAAATTCTTGAATCAGTTCTAAAACCCTTTTTGTACTAGATTCTGGCTCCTGTAACGTCAATACTAAGTCATCTGCAAAAGCTCTCAATTTATAGTGTTTAGTTCCGACCTGTATACCTTTAACCAACTGGTCCCTTCTAATCATGTTCAGCAACACCTCCAGGACCGAAATAAATAGAAGAGGGGAAATTGGGCACCCTTGTCGTGTCCCTTTTTCAATTTTAAGTTCTTCCGTCACAACGTTATTTACAATTAGTTTAGCCTTTTGTTCAGAATAAATTGCACCTATACCATTCTCAAAACCTTGGCCTACCCCCATACCCTGAAGATTCTTCTTCATAAAATTCCAAGAAATATTGTCAAAGGCTTTCTCCGCGTCTACAAATATCAACACTGCTTTAGTGTTTATATTCACTTCTAATTTTTCCAAAATATCAATTATATTCCTTAGGTTATCAGACAAGTGTCTTCTTGGGAGAAAGCCCGCTTGGTCTTGATGAATCTCTTCCAACAACACTTTTCTATCTCCCTTCCTTTTGCATGCTTGGCCATCTGTTCCAGGAAGGCATCATCTATGTCCTCCGTTTGGCTTGGGGATCTATAGTAAACTCCCACAATGAGGTCACTGTTATTCTTCTCTCCCTTAATTTTGACCCAAATGCTCTCACTTTGGCTTTGAAGTTCTAAATCTTGGATCTCTTCACAGGTATACACATCCCTGACATATAACGCCACTCCTCCTCCTTTCTTGTCTGGTCTGTTTCTCTGAAATAGATTGTATCCCCCCATTATTACATTCCAATCGTGGGACTTATCCCACCAGGTTTCAGTGATGCCTATTATGTCATATTTAGTTTGCTGTACCAAGAGCTCAAGCTCATCTTGTTTATTTCCCATGCTTTGCGCATTAGTGTACAGACATTGAAGTCCATTAATCATTCCCCCGTGTCTCTTATTTAAGGATTTTTTCCTCCCACCACTAGGTCTGCGTGCTGTTTGCTCCATTTGGTCTATGACATTTGGATGATCATCTTCATCAATTGATTTATCTACTTGCACTTTGAGGTGCTTTCTAACTGCTAGGTTGGCAGGAGCAGGGACCGAGCAACGGGAGCTCACCCTGTCACGGGGATTCGAACCGCCGACCTTCTGATCAGCAAGCACTAGGCTCTGTAGTTTAACCCACAGCGCTACCCGCGTCCCCCTGTACAAATGAGTACCTCCTGTAAAAAGGGGGGAACGGAACAGCACCTCACAGGGGTGTGGAGGGAACCGATGGGTCACTTGTGAGTGACATCATTATCAGCTCCCACCTTCCTCCAACAGCCACTCGCGGAGGGCGAAGGAAGCGCCTGCGCTTGTCCTCAGAGCCATTTGAAAATACGAAGGAGGTGGAAGCGGAGGAGGAGAAACAGAATGAGCCACAGCCGGTACCCAAGGCGCAGCCAAGCAGGGCATACCTACACTGGATCAAACTCCAGAAACGCCTCCGCCGCGCTCTGGACCTGGTACATTTCTTGGGGAAGAAGCCGGTCTGGCCAGGGGGATCCAGGTGTGGCAGCTGTGTCTCAGTGAAATCCTCAGCACCTGGGGATCAGGAGAGGAGAGGTGCCAGGGCACCAGCCGCTTGGACCTGCTCAGAAAATGGCACCATGCACCTGTCTCAAGTATCCTCCTGCTGCCTCAGGTGTCGCAGAGATCTTTCCTGCCATTGCAAACAGGCTTTTGGAGGGGGCTCACATGAACCCTCTTGCGGAAGGGAACATCCAGTGCCTTGAACGGTTATCGATTGGTACCTTATTCCTCTTTTCCTGCTCCCTGCAAATGTGCTCTGAATATCAGGGGCCAACAAGATGCCTGGGTGAGCCCTCGAGAAAGACCCAGGTCCCTCAGGGCTCTCCTCTCCTCACCTGGGATTCCTGGCACCTGCCCTTCAGAGGCATTTTCTGCCTCCAACAGGTGGCAGTAAAACACAGCTGTTTTGCTCTCCTTTTTCTCCATGAATGTGGATCATTTCCTTTTAAAGAAATCTAAGTAGGTGACCATGATGGCATATTTTGGGAGTGAATTCCATTTTTTAAACTATGTGCTCCGTACTGTGGTGCCCCGTTATATTTGGGTAGTAGGAGCTGAAATCCAAACCATATGAAGTTGAAGGAGAATGTCAGGGCCAAGCCCTGTTGGTTGTCCTGAGCTCCTCTGCCTCCCATTCTGAGCCGCCTCGCAGAAGCAGACAATATTTGCCACTCCCTTTGTGGGGCCTTCCTTCACATGTTTTATTCCGCCATCAAGGTGTTTCCCATCCTCCTGATCCCCGAGAGCTCTCCAAGGTCCCTGGGACCTCACAGCTAGAGCCAGCGGCATAGCTAGCCGATCAGGTGCCGGGTGCGGGGGCGTGTCCTGCAGCTGGGGGGGGGGCGATCTGCGCCCATGGAGACGGGGCAAGCCTCTCTGACGCTTGGAGCCTTTATTATTATTATTATTATTATTATTATTATTATTAAATTTTATTTATACCCCACCCTCCCCAGCCAAGACCGGGCTTAGGGCGGCTAACACCTGTATAAAAACAATTGATTGAAATACAACTTTAAAAACAAAAAGAAGATTAAAATACAGCATTAAAATGCAGCCTCATTTCAGTAGGAACTCAAAACAAAAACTTTTTGGGGGATTAAAACATCAAGTCTTCACCAAGGCCAACTATCCAGACTGGTCCTACGTGGGCCAGAAAAAAGCCAGGGAAGTCCCCAAATAGGAGTTCCATCACAGAAGGAGAAAGGAAAGAGGGGAAGGGGATCAAGTGGATTCCAAGCCAAAGGCCAGGCAGAACAACTCTGTCCTACAGGCCCTGCTGAAAGAAATCAGATCCTGCAGGGTCCTGGTCTCATGAGACAGAGCGTTCCACCAGGCCGGAGCCAGTGTTGAAAAGGCCCTGGTTCTGGTTGAGGCTAATCTGACTTGATTAGGGCCTCTAGGGTATTGTTATTTATGGACCTTAAGGTCCTCCATGGGGCATACCAGGGGAGGCGGTCCCATAGATATGAGGGTCTTCCAACTGCCCTTCAGCTGTAGGGCGGCTGAGAGGTAGTAGGCAGACGCAAGTCCCATGCTGCTGCTGTTACAGGTAGCGTGGAACCTGCAGGAATCTAAGCCACCACATCACTCCTAAAAAGGTTTGTGAGCCCAATTTTTAAATTTAATTCATTTTGTCACACACACCCTCAGTGATGACATCTAGGTCTGGCCGCACCCCCTGCACTCCCCTTCCTCCGCCCCTGGCCTGAGCCCCTGGTGCCCTCATAGGGGTCTCCCCCCTGTATGAACAGCTCCCAAGAAGCTTCCAGAAAAGGAATCATAACATGGTCGAGTTGGAAGGGACCCGAGGCTCATGCAGTCCTGGAATAAGCGCGTGCAGAGAGCACTCCACTCCCCCCGATGCTCTTGCTGGTGGTGGGGCCAACGCTGCCTGTCCTTTGTCTTCCTCTTGCAGATGAAGAAGGAGGACTTGAAGCCCATCCACCTGAGCCACGGCCTGCAGCACCTGAGTCGCTCAGCCTTGGGCAGCCCCGTGCGGTGCGTGACGCACGATGTGCACGGGAATCGCTTTGTGGTGCTTGACTCGGAGAACAAGCTGCACTCCTTGAAGGAGGAGGGCTCCTACAAGAGCTGCCTGAGGGCCCCTGCCCCCATGGCGGGACTCCTGCACGCCTCCCTGGTCAACCAGTTTGTGGCTTGGGACGAGGGCGGCCTCCAGGTCCTGGACTCGAACTTCCAGCTGCTCTCCCAGGTCCGCTCCACCATGCCCATACGATGCGGGATCTACAGCGAGAACCTGAACCGGATCGTGACCGCGGGGGACGGGAACCTGACCATCTGGGACTTCCGCTACGGCTGCCGGAGCCTGCAGTGCCGCGTCGTCCTGAGTGAGGGCCTGGGGCCCGGAGACGTCTTCTCCCACATCGCCCTGGACACCAGCAGCTTCCAGCCCCAGCGCTGCTTCGCCTCCAGCACGACGGGCGCTGCTGCCTGGGATATCTCCAGTGGGAAACTCCTCTCTTTCAAGAAGGAGCTCCACAACAGGTGAGGCTCCTCCCGGGCCCAGCAGAGAACCGGCCTCCCAGCAAGGAGAGAGGCCCCCACTGGGAACGGGATGCCCCCATGGAAGGATGGGCTTTCAGTGCTGCTCTCTTGGGGGCAGAGCTGGGGCAGGTTCCATCTTGTTCCGTCTTGGACTATTTAAGGAGCAGTTCCCAAACTTTTCTGGTCTGCCACCCACTTGGTTCCGTTAATTCATTTCCAGTGCCCACCCCCACCCCCGCTCTATAAAAAGCATCATTCGGAGCAATGGCTTGCACAACCCACTAAGGGAGATAATTATTCCAGATATTAATATTGTGCAGCTTGAAGCAATCAGATGCATAAAAACTGAACCCTATTAGAATACAAATTATTTGGACCCATAAATCAGATTCAAAGCTTCACTAACTGGAACTTCTTCAAAAACAGGTACAAAACAATAGTACCTCCAGAAAGATGTATAAAGTGTATGCATATTCAAGCACAGGTTCTTCTTCTTAAATATATAACATAATTACAATCTGCAAAAATCAAAGCTACCGGTATGTTTATTCCATAGCTTGCTTGCGTGAGCCTGGATCCAGCCTAAGTCTATACAGCTCCCGGAGAGGGTAATTTACACCTCCTTCTCCATCTGTTCCTGGGAACAAAGAGCCAAAAGGCAACTCCCTTTCAAAATGGCAAATTTGCAATTGAATACCTTAATCATGTGACTTAAGGTTAGACACTCACCTGTAAGAGCAGAGAACATCATCAGTTAATCATTAACGCACTTAGAGAGCTTCTTCAGAATGGCCCAGTGGAATTTTCCACTGCGCACCACCCAGGCTGCGGCTAGTTTGACCCCCACCCCACTCCCATGACTGAGAAGCACCTCCACTTGACCTCCTGTGGCCCCAGCATTATTTGTTTTTATGATTTCTTAAATTTGTTAGTCACTTTATATTGCCCAGGGCAACCCAAAGCAACTTGCAACCAAACTTGGGACTTGAGGAGGGAGGGGGTGCATTTATCCAAGGAAGCCAATGGGAAGTAGATCCCAAAGAGACGGGAGAGAGAGAGAGAGAGAGAGAATGTCTCTTCGCGCACAAAGCACAACGTCCAGAATTCTCTCCCCCAAGTTGTGGTGGTGGTGACTGAGCCCTGGGGCTCTGAAAAGGGGGGCAGTTCTTGGTTTGTGTCCTGCCGCTAATACCTCAGAGCCACCGGACTGAGCTGCTTTGGGAAGTGGAGGGCTGGTCTGCATGGTCCATGGAAGCATAAGATCATAGAGTGGTAGAGTTGTAAGGGATCCTGGAGACCACGCAGTCCAAGAAGGACCTGACGTAACCCGGGCTGCTCTTCTTCGTCTTCTCTCCCAGGGTGATCACAGACCTCACCTACTGCGAAGTGATCGGCTGTGCCATCACGGCCTCACGGGACACAACCATCAAGGTCTGGGACAAGAACTGGCACATTCAGATGGTCTTTGTGGGCCACACGGGTGAGCGTGGGTGCGTCACTCTCAGCCAGGATGCGGAGAGAAGGGCAACTGAAGAATCCCCCTCCCAGCCGCTAGGAAGGCCTTTGGCAAGAGACCGACGCCTCTTTCCCCCTTAGGCTGGGACACACTCACATTCGCAGCACCTCTGGCTCCTGCCTCCCTCGCAGGAGTGGCGTGTCCAAGAGGGGTGCCTCATCGTCATGGGGGCAGCCCGGGCTGCAATGGCCACTCTTTCCTCCTACAGGATAGTTTTATGGCCAGAAAGTCAATGGGGGAGTTTTTCCCAACATGAAAATACAACGATGGGAGGCTGAACCTGTTGAATTTCTGCCTAGCACACAGCTGCTAAAAGGCATAAGGGTGCCTAGCAGTTGTTGATGTTGAATGTCTCTAGGTCTTTGATAAGGTCTGCTGAGCCACCGTTGGACATTTGAATATCTATCCTGGCCAAAACATCTAGCTATATGAATTAGTACTGGGTTGTAAGGAGAACAAAGAGCTCAAAGCAGGACCAGGTGGAGCCTTTTCTCCTTCCTGCAGCTATAATAATAATAATAATAATAATAATAATAATAATAATTTATTATTTATACCCGCCCATCTGGCTGGGTTTCCCCAGCCACTCTGGGCGGCTTGCAACAAAATATTAAAATGCAGTGGTACCTTGGGTTACATACGCTTCAGGTTACAGACTCTGCTAACCCAGAAATATTACCTCAGGTTAAGAACTTTGCTTCAGAATAAGAACAGAAATCGTGCTCTGGCGGCGCTTCGGCAGCGAGAGGCCCCATTAGCTAAAGTGGTGCTTCAGGTTAAGAACAGTTTTAGGTTAAGAACGGACCTCCAGAACGAATTAAGTTCTGAACCCGAGGTACCACCGTACAGTAGTCTGTTAAACATTAAAAGCTTCCCTAAACACGGCTGCCTTCAGATGTCTTCTAAAAGTCTGGTAGTTGTTCTTCTCTTTGACATCTGGTGGGAGGGCGTTCCACAGGGCGGGTGCCACCACCAAGAAGGCCCTCTGCCTGGTTCCCTGTAACTTGGCTTCTCACAGTGAGCTCTTCTGAAGATGCGTGAAGGCATTGATCCACTCCTGTCTCCATCCCCACGTAGCTGTGACTGGCTTTGGCCCCCTTTGAGCTTCTTGTGCCCCCCTTCCCCGCCTTGTGCCCCCAGGTCCGGTCGTCGCTGTGACCATCTACCCTCAGAGGCCCCTCATCTTCTCCGCCTCCCAGGATGGCACCATCCGCACCTGGAACCTCAACACCATTGACCAGGTGGACCAGGTCCATTTGTCGGAGCCCGTGGAGACCCTGAAGGCCGTCACCCTTTCTCACGTCGTCTCCGTCTCCGGCTCGTCCCTGACCCTCTGGAAGATCAACAAGCTCTACTCGCTGTACACGCCCGTGGGCTGCCCCGTCCGGCGCATCAGCTGCGTCAACCTGGAGGCCCTGGGCAGCTTCCCCGTCCGCGCCCTCTGCGTCTGCCAGGACTCCACCGTGCGGATGGTGGACGCCCAGAGCGGAGTCATCATCGCCATCCTCTTCCTGGACAGCCCCCGCCAGGGCCTGGACGTGGCGTACTGCCTGCCCCGGGAGACCCTCTTTGTGCTGATGGAGGATGGCGCTGTGCTGTGGGTCAACAGCGCCCAGGACCCCATGCAGGTCAAGAAGAGCCTTCCGGGCCACACCTGGGCGTCTGCCCCCTGCTGCCTCCTGGTCTACAGCCACGTGCTGGACCCGGAGAAGGCCTATTCCCAGTGGCTGGATGTGGTGGATTGCAAGGGCTACAAGAAGCAGTGGCTGAAACGCCCGGATAAAAACAGGTGAGATGGACGGGGCGGGATTCGAGAGAAGCCCCTCTCACCTCCTTCCTTGCCAGGGCTGCCAGGGGGTCTTACTCTCTGGCAGGTGTTGCTGCCACCCTCCTTCCCAACGACTCCTTCGTCCTGCCTGGGGTGCAGCAAAGCAGTTGCTGGCCAACGTTCCCTTATGAGTTAATTTGGCATGTAAAGGCAGCTCACCCTCAGAAGAGCCTGCGGGATCAATAATAATAATAATAACAATAATAATAATTTATTTATACTCCACCCAGCCACTCTGGGTGGTTTTCCCAGCCACTCTGGGCGGCTTCCAGGAAAACATTAAAATACAATAATTCATCAAATATTAAAAGCTTCCCTTTCAACTCCATTCCTAAACTCCCAGTAGCAGGAGCTCCAGGCATCCCGGCACATGGGATGCTGAAAACCAGAGTCTGCCCTGCCTAGCAGTGGCCAGGCTCCCCGCTCTGCTGGAAGGATCAAGGCGCCTGGGCTCTCCTCCTGACACACAGCAGACCACAACAGACACGGCTTTTCCATGTGCCTTGAATTCCGTATTTTACATTCCCCATGTCTGCCTGCCTTTTCCTCCACCCCTGCTATTTTTTTATTTATTAATACTGTATTTTTTATTAATATTTTAACAATAAGAACATCAAACATCACATTTCAAAAGCAGGAGCTGTAGAACACCAAAACTATAATTTCCCCTTTAGAAACATGCACAATCACTGATTTGGTGTTGAGTCAACATATAAAATCATGGACGTGGGGGGCGCTATGAGTTAAACCACAGAGCCTAGGACTTGCCAATCAGAAGGTAAGCGGTTTGAATCCCCGCAATGGGGTGAGCTCCCGTTGCTCAGTCCCTGCTCCTGCCAACCTAGCAGTTCAAAAGCACCTCATAGTGCAAGTAGATAAATAGGTACTGCTCTGGCGGGAAGGTAAACAGCGTTTCCGTGCGCTGCTCTGGTTTGCCAGAAGCGGCTTAGTCCTGCTGGCCACATGACCCGGAAGCTGTACACTGGCTCCCTTGGCCAATAAAGCAAGATGAGCGCCACAACCCCAGAGTCGGCCACGACTGGACCTAATGATCAGGGGTCCCTTTACCTTTTACAACATATAAAATCATGATAGAATATGACAAACTAATCAAACTACAAGTAATAGCTATACCAAGTCATGATACACATAAAAAAAGGAAATAAAACAAAAATATCATGCAAAGTCTTAAAATAAATAATGCTTTGAGGTGGCTTGAAGTGAGAACAAGAATGAAACCTTAGACTATTCATATAACTAAAGAAGTACTACTTGTAAGTGGCAGAATGATGTTATTTCCCCCCCAGGTGAGCCAGGTCCACCCAATAACCTGGGCGGGGGGGGTTAGTAAATGATGCCAAGCACACAGTTCAAAGCACTGGTGCAAGAAGATTACCAGGTTTGGCTATGCTCATGAAATCTATAAAGTCAACCCAAACTGCAGCAAAATTCTCTTTTTGAATTTGTCTTTGTGCAAACCTTTTTCTTTTCTTTGACCGCATCCAGATTGGGCTTTTCCTTCCCCCGACCCCAGAAGCTGCCATTCCACTGCGCATATCTGTCTGAACATGCTTATCAAAGGACGCTTCTCTTACCCTCCCCCCCTCCCAGGTTCCTGCTAATTTTAGGGCACAAAACGGGCTTCCTGACCGTGGTGGAGTGGTTTCTGGCCCGAGACCGGTACAAGGTGGAGGCTCACGGCTCCGAAGCGGTCACAGCCTTGGCTGAATACCCCACGCAGATGTGTATCATTTCGGCAGGTGAGTCCTCTGGTTAGGCAACCCAAATATCAGGGATGGGGGGTGCAGAGGGTGATCTTCACCCTCCATGCATCCTGCCCCCCCAGGCACATGAGTGCTGCCCGGCAGTAATACGGGGAGGAGCTCAGACCTCCGACCCACAAATATTGAGGGGGATGAAGCCCCTTCTTCCCTCTATAGTTGGTGTCTCCAAAGGTCAGAGAAGATCTTTTGGTAGTCCAGCTCTGGAGCTCCCTCCCCCAGGAGACCCTGACCAACTTGGATGGCTTTAAAAGAGGATGAGGTAAATTCATAGAAGCCCCTGGATGTATATTTTGCTCTAGGATACTTAGTTTGGTCAGAATTGAATCTACCCTTCTAGAGTTAATGCTAAATACATCGCTTCTGGTCAATGAGCCACCAGAGCTGCTAGAGGGCCATGAAAATTTGTGTCTGGGGCTTTTTAGACTTGCCTGCCCATCATAGTTGTCAACATTTCCCTTTTTTAAAGGGAAATTCCCTTATTCCGAATAGGATTCCTCTCAAGAAAAGGGAAAAGTTGACAGCTATGCTGCCCATACACTCTCTGAAACCCAGGGGGCACATTGGTTGCCAGATGTGAAATATCACATTTACTCACCTTTTACATCGTGAATATTAGGGTGCACGTTGGATTTGATGGCGCATTTACAATCGCCAGCAAATCCTTTTTTGGTTTCAAGGTTTTGAAAATTGAGGTGCGCATTAGATTTGACGGTGCATTAGATTCTCGTAAATATGCTATATTGGCAATGTTTTCAGCTCTCCTGCCCCACTGCAAGGATGGTACAGTTTGCAGCCTAAACATCTAAATGATTTGTGCCCTTCAGTAGTACTTAGAGAGAGATAGGGGCCAGGAATTTAGCAGTTCAGAGGTTGATATAAATACAGGGATGCAAGAATCAAACCATTCATTGACGCCCCCTATTTTTGGGGACTCAGATGTAAGAAAAGGGCGGGAGATGTATCCGTGCCTAGGTAAAGGTAAAGGTACCACTGACCATCAGGTCCAGTCGTGACCGACTCTGGGGTTGCGCGCTCATCTCGCTCAAGAGGCCGGGAGCCGGCGCTTGTCCGCAGAAAGCTTCCGGGTCATGTGGCCAGCATGACTAAGCCGCTTCTGGCGAACCAGAGCAGCGCACGGAAACACCGTTTACCTTCCCACCAGAGCGGTACCTATTTATCTACTTGCACTTTGAGGTGCTTTCGAACTGCTAGGTGGGCAGAAGCAGGGACCGAGCAACGGGAGCTCACCCCGTCGCAGGGATTCAAACCGCCGACCTTCCGATCAGCAAGCCCTTGGCTCTGTGGTTTAACCCACAGCGCCACCCGCGTCCCATCCGTGTATAAGACACCCCCTAATTTTTGACATTATTTTTAAGAGGAAAAACCTAGTCTTATACACGGAAAAATATGGTAGTTCTGCTAAGTGGCTACAGCAAAATTCTGTGACTTTCAACAGTGGAATCCACCATAAGATATTTAGAATATTTGCTGGAACCAAGACCACTGGTGGGGGAAGCGGAGTGCGGGGGGAGCGCACCGCCCCCAGCAGCGCAATCCCGGTGGGGTGCCATCGTGGCTGCCCCCCGCCTGCACTGGGCGCCACACCCCTGCAGGTGGCATGACACGCCCCAGCCCTGCCCCAGCCTGCTCTCTGCCCTCCTGGCGCTGGAGCATGAAGCTCTGCCACTGAACAAGACCCCCAGTTAGAAGGGACTCGCGCATCATGCAGACCAGCCCCTCCAAAACTCAAGGCAATAACCTGGTGTAGATCTGCAGAAACCAACCCAGGGACACTGGGTTGGGGGGGCAAGAAGGAGGAAGAAAGAGGAGCTTCCTCTGCCCCGGGGGCTGACCCTGTGCCTCTCCTTGCCCCCGGGGCAGGTGCCGACCGCACGGTGAAGATGTGGCGCGTCTTCCCCTACACCACGGAGTGCCTGGTCCCGCTGCTCAGCTTCTCCTGCGCCTCCCCTGCCTTGCACCTGTGCTCCCTGGGGGAGACGCTGGCGGTGGCCTTCCAGGACCCCCAGACGGCCACCTATAGCGTCGTCTACTACAACCTGATGAAGCAGACGCGCTCCGAGCACAAACCCGAAGACGACGCCCAGGACGACATCACAGGTGCGCGGGAGCCGGGAGGGCGCAAAGGCCAGGCCGGGGGGGGAGGGGGGCTCGGCTCTCCTGTCTCACGGCTGCCGCCCCCTCGCTGCCTCCCTTCCTCCAGGCCTCTGCTGCTGCCCCAACCTGAAGCTCTTCGCCTCGTCCAGCAGAGATGGATCCGTGAAGATCTGGGACATCGAAAACAAGCTGCTGCGGTGACTGACGGGCCGGATTCTGAATGGGGAATGGGGGTGTCCTGTGGGCCGGGGCAGCCTCCTGCTCCCGATGGGGCTCTCTCCTCCTTGCGGCTTTTGCACCCAGCACTGGAAAGCAGGTGCCCTTTAAGCAGAGGCTGGGGACCATCTGTCCGGGATGCTTTAGTTGCCATTCCGGCATCGCAGGGGGTTGGGCTGGATGGCCCTTGGGGAGCCCTTCCAGCTGTAAGATTCTATGTCTGCCGGCGTGCCTTTGGTGAGCGCGCACAGGGGCATCGGAAGCTGCAGGCCACAGGTTCCTCCAACTCAGCATCATCCACACCAGGGTCTCCCCAGACTTGGTCTCCAGCTGTTGTCAGACTACAACGCCCATCATCCCAAGCTCACAGGACCAGCGGTCAGGGATGATGGGAACTGTAGTACAAAACCAGCTGGGGACCCAAGTTTGGGGAACCCTGGTCTACACTGACTGGTAGCAATGGCTCTGGCAGGCTTTGAGCAGGGCTCTCCCCCAGCCTCACCAGCCCCAGTCTGGCACCCACTCAGTTGAGAGCAAGCGCCATGGGGATCCAGCAGGCTTGATTCGGAGCAAGCCAAGTCTGTGTCGTGTCCCACACAGGGATGCCTGCTTTGCTTGCAGGGCCATGTGGTGCCCCCTGATTGTTTTGGAGGCTGTTGGAAGTTTGAAACATCCGCTATCCCCAACGCCTCTCCTGAGACCCAAAGCTTCAAAAGAAAATAGCCGCAGACAACCCTCCTCCTCTGCTTCCCCACCAGCGTTTAGAGTTTCCATCGCTGCTGCTCTCAAAATTCCTTTCCCACCTTCCCTTTAATTTTCCTGATCCATCCATTTCTTGTTTCTATTTAGAACTGTAGAGTTGGAAGGGACCCCCCAGGTCATCCATCCCAACCCCCCACAATGCAGGAATCCTGGCTGAAGGAGCCCCAGCAGGTGGCCCCCTGGCCTCTGCTCACAAACCTCCAATGAGACTTTATATTCATATCTACCTTTCAGGCAACCGTGCCTTTCCCACACATGACAACCAAATGTTTTGCTGGGGTTTTAAAGCGAAGCTTAAGGCGGCCTCCATGCGTCTTATGGTTTTAATGTTTCCGTCCATGGCAGAGAGTCTGTGCTAGGCCCTCTGCTCTGGCTGCCCAACCGGGGCTTGCGGGGGGTTTAGGAAGGGTCCCTGGAAGCCAAGCTCACCCCCCCTCCCATTTCTGCCCTGCAGGCACCTGAAGATGAACAGCATCCCAGAGAGCCTGGCCTTTGCCAACCACTGGGGGGACCTGCTGGTTGGGCTGGAGAAACACGTCTTCCTCATCCACCACAACAAGTACCTGCCCAACTACTACAGGATGAAGGTGGGGCGCCTGGCATCCCTGGGGGGTGGGGGGCAGGCTCCCCGCTGCTGCCCCCGTGCTCTTTCCTGGGGAGGTCTGTGCCCTGGGACAACGACCCCTTCCTGTCTCCTGCAGCTGCTGTGCGCCAGGTTCCTGGAGCCCCTCAAGGGCGTCCCTCTCCCCATCAGCGACTCCCACTTTGAGGCTCTGGTCAAGGAGAACGTCCGGCGGCTGAAGCAGGACCCGCCCTTGGAGGAGACCGAGTAAGATTCTGGACAGCAGCCGAGCACCCAGCACCAGGGGCACAGCATCTGACTGGCTCCTTCCCTCGCTCTGGTGCCCCTTAGCAGGGCTGCTGAGACAAGGACACCTTTGGATCTAGCGCTATCCATGCACACAGGGCAAGTTGAGGATGCAAAATGACAGGTCCCTGCCCCGAGGACCTTACATTCTGTCATTTTAGGAGGGGAAAGGAAATGGAAGCAGGGAAGAAACAGGGGAATCGGAGTGTTTGTTTGGTCAGTTAGGCTAAGCTGCAGTGTGCCTTTGCGGGGGGGGGGGGGCTGCAGGAGCTCTAGGTGTTGTGGCAAAGGCTCCATAGAAAGGTTGGCTTTAGGAGGGAGAGGAAGGAGGGCAGAGAGAAAGATCCCTGCTGGGTCCCTTCCAGCTCTACCATTCTGTGGTTCTGTTTGGGCAGGCAGTTTCCGGGGCAAAGAGGCCGCTGGGTGGCCCAGGGTGGTGCTGGAGGCTGTTTTCGGACAAGGGAGCAGCTGAGCATCCCTGGGGAGAGGCCAGGGAGGGCTCCAAAGTCAGGATGCCAAGCTGCCTCTGGCGTCTCCTCTGTCGCTCTCTCTCTTGCTCTCCTCACGCAGGTCCCCTGTGCCTGGAGCCCGCAGGATGGCCTTGCAGGAGTCCAGAGTGCTCCGCGACATCCATGCCAGGGCGGAGGTAAGACTGCCGCTCCCCCTGAGGAGACCAGAGCCGCTTCAAAGGGCAGCAGAACTGATTTTATAATGAATTGATTTTAGAATGCTGTATTATTTTACTGTTGTTAGCCGCTCTGAGCCTGGCTTGAGCTGGGGAGGGCGGGATATATTATTATTATTATTATTATTATTATTATTATTATTATTATTAGCAGTGCCCTGGCTGGTGCCAAGGCCAGCTCCACAAGAGCCATGCACGGCCCTGGAGTCCCGTGTGTGATGTTTCACAAGAGGCGTTGGCGAGGTGGAAATGAGGGTTCAGGGGAGAGCAAAGATCAGGCACTTCCCAAGGGGGAAAGCAGGCTGTGAGAGGGGAGAGCATGTCTGAAGGGGGGGAGAAGGGATGCCCAAGGCTGAATCTGGCTGGGCAAGGGGCTCTCTGGCCATGGGGCAGAGCATGGGAGGGAGGAGAGAGGGGCAGAGATGCCTTGAGCCCCTTACCCTCTTGCAGGGACTCTCCCAGATGGCCGACAGGGACCAGGATCTGGAGCTGGTCCAGAAGGGGAAAGTGAGCGTGACCAAGAAATCGCGGCCCACCAAGGAAATGAAGGAAGAGGCCTTTGAGAAATACCTGCAGACATTCTATAAGCCGCAACCCAAAATTGAGGTGGGGCTGGGCTGCTTCACTGGGCTGGAGATGGTGGCAGGGAAGGGGCACCTTCCAGGCAAGGGGGTCTCCGTGGAGGAGGTCCTGCAGCCCCTCCCCGCCTCAGATGGAAGGGCGAGGGGAGGAGAGGTCAGACTTCCCAGGAGCTTTTTCTCCTTTGAGCATCTCCTCTGCAGAGCCATGGAAGAGAGACAGGGGGTAGTTTTGCATGTTCATCCAGTTGGGCCGCCTCACGGGTGGCGTTTATTGTGTCTCCTCCCCTCCGCCTTTTCTCTCCTCCCAGATTCCGGTGGAGGACACCTTCAATGCCGATGAGGTGCTGGAAGCCATGTGCCGGGCGAAGTCCATTTCGGAGCTCTATGGGCCAGACGGCATGTTCCTTGGGTGCTTCCCTCCACCCATTTCCCTGCAAGGTCCCGAGACATTGGAGGTAACTGGTGGGGCGCCCCCCCTGCCCTCCACGCTCTGCCCCAGGAGCCATGTGGTCTCCTGCCTGGTGTCCCTGCCCTGTCACCGGTGGCTCTGAGCCAAAGGCTGACTCCCACTGACCCTTCCTCAGTTTCCCTTGGCGAGAGATGCCTTTGAAGCCAACAGGGTGATACGGCCCTGAGGCTGAGTGTCAGCCTGTCCGCCAGGGCTTGCCAAAGCCTTTTGCCTCCTCGGTCCTGTATACCTGAAGGAGCATCTCCATCCCCATCGTTCTGCCCGGACACTGAGGTCCAGCTCCGAGGACCTTCTGGCGGTTCCCTCACTGCGAGAAGCCAAGTTACAGGGAACCAGGCAGAGGGTCTTCTCGGTGGTGGTGCCCACCCTGTGGAACGCCCTCCCATCAGATGGCAAGGAAATAAACAACTATCAGACTTTTAGAAGACATCTGAAGGCAGCCCTTTTTAGGGAAGCTTTTAATGTTTAAGAGACTATTGTGTTTTAATATTCTGTTGGAAGCTGCCCAGAGTGACTAGAGAAACCCAGCCAGATGGGCAGGGTATAAATTATTATTATTATTATTATTATTATTATTGTTGTTGTTGTTGTTGTTGTTGTTTTGGGTTGCCTGAGGTGATGCCACTGAGTCCTTGTCCAAGGTGGCACCTTGGGGCGACTGTGTGGCGCCATCTTGGTTTGTGAGAGACCCCCTTCCTCCTGCCTTCCCCGCAGGACACCAGCCCCCCTGCGGAGGGGAGCCCACAGGCCGTCCTCTCAACAGCCCCGTCTGTGTCTGAAATCAAAGAAGCTTTATCCCCGCTTCCTCCTCCAGTGAGATTCCTGCTTTTTGGAGTGAGGAGGAGCAAGAGTGAGCAGGTGAGGGTCTTTGGGGGGCAGCTGGAGTGGGGAAGGGGCTGGGGCAGCGGCAGAGGACTGAGAGTGCCCTCTTGTCTCCCAGTTAGGCCTGGCACAAAAGGGAAAGAGACCCCCCAAGGAGAAGAGGAGGAGGCTGCCCCCTCCGGTGCCCCCGCCAGTGGTGACAGCCCCTGAGGAGGTCCTGGAGCCCAGCTCTAGCCCCCCCTTGGACGAAGCGGAGAAATCTCCCCCCAGCGCAAGACGTCCTTCCCCAGGCCTCATGCTCTCTGGCATGGACATCAGGGGCAGCAAGGTCAAGATCCGTCGGGCAACGGTGAGATTCCAGAGGTGGGGGCAGAGGGGTATGGAAGCAGGAAGCCCACGGACTGACAGACGGGCACACACACATTAAAATGTGTGCCCGCCTGATCCCAGAAGTTGTGGGCGCACTTGAAGCTGCCGCCTTACCCTGAGTCTGACCTTTGGTCTGTCCAGCCCAGTGCTGTCTTCTCTGGCTGGCAGCAATCACTCTCTCTGCAGGGTCTTCCTCAGAGCCCTTTAACTAGAGTGGGCTATTTGGGCAGTAAGGCCCTTTGAGCTTGAGATGCTGTGAAGGAATGAACCCGGGACCTTTTGTCTGCTGAGATGGTTTCACTCACACATCTCTGCAATCTGAGCATCCGATGGAGGGGCTCGCAGCATCCGCACCCAGCCCAGCCTGCTTCTTCATCAGACTCAGCTTTGGATCCAGCACAGAGCAAGCAGGTCTCTGTGGTTCCAGCTTCCAGCCTGCTTCCAGCCCAGCCCAGCTCACAAACAGCTGGGGGTGGGGAGTGGAGGACTAATGGCCCATCCATTAGTCTGGAGGGCCCCATCACTTAGTTGCAGCTCTTGCATCCCAGCACAGTATTTTGGGAGGCTGATGAGGACACTTCCATGGCCAACTAGTGTGTTGCCTCCATCTATCTTGGAAGACCATGGAAGAGTCTCTCTTCAGGGGTAAAGTCAAACCGCTGGAGAGTTTTTGTGCCCGCGGTGGCTGTAGAGACCAATACAGGACAGACATGTTTTATGGCAGGAGGGCCTTTTCTGTGGTGGCTCCCCACCTGTGGGATGCTCTCCCCAGGGAGGCTCACCCAGTGCCTTCCTTACACATCTTTAGGTGCCAGCCAAAAGCATTCCTCTTCTCCAAAGGCCTTTGGCTAATTAAACAATCTATTAAACAGTGGGGAGATGGGGTGTCATTGCTTTTGTTTGTTACTATGGTATGTATTTTTTCATTTTTATATTGTAAACCACCCTGTGATCCTCGGTTGGAGGGCGGTATAGAAATTTAATAGAGAATAACAAGAATAATAATAGTCTTACAAAGGATCTTTTCTGACTAGTTTGGCAACTTATTCTGTTGAATTCTAACCCTCCCTACATGCAGGGCTCCAAGTATTGGAAGGGACTCGGGGCATCATCCAGACTGAACCCCCCGCCCTGCCCCCGCCCACAGTGACATTGTGTTTTAATGTTGCAACCCACCCAGGAACCTTAGGGTGAAGGGCGGGTCATTAATAATAATCAGTATAGTCCCCAGAGAGGACTGAAGTCTGGCAAAAGACCCTTCTGAGTTTGGCCTGCAAAGTTAACCCGAGCTCCTCCTTTTCCTTGCCCTTCACCCTAGAGCCAGTGTGGTGTAGTGGTTCAGAGCGGTAGTCTCGTAATCTGGGGAACCGGGTTTGCGTCTCCGCTCCTCCACATGCAGCTGCTGGGTGACCTTGGGCTGGCTAGTCACACTTCTCTGAAGTCTCTCAGCCCCACTCACCTCCCAGAGTGTTTGTTGTGGGGGAGGAAGGGAAAGGAGAATGTGAGCCGCTTTGAGACTCCTTCGGGTAGTGATAAAGTGGGATATCAAATCCAAACTCCTCTTCTTCTTCTTCTTCTTCTTCAGTTGAGTAAAGACTTGGATGCAATCAAAGAGTCCAAAATGCGTCCTTCCGTCTCACCCCCTTCACAACTGTCCTCAACCCCCAGTTTCCCTGGGGAGCCCATCAAGAGCGAGAAGGTAAGAGGGCCCCCACCTTGGCTCACCTGCTGCCGCCGCATCCTTGCCTCCCTTGGGGGCTGCAATTGGCAGGTGCGGCTCTCATGGGATGTCCTCCCTCAGGACCCTGACCAAAGCTTGATCCTGCCCAAGGCAACCCAAAGTGACTTCCAACCAAACCACGGAAATGAACAGGTTGGGACCATCGTTGCCTTATGAGGGAGCTCCACAGTTTCGCTCTGTGGTGCGTGAAGAAGGACTTAGTTTTATTTGTCCAGAATCTTCCTACTCTCAGCTTCGCTGGAGTTCTGACACCACCCCAGAGCCCAGCAGAACCCCCACCCCCCGCAGTTCCCCATTTCTCTCAGCCACCGCCAGAGGGAGAATCTCCCCCTCCCCTGTGAAAGAAACGTGGGTGTAATTCTGTGTCTTTGGGCTCCAGCGCAGGAGGGGCTGGCGAGGCCCCCGATGTGGACGTTGGCGGGTGTTGGGGTGGTTCTGTGTCCTGTGCTGTTCCCTGGCTGGCGGGAGGCATTTTGGAGATGGGGACAGGAGGTGCAAGCGAGGTGAGGGGGAAAGGAGTGGCGTATGCAGGTGTCCTCCTCTGTGTCTCACCTGGGCGACCATGGATTGTGTGCCTAGAGTGTCATCTTCAAGGAGTCCCCCTCAACAGACGAGAGTCAGGGGTCTCCTTCCTTGCTTGACAAGAGCCAGGGGTCTCCTTCGTCGCCAGGCAAGAGCCAGGGGTCTCCTTCCTCAACAGACAAGAGCCAGGGGTCTCCTTCCTTGCTTGACAAGAGCCAGGGGTCTCCTTCGTCGCCAGGCAAGAGCCAGGGGTCTCCTTCATCGCCAGGCAAGAGCCAGGGGTCTCCTTCCTCAACAGACAAGAGCCAGGGGTCTCCTACCTCGTTTGAGAAGAGCCAGGGGTCTCCTCCCTTGCTAGCCAGGAGCCGGACATCGTCTCCATCTTTCGCAGCCAAGAGCCAGGAGTCCCATCCATCTCTGCCAGTCGGGAGCCAGGAGCTGTCTCCCTTCTCGCCTACCAGGAGCCAGGAGTTTTCGCCCAAGTCCCTGGGCTCCGTTTCCCGCATGAAGAGCCAGACATCTTCCGTCATCATCAAGGGCTTCTTTCCCGAGAGGCCGCCTTCCGGCAGCAAGGAATACTTCAGACTGCAGGTAGTGAGGCTTCTCTGGGCTGCTGGCTCCTTCCTCTCCCCTTGTCCTCCTCCTCCTCCTCCTCTGGCTCCGGGGAGAGGCCACAAGCCAGTCTGCTGCCAGGGCCTGAGGCAGAGAGTTGGCAATGCTTCTCCTCTCTGGCAGAACCCTGAGCAGCTGCATTTCCAGGGACCACTGCTTAGGTGTGCTCTGGCTGGGCATAAGAAGAGCCTGTCTGCTGGATCAGGCCCACCTAGTCCAGCATTGTCTTCTCACAGTGGCCCACCAGATGGGCATTAAGGGAAGCCCCCCAGCAGGACCTGAACGCAACACTATTCTCCCCTCGTTGCCCCCCATTACCTGGGATTTAGATGTAGACTGTTCCTGGGCATGGAGGTTCTGCCTTCAAAGCAGACCTCTGTAAGAAGAGCCTGCTGGATCAGGCCAATGCCTCTCTGGGGGACACCCACGAGGGAGACCTGAGCACAAAAGAGCATGTGCCTATGGCTGACAAGCTCTGCGTGACCTTCACAGGAGGGAGTAGGGGAAGAAATCCAATTCTGCTCACACTTAAAGCTGAATTTAGCAAATTCCCACTTTCCCAAAGAATACGAGAACTGAAACACAGGCACCTGTTGAAAGCCATCCAATATTCCCTGTGCAGTTTTCCAATGAAACAAGGTTTACAGAAATTCCAGAAGGGGTGGGGCAAGCCCCCAAGGTTTGCTGTTGGGGTGCGGAAGGCGACTGCTGTCTGAGCTGCTTTGCTCTCCCTTGCCAGGAGCTGGAGAGCCACCACGCGCCACTGCCCAGGCTATCGTCTGGCTTCATCCCCAACTCGGTGGCCGCCCTGCAGTTTCACAGCCAGGAGATGCTGGCGGATGAGAGAGATGAGAGACTCGTGAGGGTGGTGGAGGCGGTAAGGCGGAGCAGGGCGCCCCCCCTGCACCCTCAGGGCCAGGCCTGCTGGGGGGAGGCTGGGGGCCTGGGCCGCGCTCTCGGGGGGACCCTGCCTGGAAGCCTGTGAAAGGAGCAGGCAGGACACAAACTCAGCACCCAGAGAGGACAAACCTTGGCAGGGAGTGTGCAAGACACCCTGGGGCAAAACCACAAGGCAATGCCTGCTTGCTTGCTGCTTCAGCCTAGCTCTAACTGCTGGTCTTCCCTCTAGCCCAGGGGTGGCCAACTCCCAAGAGTTGTAAAGCCTGGCAGTGCTCTACCCCAGTTTTTGGGGTTCAGGTCAAAGTTGTTGAGCTTTCTTAGGGGAACCAAAGTTGTTTGGCTTCTTTGGGGGGAGCCAGTGATCTACCCCAGACGTCCAGTGATCTACCGGTAGATCGCAATCTACCTGTTGGACGTGCCTGGAGGCTCCAAATTGGCCTCCCGCTTGGAAGCTGTCCCGGTTCAGACCTGCTTAGCTTGGGAAGTGCAGCCATCTCAGGAGGCTGCCTGTGGGTGGGGCACTGTGGGACACAAGGGGGCGGTCTCCTCTTGGCCGAGGGGGCCTGCACTTTCCCTTCTGCTTTTGCTAGGAGACAGAAAGCCACTTGAGAACGGTCCCAGAGTGGAAGGAGGAAGAGGAGCCCAGGACACGGGTTTCTGAAGAGATCAGCATCATCAAACCGAGTACAAAACAGGTAAGCAGGTACCTCTTCCTTACCTGGGATGGTCCTCCTGCCTCTCTCCTGCTGCTGGCAAGGGATGTCCTGAGAGGGTCCTGTGTGGCAAGGGACCCATAAGCAAGGGACCCCCAAGTCAGGCTGTTTCTCTCTCTGTGTGTGGGTCTCCTTTGGTTTCTCCTCATTTTGTTTTGTTTTAAATAAACAAAACAAACAAAAGATAAATAGCTTAAAGTATTTAATGCCTTAGAAATTAAACTTAATGGGTAAGTTAGGATCGGATAAAATGTCAGCGATGTGGATTAAATAAAGCAAATTACACATACATCTGGAATTGTTCTCAAAAACAAATATTCTGGAAATTGGTTCAGGCTATTATATCTATTAGGATGTCACATACCATTGGACAAAAAATATTTCTACTAAATATTATGTAAAACATGTTATTCCAGAAAATGGTCAAGAAACTGTGTTTAACCTTATAACTGCTGCTAAGATATAAATAGCTAAAAATGTGGGGAAGCATATATCTGCCTATATCTGAATGGAGAAAATTTGGTCTATGGTTAATTTAGAAAGGAATGCATATTAACCACTCTAACGGGTTTATGGGAAACTGGCATTTTTGGCAATGTTTTGGAGGAACATTGTGAAAAATGGTTCCTCCTTTTTATTCCAGATGGATCTTCCTGAGTTCTTCCTGACGCAGCTGGATGAATCTCAATACCCAGAGCCGAAGAAAGAGCCTCCCTTCTTTGTCTTGCCATTCCTGGACATGCTGTGGTTCCAAGATCTTTTTCCTGAGGTGAGAGGCTGAAGGACAAGGAGGATCTGGAGACCATCCCTAAGGGCCAAGGAGGGCCAAGGAGTCCTGCTGCCCACAGGACCTTCTCCTTGCCCCATCCCTTGTCTAGCTGGGGCTCTGCTTGCCACAGACCTGGAAGACAAAGATTTCCTCTACTGGCAGAGCCACTTTTTGTATAAATGGTCTTCTCCCAAAGAAATAATGGCAACAGGCTTGCAACCACAGGCTGATCCTATATATAACAATAATAATAATTTATTATTTATACCCCGCCCACCTGGCTGGGTTTCCCAAGCCACTCTGGGCGGCTTCCAACAAAACATTAAAATACAATAACCTATTAAACATTAGAAGCTTCCCTAAAGAGGGCTGCCTTCAGATGTCTTCTAAAAGTTTGGTAGTTATTTTTCTCTTTGATATCTGGTGGGAGGGCGTTCCACAGGGCGGGTGCCACCACCGAGAAGGCCCTCTGCCTGGTTCCCTGTAATTTGGCTTCTCACAGCAAGGGAACCGCCAGAAGGCCCTTGGAGCTGGACCTCAGTGTCCGGGCAGAACCGACTAGCCTGGAAACGACTTTGCTGTCCAACTGTGATCTGAAGGGATCTCTAAACCCAGCTGACAAGGACCCCTCCCTTAAGCTCTAGAAAGGTCAAATGAAAAAGAGCTTTAGATTTGTGTTTTGAAAGCCCAGAGGATGCAGAACAGAACAGCTGTGTGTGAGAGAGAGAAAGAGAGAAAGCTTAACAGCCCTGCCACCTATCACATGGGGAATAATTTTAATGAGAGACTCCAAATTCCTGTGTAAACCAGTGAAGTCAAATATCAAAGTATAAACAACTTTATTTGGGAAATGTGAGGGGAGAGAAGCAAAGAAAAGAAAAGGGAAAGGTGACAATATTTTGCTCACAGACGACATATAACTTAGCTAGTTGCGTTTCACCTGCTTGAGTGAGTCTTGGGTTTCAGAGGATGTGCAGAGTTCTGTGCAGAAAAGATTCAGAGAGAGCGAGAGTGAGATTCTTTCCTCGCCTCTGTGGATGGTTCTGAGGAGACAGAGGAAGTTGAGGGGATGCCTCCCCTTTATGGGAATTTGAGACCGATAAGCCCCCGTTTCTTAATGGCGATGGGGGGTGGTTGTCTGGGCCAGTGTAAAGAGAAACTCCATCTCTTTGCCAGTGGTCCCAATGGCCAGAAGGGTATTCAGAGGCTGTTTCCACCTCCATAGTTATTCCTAAACTCCCATTGCAAAAGAACTAGCCAGTTCTGGAAGGCTGGGATGTTGTAAAAGTAACATTAGGTTTTCACCTTAGAGGGAAGGAGGGCTGTTACTCACTGGTAGAACATTTGCTGCTAGAGACCCCCAGAGAGAGAAGATAAGCTGTGCACATTTTATCTCTATGGGAGGGTGAGAGGGTGGTATGAATGAGCAGATTCCTCTGGGGCAGCGTGTGGGTCTGGGGCAGGCTGTGTGCACCTTTCCTTTGGGTAAGTTGGCCTCCCGCAGCTCCTGCGACTGCTGGGGCCATTTCCTTTGCTCTTTCAAGACCCAGCAGGCTCTTCTGGTCCTCCTGGAGGAAGGGCATCAGCTCAGAGGCGCTCCTAGAATCCTCGAATTGGAAGGGACCCCCCCGGGTCGTCTGGTCCAAACCCCCGCAAGGCAGCTTCCCTTCCCTCTCACCAGGGCTTTCCGCCGGAGATGACCTTGAACGAGTTCTTGACGAAGATGATGGCCGCCTTGGTTACCACCAGAGATTTTGGCCAAAAGGCAGAGCTGGTTTCAGCCATTGCCAGCCTGAAGGACGAGATGGGGAATCGGATGAACGAGCTGGTCTGCAGCACCTTTATCCAGGTGTTGAACAAGAGGGACGACCCTCCTTCCCTCCGGGTGAGGGTCACTCTGGGCTCCTCGCTTTGTGCTGCCGTGCAGATCTTGTCTTGTATATTCTGCTGGGGGAACACACACACACGCATGCGTGGAAGGCTGGCCTTCCACTATCCCCAGCCACTGGCTCAAGTTTCTGGTCTTCATAACTGAGCAGCCCCTCAAAAGGAAGGTGGGACCTCCTTTTGAGAGCCAGTGTGGTGTAGTGGTTAAGAGCAGTAGACTTGTAATATGGTGAACCGGGTTCGCGTCTCCGCTCCTCCACATGCAGCTGCTGGATGATCTTGGGCTACTCACACTTCTCTGAAGTCTCTCTGCCTCACTCACCTCACAGAGTGTTTGTTGTGGGGAAGGAAGGGAAAGGAGAATGTGAGCTGCTTTGAGACTCCGTAGGGTAGTGATAAAGCGGGATATCAAATCCAAACTCTTCTTCTTCTCTTCTTCTTCTCCCCACTGGGTCTGGTGGAGAAGGTGCTTAGGCCCAAGGGAACTTTTAAAGGGGTGGGAGATGTTTTTGAAGCAAAGCAACAAGGGGAGGAAGGGGAGCCAGCGGTTGCAAGTGCTGCAGATGTCGTTCCTGAAGACAGTTCTTTCCTTCTGGTGGAAACTGCATTTTCCCAGGAGGGGAAAGAGATTGTGTGCCAAAGGCAGCTCTTCCACAGCCAGCAAGTCCCCAGTGTTGTGCGTGCCAGATGGAATGTGCCCCCCTTCACCCCACCAGAGAGGGAGGCCCCCCGGCTGTCAATAGATTTCAACTTCCCTGCTGGCCAGACCCAGGAGTGACTTGCAGGGCTATAGAATTGTATCATTGGAGGGGACCCCAAAGGTCATTCAGCCAAACCCCCTGCAATCCTGGAATGCTGTATCTCAGGGCAGCTGCTTTGCATATCCAAGACATCCCCATACACCCAGGTTCGTCATCTCCAGGTTAGGGAGTTTGGAAAAGACCTCTGTCTCTCCTCCTCTCTTTGCCAAAGCCCGTGGGGAGCCACTGTCAGCCAGAGTAGGCACTGCTGGCCCAGGCTGGCCCTTGGCTTTGTGGGCTCCTGTGTCTGCCTGCCAAGATGCCCTTGTCTTCTCTCGACATTCCAGGAAAGGAAGCATCGGAAGTTCATCCTGGGCACCTTGCAGGCCCTCGTGAAGATGGACAAGGACAACAAGGACCTGATAGTGGAGCTCATGACCTTTTACATGCAGGCTTACACCCCAGACAAGTAAGGGCCGGGGGGGGGGGGTCACTGGTAGGAGCCTAAGCCTTAAGGGGGGCAGAGGAAACAAAAGGCTTCAGGACAGTTTGTCCAGCTTTTCCAAGTTGCCAGCTGCTCTGGCTGGCTCTATCTTGATTGCTCTCTCAATAAACAAAACTCCCCCTCTTTAAAAGAGAACGATTTTAAAAGATTTTACTGCAAGGGCTGTGTTGAAGTTTTGTTTAAAGGGAAACAAAACACATGCCACAGGTGAATTGATTTCAGCACAGCTTCTTTTATCCGCATGGTTTTGAAATCAGGTTTTAGGACCACGCGGATTTCCAAGTTGCCCGCCCAAATCTGTTCCCTCATGTTTGCCTTCAGTTAGCAAGTTACAGGCAGCAGAGACCACCCCCTTGCATCCTTGCCTAGATGCACATTCTCAAAGGGCAGGTGGACAGCAACCGGCAGGGGAGAAGGGGCGTTTAAGGAAAAACATTCCTCTAACTCATTGCTCTGACAGGTATTTTATGGCTCAGGTCAGCAGATGTGGTGGAGTGGTCCTGTGGGTGCAATTCCCCCGCCTTGCAGCGTGAGCCCACCTGCCTCTCTCTCCCTTCAGGGTCGTCATTCACAATCTGATGCAGGAGGTGGGAATCCAGGACCCCCACAGCTATTTCATCAAGGAGCTGAGCTCCTGGCCGGTGGAGGCGAGCCACTCCAAAGAGACAATGCGAGGAACCTGCGGCCAGTGGCTGGAAGGGAAGATGCAGGAGCTCAAGGTGCCCCTTTCCCCTTCTCTCTTCCTTCGGCCGGGGAGGGGTCACCTGGCTCCAGCCCCCCCCCGCCCCCCGCTACAGAATCTGTCAAACTCCGCAAGCAGGAGCCAGGCTGAAATCTGCAACGCACCCATTCTCTCCTGGCCTTTTCTCTAGCGGCTCAGAAAGTAAGGTTCCCTCCTCTGGGAAGAAACCAGCCATTTGCCAGTGAAGTTCCCCAGCCAGCAGCTTCCCCACTTGAGTTGTCTGGGCAGCTAGAATTATCTCCCTTCGTCAGAGAGGAAGGTCTTGCTTACATCGGCTGAGAACAACCTTCAGCTAAAAAGCTAACTTTCATTAAGGCTTTCAGCCCAGTGGTCAGGGGTTGGGAACTTCAAATATGGCCCCCTTGGGCCTCTCTATCTGGCCCTTGGGAGCTATGAGCTCCTTGAGTGATTTAGCCAGGCTGGAATCTTGATCTTGAACTGTGGCAGTGGCTCTTGCGAAGGGGTGCGATTGTGTGTGTAGATGCCAGTGTGTTGGACAAGGGAGAGTTTTACATTCATTGCTCCGCCTACAGCCATCAGCTGGATTCCAACCTCAGCAGCCAGGAGCCCAAGCTATAGCACCAGAATCCAGTCCAAATGTCAGGGAGAATATGGTTGATGTGCCAGCCTCTAGATGCTCCACTTAACCGCCTCTAATCTGCCAGCATTTTAAGCAGGAATGACTCACCTCCCCCCCCCCCCGCTGCAATATAATAATAATAATAAGAATAATAATAATAGTAGTAGTATATTTATACGCCGCCCATCTGGCTGGGCTTCCCCAGCCACTCTGAGTAGCTTTCAACAAAATATTAAAATTAATATTTTTATGCCCCCTCCAATTTGCCATTAAAAAGAAATCAACTCCTCCTGTGGATCCCTTGCTGGGATGCTATGACACCAAAAGCTTTTAGCGACACCCCAAATGTGCTTTTTTAAAATAAAAAAAGCTTAATTATTTCCTGAGAAAAATGAACTAAAAGCCATTTTTCACCGACTATTTCTATAGATCACCTGCTAGGATACTGCGACACCAAAAGTTTTTTATTTGGTGGGCCCCAGAGACCTCACCCAAAACTTGTCACTTAAAAATAGATACTGCCCACGACCCGGGGGCTCCTGCTTTTGAAAGCTGCCTCCAGTGGGGGCCTGGGGTGGGGTCCCAGGCCACAGTTTTTGCACAGCAAAGGGATTTACCCTTTGGGCAACAAACAAACACTCTTTCTCCACGCTGGAAGCGGCACCTGATGATTCTCTTCCTCCCAGGAGCACAGAGCTCAGCTTTTGGCGCAGAAGGTTCCATCCAGAAGGCATTATTCCTTTAAACCTTTCCAGAAGGTAAGAAGTATTGTGCGTCCAGCCTGTCTTTGCTGATTATTGTGGGAAGGAGGATAGTGAGGGCAGTTCTCACCTTCCTCCGTGTTATGTATTGAAGTTCTCACCCTGGGCCAGCAGGGGGATACTGTAGATAGTTATGCAAATGAAGGATCGAAAGTGATGTTCAGTGATTGAATAGTTTGTATGCAAATGAAGGATCGAAAGTGACATTCAGTGATTGGATAGTTTTAGAAAGTTGCTACAGTAACTGTTGTACTGGAGCTCTATATAAGCAGGCTGACTGAGCCCTTCAGTTCAGTTCAGTTCTGTTCTGGCCTCGGAATAAACAAGAGCTGTTTGAAGAATCGCTGTGTCGTCTGATATGTTCGTCCACAACTTAACACTCCTCCTCTTCCTCCTTTGCCCCCACCTTCCTGCACCTCTCAGCTTAGCTCCCTTGTCCCCTCACCCAGGGGGTCTCCATCCTTCAGAGCCCCCCAGATCATCCAGGTTTTTTTAAATTTTCTACTCCGCCTTGTTTATCGATGCTCCAGGCAATTACAAAAAAAGCAAATGAAATCACAGTCCGTCCATTACAATATCTATAAAGAAAGATGTCTGAAAATCACCGTATTTTTCGCTCCATAAGATGCACCTAGTTTTTAGAGGAGGAAAGGGGGAAAGCCCCGTTTTTTGGGGGATCAGCTCACAGTTGTGCAGCTTCTTTTGCAAAGGGGAAAAGCCCCTTTTTTGAGGATCAGCTCAAAGTTGTTGAGCTTACTTTGCAAAGGGAAAAAAATCTTGTTTTTATGGGGTTCAACTCACAGTTCTGCTGCTTCTTTAGGAAAGGAAAGGGAGCCGTTTCTACAGTTTCCGGACAGATAATCTAATCAGCCAGTCACATGTCGCTGGGGAAACAAACAGCCTCCGTCTGCAGAACATTCAACGATGGAGGCCTGGGCAAGGGGCCGGAAAGGGAGCCAGTGATCAACCACACATTCGCCCCATAAGACGCACAGACATTTCCCCTTACTTTTTAGGAGGAAAAAAGTGTGTCTTATGGAGTGAAAAATACGGTATATATAATTTACATACGAACTGAAATTAATAATCCATTGCCTATCTAGCCACAGTGGTTGAAACGCATGCTAAGTGATTTCAAAGCTGGGCTCTGACTCACATGTTGTCCTCCTTGTTCTAGCAGAAGAGACGCTCCACCATGGAGACGGAGAGCAAGAGGTCCTCTCCGGAAAGCTACCAAGAGGTGAGGAGGCTTACAGAGGAATCTTGTGAAGGCAGCCCAGGCTGGGTGCCTGGAGGGGCGGCCGTTCCTTCCAGGCAGCTCTTGCAGCTTCCATCAGCCACCTGTCCAAAACCTCTGGGGGATGCCAGGTTGGCCAAAGGCTGACCCTCCAACCGCCCCTCAAAAGCCCCTTGGTACACCTTCTCTGTCTGACCCAGGAGTGGAGCGGCTCTAGCGTGGACCAGGAGAGGCGGCTGAAGGGGAAATATTCCCCCGAGAGCTACAAAGAGGTAAGGTCTGCCGAAGAATCCTGCAAAACCAGGCAGGGTGGCACCTGAGAGCGAGGGGCTGTCCCTGTGCCAGGTAAGGAGGGGCGTCTTCTTCCTCTGTGATTCTTGTGTTGCAGGGGGTTGGACTAGATGACCCCTGGGACCCTTCCGACTTTACATTTCTATGAATCACATTTCTTTTCCCTCCAGGGAAGGCCAGATCTGTTTAATTTTATTCTTTATTCTGGGTGGCTTGCAGGAGAGAGAGAGAGAGAGAGAATGCTCAGTCCAGTGGTGGGTGGTTCCCATGGAGACTGGTGGGGCAGAAGGCAGGAAGCCCCACAGCTTTGGCCCCCAGAGCCAATGACCAGCCCGTCCTCCCCTTCCCTGTTGAGTTCTCTACAGGGAACGCTGAGACGAAGGAGCAGGAGGAATCTTGACAGCCAAGGCCACCCCAGGAAAGAGGGCAGCTAGGCAGGTGGGGGTAGTTTGGGGACAGTGCCCCCCCGTCACCCTCCACCAAACCACAGTGCATATCGGACAAAAGACATGAATCCAAATATCCTAAAAAGACAGGCTGGAACATCTAATCCTTTCCCCTGGCCACCCACAACAGCCGATAGCTACCATACTGCAAGTATTGAACTGCAAAGTGAGGCTCTCGTTGGCGTCTTCATTCCAGGTGGGGAAAGACCTGGGCAAGAAGAAGAGGGCAGAGAGGGGATCCCTTGCGGAGGAGAAGAGGGCGAGGAAGGAGGAGAGTCCACAGGTACGGGAAGACCCCCTTGGAGCTCACCACCCAAAATGCCCTTTGTTGTCTAACAAAAGGTACCTGCTATAAGGTAAAGGTAAAGGGACCCCTGATCATTAGGTCCAGTCGTGGCCGACTCTGGGGTTGCGGCGCTCATCTTGCTTTATTGGCTGAGGGAGCCGGCGTACAGCTTCTGGGTCATATGGCCAGCATGACTAAGCCGCTTAACGCCGTTTACCTTCCCGCCGGAGTGGTACCTATTTATCTACTTGCACTTGACATGCTTTTGAACTGCTAGGTTGGCAGGAGCAGGGACCGAGCAACGGGAGCTCACCCCGTCGTGGGGATTCGAACCACCGACCTTCTGATCGGCAAGCCCTAGGCTCTGTGGTTTAACCCACAGCGCCACCCGCGTCCCTATAAACCTGCTATAAACATTCCCTCTAATGATGAACTTGGATGGTTGAGTATCTGTCATTTAAAAAAATAATAATTATTGAGTTTTAATTTTATACATATAAAACAAAACAATTTCAAACATTAAAGTACAAGGTTCTTTCGAACCTTCAGACCTCCTCCCCTCCTTCCATGGGTTCCATATTTAAATTTAGGTTTACTGCATCTTTTACCAAAACCAGGAAGATCAAGTATCTACTAAAGATTGGAGTAAATTTGTAATTTATTTAAAAGACAACTGTGAACAGTTAGAATCTTTGGCAGGGTTGTAATGACATGTGTAATGGTAATTATGGTTTTGTAATAGATGGATAAGGGTAAGAGTATCTGCCATTTTTAATGAGGGGGCCGATGCTAGTGTTGGTGTGCTTTGAATAGATTTTAGAGAGAGAGAGTTTTAATGTTATTAATGTTTAATTGTTTTTAGTGGTTGTTTTTCTACGTTTTCAGCTGTTCTTAGTTCATCTGTAGGCCACCTTCTATTATATATAAATAACAGAAATAATAAATGAAAGGGGATCTTCCATAAATAAGACAGAGTGAGGCCTGGAGAAGACTTGCAAGGCTTCTGATCTCAGTTGTCTGAAACCCTGAACATGAGCAATGCATTCAGAGACTGAACAACAACAACAACTTATTATTTCTACCCCGCCCATCTGGCTGGGTTTCCGCAGCCACTCTGGGCGGCTTCCAACAAGAGGTTAAAAATACATTAAAACATCAGTCATTAAAAACCTCCCTAAACAGCCTTCAGATGTCTTCTAAACGTCAGATAGTTGTTTATCTCCTTGACATCTGATGGGAGGGTGTTCCACAGGGCGGGCGCCACCACCGAGAAGGCCCTCTGCCTGGTTCCCTATAACTGGAGATATCCTGCCATGTTTCTTTTTGCATGTTCTGCATGTGTCAGAAACATTTGCCCAATTGGACTCTGACTGGTGCGTTTTCCTCTGACTTAGGAGCCAGAGGGTGGTGATGTCACGGACGATGCAGAGCAGCCAGAGATGGAGGAGTCAGGAAGCCTGGAGGTGAGGCCACCAGTTCAGAAAGTATAATAGATTGGCAATCACTCATGCTAGAGTTCTTTCAATTAGCAAAGCTGACCGGAAAAGCCAGAGGAGCCCCAAATCAAAAAATATTCAAAGAATGGAGACTACTCAAAGAATATATAAGATTATATTGTAACAATGACATCCTAGCAGAAATGAATGATACTTGTATATAATAAACAAATGGAATAAATATACTAGATGAATATACAGGAAAAGTTATAAAACAAACTGTGCGCTAAAATTGACAATAGAAAAAGTACAACGAGAACGATTGGAAGTCTCTTTCAGAAGACTTTATTAGAAAAGACAGGATGTTATAACCAATATTCATTTCTTATTGTTAATTCTTTTTTGCTTTTTATTTTTATTTTCTTTATCTTTTTCTATTATCTTTTTGTGTTTAATTTTGATGTAACTGTCTGTAATACATCTATAAGATGATATTTTAAATCAATAAAGATGAATTAATAATAAAAAAGGAGGTGAGGCCACCAGTTCAGAAAGCCCCTTGTTGGTGGAGTGGAAAGGGGAGATCCCCCTGCCCCCCAGACTCAGGTTCCCCCCACCTGCTTCTTCCTCCTCCCATGCCAGAGCCGGCCGGCCCAAGCTGGGCTCCGGACACAGCAGCCCAGAGACTGGACACCTCTGGAGAGGAAGCCCAAGCGCCCCGATGCTTCCTGTCCAGGCCCAGCTTTGCCCCACGCTAAACCCCCAGCTGCCCCCCAGGGCGACGGAAGTGGCCGCACCAGGGACTCTCAGGGCTGCTCTACTTCTGCAGGCGGAGGCAGCTGAGTTTGGGATGCAGCCCGTCCGCCCCATCGACGCCATCCATTACTTCGTGGAAAAGCAGCTGGAGAAGGAGCTGGAGGAGATGAAGCAGCTGGTCTCTTCTTCGCTGATCTCGCCCAAGGACACCGTCATGGTCCTGCCTCCCATTAAGAAGTAAGAGGGGCTGTCACACAGGACACTTGAGGAAGCCCCGGCAAACGCATGGCTTTTCTGGGTGGTGCTGCTGTTGCTGCTGCCTCCCCCCTCCCAAATAATGACCTCACAATGGCTACTCGCTAGATCTGCAACACTGAGAATTCGCACCCGGGCTCCACGAGGCAGATCAGTTCCCCCGAGCTTGGCAGAATGATTCCGTCTGTCCTCTCCACAGATTTCTGGGGGCAGTGAAGGGCTGGGGGTCCTGTGTGGCCCTCCAGAGGTTGCTGGACTCCAGCTTCCCCGAACACCAGGGCTAAAAGTCAGGGATGGTGATGGGAGTTGGAGCCCCAGAGCAAGACCCAAGTGGGGGGGGGGCACAGGCTTTCCGTGGCTGCGGTAGAGTATATAAAGATCCAACAACTCTGAAACACTCTGGGGGGTGTTTCTCTCCCTGTAATGCTGCCCCAGTCTAGGCTGGTGTGATGCCCTGGGACTCGGGCTTGGGCTCGGAACCAGAGGAGTCTCAGTCTGCACTGGACCCTTTGCCTCAGGCGGCATCTGAACCGAGTCTGGGGGCTGATCCTGAAGAGTCCCAGTCTGCACAGGTTCCCCTGCAACAACACCAGCTGGGCCGAGTCAGGGGCCGGAGCCTGTCCTGGCTCCAGATGTGGGGGTTACCTCGCTGCCTTCAGCTGGGCCATCACTTACAGCTGCTCCACTACCGGTTGGGTCAGGGGAGGCGGCCCCTGGGTCTAGTAACCCACCGACGTCTCCCGAGCTGCAGAGACTGATGTCTGAGAGAAGGAGAGACCTGAGTACTCGCAGGAGGAGTGCTCGCCTTTGGGCGAAACAGGGAGGTGAGTCGCCGGGGGATCAGGACCAGCCGTTACCCCGACAAAGATAAAAGGCTGCTGGATCCTGCCCCAGGTTGCGGGAGCAACATTGCTGTTTGCCAGAACCTGCCTGAGACCCTGTGCCTGACTGTGCCTGGTTTCCTGCCTCGTGTCCTGTCTTGGCCCTGTCGGACTGACTCCTCACGGAACCCTTGGATTTGGGAGCAGACCTGGACCACGTTCTCGGGTCACCCCCGGGCCCAGCACAGCCAGGCTCACGGCTGCTGCTCCCCCCATATGTGGTGTCTTTGTAAAAGTCCAGAGGGTGAGCCCGGCCTCACTTGCGCATGCTCCCCGCACAACGGATCACAGGCTGTGTGAGGGGGCAAGTGCCTTTTCCGTGGCTGCTCTTGGTAAACCCGTGCCCTTGTTGTGACAGGAAGCGTGCCATCCTGCGGCTCGGAGAAACCAACGCCATGTTGAGGAAGAGAATACCCGAGCGTAAGTAGCTGCGGTGGCCGGGGGGGGGGTCTTCACCCCACTGCCTGGCCCTGTGGCTTTTATCTGCTTGCCCCCAAACAGACGTGACTGGGCCTGGATGGCACTGGGGGCAAATGCTCTGCCGCCCCCCACCCAGACCCTGCCCACCCTTCCTCCTGCAGCAGGAGAAACTAATGTTAGTTCACCAGTTTGACCCCAGATAACTTTCTGTGACTACAATTGATGTGTGTGGCTTGGAAAGATTTATTTCAGTCTTTGCTTGTTAGGATGTTTATACTCTGCCTTTTTTATCTGTAAAACAAGACTGGCAAATCAAGGGCCAGGTTTAGCCTTCGGCAGAGAAGGAGATGAACAGACACGTCTTTGTATGTGCCAGCTGCTGGCACCATCTTGCCAGTTTTGGCGCTTGCACTTAGATGCCCAGATGTGGCCTTTTTTAAAACAACTGGCCGCAATTCAGGGCCATCATAATCCCAGAAACAGCTTTGGAGACTTTTCTGTGGCAGCTCTGCACACACCTGGCAGATTAATCCGACAATCCCTCCTAGATGCCTAGCCTTGGGCAAGAGGTGTGTCCTGTGTATTCTGGGGTGTCACTGGCTGGAAAGCATTCTGGGGGGGGGCATTTCTACCCAGAAGAGATTTATCCCACTCACAGTGAGCGAGCCAATATTCCTGTCTGCACAAAGCAGGAAGGCGAAGATTTTCATAGAATGGAGGTAAATATTGTGACTATTGTTGCACACCACCCCAATCTCTGGACAGCATGAAATTCCAGGTGTTCCAGGTACTTTCCCAGGGTTTGTTTCCTTTGGAATGCGGGGCAGAAGAGACTGCAGTGGCTTTAGGATCTCTTGCTTATGTGTACACCACCTGAGCCTGTGATGGAGGAGTCTACAGCATTAACACCCCAAGAGAGTCTTGCTTTTCCCATAGACACAACTGAAATCAGGCAGAGCTCTGACTCTCAGCTGCTCAACCTGCAGCCTGCCAGCTTCCAGCTTGAAAAAGCAACTCGCAACTCTGGCCTTTGTCTTTGAGGGAGGGGCCCCACCCATTTGGTTTCTGGCACACAGCCACTTCCTTTGTTACCTTAATGGCCCATACAGAGAGGGCCATTACCTCACTAGGAAGCTAGCCTGGCTATTCCAGGAATTGAAACTGTGCTGGATCCAGGCATTAGAAGGGGGCCCAGCCCATAACCTTATCATCACCCGCTAATCCAAGCAAGACACAGGGATGCTGGTCCAGGATTTTGGATGAGGGGGTTCCTTTCCATGTGGGGTGCTCCTAGGACCTTGGAGCAACGTTGGCCAGGAGTGCCTGAGCACAGCTGTGGTTTGTGTACCTGATGCAACTTGTCTGGCAGAAGGCAGATCTGTCCAGGGTCACACCTGCCGTCATGATCACATCTAGGCTGGGTTGGCGCATGGTCCTGCTTCTGAACATGTTTAGCATCTCAGAACGCTGTGACCAGGCTCCTCTTGGGAGCTCAAGATGTGGGTTATTTTACTCCACCGTTCTTCTGTCTACATTGGCTGCTAGTTCATATCCAAGCACAATTCAAAGCGCTGACTAGATTGACATTAGAATTTTATGGCTACTCTGCTCCTTTATCTCCTTTGATCCACTTGAATTGTTTTTTTATTGGATGTACACAATTTCTTACATTTTTAAGAGCTGCTTTGTAGGTCTTAGGGACGCGGGTGGCGCTGTGGGTTAAACCACAGAGCCTAGGACTTGCCGATCAGAAGGTCAGCGGTTCGAATCCCTGCAACGGGGTGAGCTCCTGTTGCTCGGTCCCTGCTCCTGCCAACCTAGCAGTTCTAAAGCACATCAAGTGCAAGTAGATAAATAGGTACCGCTCCGGCGGGAAGGTAAACGGCGTTTCCGTGCGCTGCTCTGGTTCGCCAGAAGCGGCTCAGTCCTGCTGGCCACATGACCCGGAAGCTGTACCAATAAAGCGAGATGAGCTCCGTAACCCCCGAGTCGTCCGCAACTGGACCTAATGGTCAGGGGTCCCTTTACCTTTACCTTTGTAGGTCTTTTTTAAAAAAGCAGTTCTATAAATATTTAAATAAAAGAGATACCAGTACATTGAGCTGTTGTTGAAAGCAGAAGTACAGTGGCTGGTTGAAAAACGGGCAGCCGAGTTGTTTCCCAGCTTCCTTCCTCTGCTGGATTAGAGGAAGGAAAGGAAAGGCGAGGAAGGGAAGGGGGTCCAGGGGCTTCTCCCATGCCCAACGGCCTTCCTCTTCCTCTTTGTTGTCTCCTTCAAACACAGGCTTCTACTGCCCGTACATCTTCCCGCGCTACCTCATGAAGGGGTTTGCGCCCTTTGTGAAACTTCCCCTGCCAAGAATCACCTTGGACCCCTTCCCACCCATTCCGAAGAGGCCGGCATCACCAAAGTCTTTCACCGCCATGCAGCAGTTGGTGAGGAAGTATTTCATCCCCAAGTTTTCGTACGCCGACAACTACCCTTGAAGGCTTCAGGAGACGCCTGGCGTTCCATCCGAGAGGAGAAATTCCTTCAGGCTGGGAATGGCTGGAGGGCTGGCCAGCGCCACGTCTCATGGTGCCCCATCCAGGCAGATGGCAGCGATGGGAGGCTGCCCGCCACAGATGCATCCAGACAAAATGAAAAGTCAATAAAAGCAAACTTATGCCCAAGGTCACCCAAAACCTCTCTGTCTGGTCATGCTTTTTGTAGTTTCCTAATCATTTTCAAATTGCGATGGGCAGCTGCCACCCTGGGTGTTGCCCAGCTTAGGAATCATGCATGGTTCTGTTATCAGGAAGGATTGTTTGCTAAACGGCAGCACTGCGATCCAGGGAGGTGGCGTTTTCCAGCACACTTGAACTTTTGCATAATGCGCAGGACGCAGAAGGGTCCAGCTTCCCCCTGCGCAACTTGTGCAAGGCAGAGGTGCCAGAAAACTGCACTCGGCAGCAGCAGCCCAGCAGGCTAAGCAAAGTCCACTGCCACGGACTGCCTCCGAAATAACTGCAAAACTTTGCCGGGAGTGAGGAGAAAGGCAGCCACACAGCTGGATTCTCCGTGGTGCCAGGCAGGTCAGAAACAAGCCGAGCCAAACGAGCCGATTCTGGCATTGCAGGGGGTTGGACTAGATGGCCCTGAGGACCCCTTCAAACTCTGCAAGGCTGATTTGCTGGGGATATGAGCTGGTTTCAACCTGGGGCCTCCTGGGCGGGCTGCCTGCCTTCAAGTGGCCTCCCTTTCCCTGCCTTAGCTCTGTAGGGCAATGCCAGGGAAAGCTCTTCATGGGCAGAGCTCTCTTGGGAGAAGGGGCATCGGGAAGGGAATGTGGGTCGCAAGAAGGGGAAGCACCATAGATGGTCCTCTGACCGTCAGCATAAAAGAGTCCACGAGAAAAGTATCCTTGCAGAGTACTTTCTACTTTTATTCTTAAAAGTCTTTCTGCAAAAGCGACTGACCAACTGCACACACATCAACACTACCAGCTTTCACCAAGCAACCAACCCAAGAACAAACTAACATTTCACCCTCTCTATATGCAACCCGGTGCAGGCCGCTGACTCAGGCTGACCCAGCTTTATTCACATTAAAGAAACAGCGGCCAATTTTCAGCCGTGACACAACCTTCCCTTTTTCTGCGGGAAATTCCCTTATTCCAGCGCCCCGGCTTGTTAGCTATCCCCTAGTCTGTCCCCGGACAGGGGAGGCTGCTGATCCCTTATTTTTGAGGCTGAAAGTTGACAGCTATGAGCAGCACACGCGCCCCATTTGCACGGGGGAGGAGGGGGCCGTGGTGTGGCTATGGGGGGGGGATGGCCCCTTTCCCCCTTGTTTCCCCTGTGTGTGCCAAACTGGGTCTCTGACTCGGGTCCAGCACAGCCCTCTTCCCCTCGCCCCGGAGCCCTTCCGACGTGCAGAAAGCCAGGTCGCGTGTCGGGCTCCGCTCCTGCCCCTCCGCCGAGCCCACCTCGCGGGGCTGCAAGGAGGAGGGAGGAGCCCCGCCCCGCCTGCTGCCCGCTGGGGCTCGGCGCACGTGGGAGTGGGCGGCCACGTGTTGGCGCCGCGAGTCAGCCCCGCCCGAGCCAGGAGCGCGGGAGACTTCCGCGCAGGCGCAGGAGCGCGGCCGGCTCGCCTTTCGCTTTCGCTTTCGCTTCCCGCTCTCCTGGCGCTGCGCCGCGCTGCGGGGGGCGGGGCTTGGCGCGGGCGAGAGCCAATGGGGGCGCGGGAGGGGCGGGGCCGGGTCTGCCGGGCGCCAAGGCGGGAGGTGCGCAGGCAGCGGAGGCTCCGGCGGGCAGGTGAGGAGGGTCGCCCTTGCGCCCATTTCATGGCTGGGCAACTGAGGCTTCGGGCGGGAGGACGTGCCGGGGAGCGGGACTGGGCGGGACTGAGTCCTCCGCCTGCAGGCGAGAGAGAAGAAAGACAATTCTAGCATGCGGGCGGGGGGGGGGACCTAAATTATTTAATTGGGTATTTGGATTATTGGTATTAGTAATTGTATCCTAATTTGGCAGGGTTGCAATGGGGCCATCATTGGGTCGCAATTGAAAACGGATGAAAATTAATATTATTTTAAAAAAAGGATATGGCAGGGTGCTATTTTGCAGGGCTCCTGGTCAGCGTGGGGTAGTGGTTAGAGCGGTGGACTCGTGATCTGGGGAACCGGGTTCGCGTCTCCGCTCCTCCACCTGCAGCTGCTGGGGGACCTTGGGCCAGTCCCGCTTCTCTGAAGTCTCTCTGCCCCACTCACCTTGTGGGGCAGGAAGGGAAAGGAGAAGGTGAGCCGCTCGGAGGCCCCTTCAGCCACAGGGGGGCCCAGACTTGTTTCCAAAGAGGGCCAGAGTTGATGAAGTGAAGATGCTTGAGGGCCGACCAAAGTGGCTGAGCTTTCCTTAGGATTGAAGTTTTGAGCTTTCTTTAGGATTTAAACCCAGAGTTGTTGAGTTTTTTTAGGGCTGAAGTTGTTGAGCTTTTCTTATAATTTTACCCCAAAGTTGTTCAGCTATTTTTGGGATTGAGGTTTTTGACCTTTTTTTAGGATTCAAACCCAAAGTTGTTGAGTTTTACTTACAATTTTACCCCAAAAGTTGTTGAGTTTTGTTTTGTTTTTTAAGGATTTTACCCCAGGACGTAGTATCCTCCCACAGGGGCTGGATTAAATCAACTGGTGGGTTGGATTCATAGCTGTCAACTTTCCCCTTTTTTTAAGGGAAATTCCCTTATTCCGAATAGGATTCCTTGCAAGAAAAGGGAAAAGTTGACAGCTATGGTTGGCTTTGGATATGCCTGTCTTAAGGGGAGTGAAAGGCGGCATATCAAGCCCAACCTCCTCCTCCTCCTCCTCCTCCTCCTCCTCCTCCTCCTCCTCTTGCTCCCTCTGCTGCTTCTCCTTGCCTGATGGGGGCAAAGAGGACAGGCTGGAAAGGGGGGCGGAGAACGTTCCAGTTCCAGATATTCCAGAAAATATCCCTTGCCGCTGGTTTGGAAGCAGACTTTCCCTTTTGGATCTGAGCCCTCGCCTCCTCGTTTCCCAGAGGGGGCTGGCTGAGCACCAGGAGAGCAGGGGCAAAACCTCCCTGGGTCTTCTTTGGCAACCTCTGCAGGCGGAAGGAACCCCATTTACTCAGAGGGAAGCAGAGGAAGAGGGAGGTTGCATCCTCACGAAGAAGGACTAAGCTGCCCTCATCTAACCACAATATCCCAGAGCTACCATAATAACAACAACAACAACAACAACAACAATAATAATTTATTATTTATGCCCTGCCCATCTGGCTGGGCTTCCCCAGCCACTCTGGGTGGCTTCCCAAAAAATATTAAAATACCGTAGTATATCAAACATTAAAAGCTTCCCTAAACAGGGCTGCCTTCAGATGTCTTCCATTCCACCCTGTGGAAAACCTTTTCCTGCTTATGAATTGGAATTGAATTGAAATTAAATTACTTTATTGTCACTGGTACAACTTGTACACAGTGAGATTACAGGAGCACCCCCCACTCAGCTCTCTTAGTCTTAATTCCCCTCGTTTACTGACGCACACCCACCAAAGTCAGTTGCCCTGTTGTTATCTTTTCATTCAGCAGCCTAACAGCCCACAGATAGAAGCTGTTCTTTACCCTGTTGGTGCCACTAATCGTGCTTCTGTATCTTCTGCCCGAGGGCAGGAGATCAGGAAAGTGCCAGCCAGGGGGTGAATCATCATTCATTATGCTGGTGAATTAGGAAATGTTCTCCTGTAACAGTTAATGTGATTAACGTTACACCGTTGAGTTGGATTTGTGGCGCTGCAGAGGGGTTATTTTGTACTTGGTGCAGCACTTTGGTTTTTTGGATGTTGAGTGATAGGTCAAGCTTTTTGTAAGCTTCTGCGAAGATATTTAGGATAGTTCGGAGGTCATCATCTGAGCGTGCGCACACTACGTTGCCATGACGTAAGTTACGATAACCTTACTCTTTGCTTTCAGCCTGCTCAGATTGAAGAGCTTTCCATCTCTTCAGTATATGATTTCTACCCCAGTGGGGAGTTTCCCTTCGACAAAGTGTAGGATCATGGCAATGAAAATAATGAATAGAGTTGGGGCAATAACACAACCCTGTTTAACACCTGATCCCACTGTGAATGGTTCACTTTGAGAGCCATTGTTATCTGCAATTGTTGCTGTCATTTTATCATGGAGGAGCCGAATGATGTTCACAAATTTATCTGGGCAGTCAATTTTCAGAAGGACAGTCCACAGGGCATTACGATTTACAGTGTCGAAAGCCTTAGTCAGGTCGATAAACGCCATATACAGGGATTGGTTTTGCTTTCTGCATTTTTCTTGAAGCTGTTGAGCAGTGAAAATCATGTCCACTGTCCCCTTAGAAGGCCGAAAGCCATTTTGGGATTCAGGAAGGGTCACCTCGGATATTGTTACGAGACGGTTTGCTAAGATCCTTGCAAGAATTTTGCCGGCTGCAGCTAATAGAGAGATGCCTCAGTAGTTTCCACTATCAGTTCTGTCACCTTTTTTAAAGAGATTGATAATTTTGGCCTCCCCTCATCCTGCTTTGTGGGGGGTAAGCTAGATGACCCTGGAGGGTCCCTTCCAACACAATGCTTCTGTGAAGGAGGGGCAGACCCTCCTCCTTTTCTCCTCCCTTGGCCCCTCAGGAGAGTGAAAAGCAGACTAGTAAAACCTTGCATATTTCTTTTCTTTTTAAAAAAATAGAATTAATTAGCGTGCAAGAAATAAAAAGAATGCTGTTGAATAAAATAACTCCCTTTTCTTCTTGATACTTTCAGTTTTTGTTTTTATTCAAATTACGAGGTATGACTCATGCCTGCCTTTGCTTTGGCGCCTGGGTAGAAGGTTCTGCTCCAAGCACCGGCCAGCCCCTTCTGCATTTAATTATTTACTGTGGTACATTACAAAAATATTTTCTTTCAGCTTTACATAACCCAAATGAATGTTCCTGAAGGAAGTGCAGATCTCTGCACCCCAGTCTACTTCTTCCTACAAAGGCCAGGATTTTGTAGGCATCTCTTCTGCGCCAGCCTCCCAGTTTCCAGTTCTTTTTTAAGTGTGTAGTATAACTAAACTATGAATTCCAGTTGGGTAGCCTTCTGTATGGGGCTTGACGATGTGCTTCTGGATCAACGCTGTCCTCTGTAGTTGAGAGTCCTTTTCCCACTCTGCTTGGTTTGCCAGCTATGAGCCCTTTTGGTCAGAGATGACTTAGCCACTATGCTCCATGCTCAGGTCGCTTCCAGATTGGATTGCTGCAATGCACTCTTTGTGGGGCTGCCCTTGGTGACGCGACTCAGAAACCTGAGCAGGTCCAGAAGGCCAACTTGCTAGCTGGGGTTTCAGTCAGATCTCACATAACCCCTGTTTTAAAACAACTGAATTGCTAGATGGTGAGTTTGGGGCAGCCCAATGCAGAATTCCTGAGAATCCATGTCAATCTGTTCTTTGTAACCATATTTTTGCGCCGTTTTGGCCCCACACAACAGTGGATGCATGATTTTTTTGGTGCAGGCTGTAGCCATGGACATGCTATGTGATTTGACGGTGAATTTGGGGTGACCCAATGCAAAAATCCTGAGGATCCATGGGCTTTTACCTCCCTCCTAGGCAGCCTTCTTTATCTCTAGTATCCATTATCTCCCTCCTGATCGCTTGCCGATCAGCTGCTTCCTTTCAACATTCCCTTCCCTCTTGTTTGCCTTAGTGTCTTTTCCTTAGTTGGAGCAGTTTTTGGCTCCTCCTTTTCTTCTAATTTCTCTCCTTATTACTTTAGTCTTCCTGTCTCCTCTCCTTGCAAGCTCGCTGTCTTTTCCTCCCCCCTCCCAGGCAGCCTCCTTTATCTCTAGTGTCCCTTATCTCGCTCCCCGATCGCAAACAATCAGCGGTTTTGTTTCAACACCCACTTCCCTCTTTCAAAAAAAAGAAAAGAAAAGCATCATCTGCTTTTTGCCCCTGGATAATTCGACTCCAGGGACCACGCGTTCGCTCCATAAGACGCACAGACATTTCCCCTTACTTTTTAGGAGGAAAAAAGTGTGTCTTATGGAGTGAAAAATACGGTACTCTTTAAGTAAAAGCATGAAGGGGGGTGGGGTGGAATCACAGGCTTCTGCTCCCAGAGGACAAACTTTGCTTCTCTTTTCCAAGCAAGCAGGTGGCTGGGAAACGGGATTTGTAAAGATGGGCTTGGTCTGGTTATCCTCATGCCGTTATACAACTCTGTGGTAGATCTCCATTCTCCGGAAAGTTAATGGTTGCTTCTCCTTTCAAGAGTGGGTGATGGACTCCATTTTGCACGGAGTGCAAGAATTTGCCTTACTTCCCCTTGGCTCATTTCCCAGTTCCCTGTCTCCATGTTTGGGTCTTTTGCTTTCTCTTAACAGAACGAGGGACTGTTAGGATATCTGATCCTAAGGGGTCCGGTTCCAGTCACCTGCCCCTGCTGGTAGCATGAAGGAGACAAATATACGCCAGGGTGGGTTTCCACAGAGAAAAAGGTTTATTGCAAATCTGCGCAGAGGTAGCCAGTGGAATAGCTTCCAAAGACTGGCCCCCCCCTATTGTCTTCCAAGCATTCTTATACTGTAATTACAAGCTTGCCCCCAGTTGCTCCCCAATCAACAAGCAGAGATACACTTCATTACCTTATTGGGCTAGCTAAGCCCTCCTCCCCCTCCATTGCATTGTTTGCTTTGCATTAAAAAATGTTTGCATTTTGCAGAGCTGAGCTGAGAAGCTAGCTCACCACAAAGCTCACCACAACGGAAGCAGATAAAAAACCACTACCGGCCTGTCGAGCTAAGTTTCTTTTGCTTCAGCTAAGTATGACGGCAGACAGGAAACCCACTGTCTAACCGCAGAGCTATCTTGCAAAGCTAGAACAATTGTTTAGCTGGAGCTAGCTAAAAGCACGATGGAGTTTTTACCTTCCCCCATCTCTTCACTCCTCTCCCTTCAGGACAGGGACAGAAACCTAGGCTGCTTTTTCCCAGCACCTGCCCTCCTGCAAGTTGGTTGCTGAGCAAGCGGGACTCTCCTGAAATGCCAGCCCCCTGCCAGCCCTGCCGTGAGGGACAGAGACCCTGTCACCTGCGCAGGATCGGCCGCCAAGCTGCAGCCCCGGACCATGCTGACTTCATCCAGTAAGTATCCTGGGTGGTCCTGGCTGAGGGATGTGTCCATTGAAATAAAAAAATTAAGGTCATATATATATATAATAAATGTTCATAAATGTACCAAGCAAACACGTACATAAATATATAAACGACATGTCTTAAGCAGCGCAGGAAAACATCCCTGGAACCATTTTGGCTCCCAGACTGACCAGATGTTTTCTCTGCAAGGTCAAAGGAAAATGGAAAAGCCTCCCCATTGTCTTTTCCTTCACAAATCCTGTCTTAAGGGCACATTTAAGATATGAATAAGGTGTGAGCCTGTGACCTGGCTCAGGAACTAAGTATTTATCATTACCAAAGACTGGCCAAGCTCCCCAGGGTATCCAATCAAGTGAGCATTAAGAGGTAACCTGCCAGACAGGAGATAAACAATGCACTCAGATTTCTGTTGTAAACCACCTTTTCTGTGATGTATGTATGATGTTTCTGGGGGTGGTCTTGGACTCCAGGGCTGGCAATTTAAAATGTCTGTATAAGGGTGGGCACACCTTTGTTCTGGGTCTTCCTCCTCCTCCTTCTGCGTGTGAGGGGAGCACCCTGTTGCAACAGTTCAATAAAGATCAGGCTTACGAGCTGCTTTGCTTCTCAATGTTCTCTGGTTGGCCTCTGTTATTTTCTCTGACCGATGGAGAACCTGCAAAGGACTCTATAAGGGCTCTTGCGTCCCCCTTAAGGGAATAAGGGCAGATTTTCGTTTATTTCACCATGGAGGGCTTTCTCTGTGCCTGGGGCTGCTGGGGCTGCCTTGAGGACGTGATGCCTTGTGTTCGGCCTCTTTGCGCTCCTGCTTTGTTCTCCTCCGCATTCCTCTCTGGTGTTTCCCTTGCTCAGGCTGCCAGGCTTTCTGGACCAGCGAGAAGATTTCAGCATTTGAGGAAGGGCTGGGAGCGCCAGGCGCAAAATGCATGCGGGGGGGGGGGGCACGACGTAATGCAAAAGCGAGAAGGAGCTCAGCAATGGCTGCTTTCCCCCCTTCCCCCACAACTGCAGGCAACTTCATGCTTCTTGTGGGAAAGCGCCGACATCCTGCTGGTTCTTACTGTGGGGATCACACAGGAGGGCTGGGCGGTATATGAATATTTCATTCCAAATTGGTTTGAAGTCCATATCGTGATACCGGTTTCATAATTTTTGATCTGGCAACATACCACAAATTGTGTGTGTGTGTGGGGGGTGTTTAGCAAAAATCACAATTTGGGAAAAAGCATGAAGCCAGTCGATGTGTCTACATTTGTTGTTGTTTAGTCCGCCTCTTTGTGACCCCCTGGACCAGAGCGCGCCAGGCCCTCCTGTCTTCCACTGCCTCCCGCAGTTTGGTCAAACTCATGCTGGTAGCTTTGAGAACACTGTCCCACCATCTCGTCCTCTGTCATCCCCTTCTCCTTGTGCCCTCCATCTTTCCCAACATCAGGGTCTTTTCCAGGGAGTCTTCTCTTCTCCTGAGGTGGCCAAAGTACTGGAGCCTCAGCTTCAGGGTCTGTCCTTCCAGTGAGCACTCAGGGCTGATTTCCTTCAGAATGGATAGGTTTGATCTTCTTGCAGTCCATGGGACTTTCCAGAGTCTCCTCTAGCACCAGAATTCAAAAGCATCCATTCTTCGGCGATCAGCCTTCTTGATGGTCCAGCTCTCACTTCCATACATCACTACTGGGAAAACCATGGCTTTAACTATACGGACCTTTGTTGGCAAGGTGATGTCTGCTTTTTAAGATGCTATGCGTCTACATAGCTTTATCTTTATTTCAGACATAATGATATATTGATATATTGTGATGCTTAGCTTGCGATATATCACAGTGTTGAAAACCAGATACCACCCAGTCCTATTGCACAGTACTGATTTCCTCCCTCCCCACAGACACCACCCCACCCCCACCCACCCACCCACCCACCCACTGCTGTTGCCGTCCAATAACAGGACCCCCAGTACCCACCCCCTTTCTCTTTCTCTCCCCTGCAAGTTTCCCTAACACTGTCACGCTGGTTGGCCGAAGCGTGGCCGCCGTGGACCGCCTTCCTCAGCTCCGCTGCCCAGAGGAGTCGCGAGTACATCTCCCGCATCCACGCCCGGGTGATCCGCACGGCTGGGGCCTACAAGCTCGTGGATTCCAGCCTAACCGGGGTGTATATCAATGACGTCCGGATCAGCGGTGAGTGCTGTGGCCAAGACACAAGGAAACTTTATTAAATGATTTCTTCTTAATAAATTTGAGTATCACTCTTCATCCAAAATCACCAGGCGGTGACATTTGTAATGCTTCCCATTGAGAACATGTTTCTACACATCCTTTAGTCGTAGAGGCGTAATAAAATATCTAGGTTATGGCAACAAGCGTCATGTCTAGCAGAAATCAGAATTAGATATGGTTTGCACACATCTGTGCCAACCCAGTCACCCTGTGCTCAAGGTTCCCCAGTTGGGGGGGGTCTCCATCTTTGTTCAGAAGATGAGCAACTCTTCCTGCATCAGGCTCCCCACACAAGCGCACCCGGATCTGCACCATCCTCTCTCACTTCTCTGGAAACCCCCAACGCAATAAATGGCCTTGTCAGGCAAGCAAGAACAGTCCCGATTCTTTAGGGAAAGAACAAAGAGGAGTGAAGTCATTTCCTGGAATACACGCAGCCTCTGTCACCTGGACAGGAGCCTTCTACATGATGAAGCAAGCCCAAAGAGTTAAGCTCAGAGGAAGTCTGTCAGCAGCGAGAGAGAGTGCCAGGCAGGGCGCTGGTGCTGCCTGGATGTTTGAAAGTCTAGTCTGAGTCCCTGCACAGCTGTAAACCTCACAGGGTGGCCTCTGGCAAACCTATGCCCAAGTCTGATGTGCTTCAGATAATTACAGTCATACCTTGGATCCCAAACGCCTTGCGAGTCAAACTTTTTGGCTGCTGAACGCTGCAAACTCAGAAGTGATTGTTCCGGTCTGTGAACATTCTTTGGAACCCAAACGTCCAACGCGGCTTCCGATTGGCTGCAGGAGCTTCCTGCAGCCAATTGGAAGCCACACCTTGGTTTCCGAAAGTTTTGGAAGTCAAACGGACTTCCAGAACGGATTCCGAGGTACAACTGTATTGGAAAAAGTTGGTCTGAGCACCTTTTGGAAAGGAAGGGAGGCCAACACGGAAACTGCTGTCGGGTAGCAGCAAATGACCTTGAGCAAAGGAACAGGCCAGTGGCCCATCTAGTCACCCAGTGGCCAAAAAGGTGCCCCCAAGGGGATCTCATGAGTGGAATCTGAACCCAAGAGCAACTCTCCCCTCCTGCGGTTTCTAGCAACTGGGATTCAGAAGCAGGACTTCCTGTGGCTGCAGAGCCATTCTGATTGGGGCCGTTGGGAGTCCTCTCTTCCCTAAAATCTCCAGCCCTGGGTGGCTCTTGATGTGGGCAGAGGTGGGCAACCTGTCCCTCCTTCCCCTGAAGGCCCAGAAAGGTAAAGGGACCCCTGACCATTAGGTCCAGTCGTGGCCGACTCTGGGGTTGCGGCGCTCATCTCGCTTTATTGGCCGAGGGAGCCGGCGTACGGCTTCCGGGTCATGTGGCCAGCAGGACTAAGCCGCTTCTGGCGAACCAGAGCAGCGCACGGAAACGCTGTTTACATTCCCGCCGGAGTGGTACCTATTTATCTACTTGCACTTTTGACATGCTTTAGAACTGCTAGGCTGGCAGGAGCTGGGACCGAGCAATGGAAGCTCACCCCGTCACGGGGATTCGAACCGCCAACCTTATGATCAGCAAGCCCTAGGCTCTGTGGTTTAGACCACAGCGCCACCTGCGTCCCATACAAGGTCCATACAATGCAGTAAATAAATGAAGCTTTGCTCTTTCAGTTTTTCGCCTTGCAGCAGGAAGAGTTGGTCCTTTACGTTGTGAACCGCCATGAGATCCACAGCTGAAGGGCAGTATACAAATTTAATAAAATGGTAAATAAATAAATAATCGTTTTGCTTGGTGAGGGTTGGCTGGTGTTTTTTATTCTTATAGTAATAAACCACCTCACGGCAGCTCACAGGTAGAAACAAGATTTTAAAACAGAAAAAAAAATAGACATATTTCTGGTTTATTTGCTTTTGGATCAGAAGCCAGGCCAAGGAGATTTGCTGTTGTTTTTAAACCTTTAAACTGATTGTTTCAAATCTTATTTCTACGTAGAAAAAGTATTGTTGCAAGAAGGCGATACGGTTACTTTTGGGCATCCGTGCGGGAGGAGCGTTAACCCCGGGAGTCGCGTCCGGCAGCCAAATTCTCCGTTTTATTACTTGGTAGGACTCTGCCTTCCTTTGTACATCTATCTGTCTGTCTGAGATGGAATCATACAATTGTAGGGTTGTGAGGGTCTCCAAAGGTCCTCTAGTCCAGCCCCCCTCGCAATGCACGAGTCCTGTGGCTCTCCTTGGTGTGGCCCCCGAGTCCCTTGGTGTGCTCACCCCCCTCCCTGCAGTTGACCAGAGGGGCCCCCCCCATGCGCCCTCCCTCTGCCCTGCTCACGCCTTCATTTATTTTATTGGTGGGGGATATTCCTGCAAGCTCAAGGAGGGCATGGAAACAGCAATGTTCAAAATGTCATTTGATTGGGGAGAGAGCAGGAGGCTGGATGGGCTGACCCAGGGGGGCTCTCCTGGTGTTAATTAATCCTCCTTCTCCCACCTTTCGTTCCCTTTTCAGTTTGAGCCCTGCAGCTGCAGTGTGGAGCAAAGGCAAGGCCTGCGCGGAGAGAGGAGACCTTTCCCCCAAAGGGTAAAGTGGAAAACCCCTTCTACTCCAGACATCATCTTTTCTCCATGGGTGCAGCAGTGGGGAGGGTGGGTGTAAAGCAGCACTTGGGGGGGGGAGTCAATCCCAGTGACAACCCCCCACAGGCAACCTGGTCAGGTGGTGGGGGCTGCCTAACTCTCCATCGCCCCCCCATCCCCAGGGCATCAGGGGAAGGTTTTTTCCTTTATCTGCATGGTTTGATTTCGGATTGTGTGGGGCACAGAAATGGGGTTTGTGGCCAGCCCTGCTTTAGGCAGTGACCGGCTCCCCTCAGGACCTCCCAAGTGGGCCTCTGCTTCTTGCCAAATTTACAAGGGTCTGCATGTTAGTCTCCCTTGCCCCGGGCTCCTGCTTATTCCTCCCCAACGTGCCTTTACCTGCCCCAGAGCTGACTCCACCTGTGACGGCAGGTATGGGGCGGATGGGCGTGGCATGGGGGCCACGCGAGGACCCCTGCAGCGCTGAATCAGGACCTTGCCTGGAGGTTCCCCACTCTCTGGCATGCGCAAGGAAGCAGGCCCTCTTAGCCTTGTGTCTGCATTCGCTTCCTTAAGTATAATGTCCTGGGGAATTTAAGACAGGGCCAGAGTGGATAGGAGGTTTCGGGGCACCTGAGGCAGGGATGCTAGGCTCCTGCCCCAAAGATCTGTGATCCCACAGGAAGGAGGTCTTTTAGGTATCCTGAAAGTTTCCCTTGTTTCACAGAGGCTGAATGTCTACAATGCAGTTGCTTTCTCTGATAAGGCCTTTTTATGGCAAATGGGGCCATAAACGAGAGCCAGTGTGGTGTAGTGGTTCAGAGCGGTGGACTCATAATCTGGGGAACCGGGTTTGCTTCCCGCTCCTCCACATGCAGCTGCTGGGTGACCTTGGGCCAGTCACACTTCTTTGAAATCTCTCAGCCCCACTCACCTCACAGAGTGTTTGTTGGGGGGGAGGAAGGGAAAGGAGAATGTTAGCCGCTTTGAGACTCCTTAGAGTAGTGAAAAAGCGGGATATCAAATCCAAACTCTTCTCTTTTTCATACAGCCATCCTCACATCCACACCCTCTCTAGGTTCTCCCATTACACGTTCCGATGTGTTTCTTGTTTATTCGGTCAGTGCAGGTTGGTACCCAGTTGGGGTTGTTTTGCTCTATAGGTTGAATTCACAGGTCCTCAAATTGCCGTAGGGTTTCGCCAGCAAGGAAAACTGACGTGCTCTGTATGTTGCATAGTTGTATCTCCAGTGCTCTGTATTTTGATGTTTTGAATGTTTGCTGTAAAGCTGCTTTGGGCTCAGCTCATAAGTAAACCCCTCATTCAATCAAGATGCCAGGAGGAGGAGGAGCTATGCAAAATAACCACGGAGGTTTCCTGGCTGGGCTGATAGAGGGACACAACCCCCAGCTTCAGGGGCCTGGAGGTGCTGCACAGAAGTCGTTTTTGCAGTGAGTAACCCATGCTCCATTCTAACCTCTTGATTCCTTTCTTCCATCTAGCTTCCTGCGTTGGCATCTGCTGGGGCATCAGTGCCAGTGAGCTCAGGGATGGGATTTGCACCCACACTCGCAGGGGACCCAACTGGTGTTCTGCCTGGCTCTGCCCACCAACGTCCGGCCATCAGCAATCCGTCCTCTGCAGCTTCATTCCTGCCTCCAGCTGCATCGTCAGCATCCATAAATTCTCTTAGCCTGACTTCCAGTTTGCCAGAAGCACCTGGTCAGCCAACGCTGGGGGCATTGCCTCCTTCTGCCCCAGGAGATGCTCCCAGGCCTGCCCCTCTGCTTCTGCGTTCTGCTTCGCCTGGGGAGGGTTCGCGCACCACCGCAGAATCTTCTCCCTGGAGGAGCCTTGAGGCGACACACTTCCCCTTCTCTCAGGGAAGTCCAGAATCCAAGAATCCCTCCACCCCAAGTGGCAGCGAGGAAACCGTTGCAGATGACCCCCAAAGCGGAGTATCCGTTAGTGCAGCAGCCGGGCTCCCGGAGGATCTGGTGCAGGTCCCAGGCGTCTCTCCGGTGGGGGGTTCTGAGATCTCAGTTTCCAGCACAGAAGAGCTGCTTCCCGGTGACTCTGGCCACGCTGAAGAGATGAGGGAGGTGGACGTGGATCAAGGCCCTGAAGACACAGCTGGACCTGGTGCCCAGGCGCAAGTCAGAGGGGCTGCAAGCAGAATTCAGAGCCCCAGAGAAGAGCACCAGGAGAGCTGTGGGGAGAAGGCCTTACCTGAAGCTTCTGGCTGGGCAGAAAACAGGGCAAGCAACCTCACTGTGCAGAATTTGGCACAGCTCCCTGCTGAATCAGGAGAGGCTGAGCTGGATGCAGCGAGCAGAGCTTCTGATGACTTTTCTTCTGCTGAAGAAACAGATGGCGACTTGCTGGATAGTGACTCTTCTGCAAAGTGGACTCAAGAGGAGTTTGACTCTGAGAGAGAGAGTCCCGCTTTGCTGCCAAAGAACCTGTCCTGTGAGACACGGAGGAGTGACGACGAAATCAGCTTGCAGAGTGGGCTTCTGAGAGTAGTGACAACATGGACATGGAGCCCCATGCAAATGCAAGCCTGCTAGCGATGGACAGTCCTGCTGCTGCTGCTGCTGCTGCTGGAGATGGCAGTTTCCTTGAGCCAGAGTCGGGCTCGGGGGATGCAGAGGCTGCAAGTGGCAAGGTCTGCGTTGCAAAACGGTCTTATGCCGAAGTGGGAACCCAGACTGAGTGTGCAAAAAGAAGGAAGTTGGGTGTAGAGATTGCAGAGCCTTTGAAAGAAGACGACCCGGCGGAATGGCTTGTGATGACGGCAGCAAGTTAAACATGGACAAGGTGACGGAGGGTCTCCTTCAGCCCAGAACTTCAGCAATAGGTGCCCCAGCTGACAATGAGCAGGCCAAGGGCGAGTTCTCCCCACAAGTAGAAAAGGATCCTGTGGCATCCTCTGGAGCAATGCAGGAGATCCTGTCTTCAGGAGATCTACCAGAAACTTATGAAGAGGGGACTGCTGTGGTGGCCGCATTGCCTTCAAGCACCCGTCCCCTGGCAGGAGGGGCAATCCCTGAAGAGTCTGTTGAAACGTTTGGACATCCAGTGGATGTTGATGGAAAGCTTTTCTGTGGGGTCGTTTCCAAAAGAAAGTCACCTCCCTTTGAAGAGTGGGGGGAGGGCATTCTTGTTGTGAGCAAACGGAGAATGGAGGATGCATGTGCCAGATCTGACAGAGGCCCAGAGGACTGTGCTGCTGATTCCATCCTTGAGGCCGAAGGAGGGATGAGTGAAAATGATGAGTTTTCACTTGAAACCGTTACTGGTGGTGCGTCAGTGGCTGGGTTGTCCGGACAGTCCAGATGTGTCATCAACGGTGAGATGGAATGCCAAGAGGAGATGGACAACAATGATCTTCCAGAGGGCAGGAAGGTGAAGAGGGAAGGAAGGAGCGTCAGGGCAGCTGGTGGCCAAGATGAAGCCAATGGAGAAGGTGGCCTGGAGAGAGATCCGAGTCCAGATGCGGAGCGGGAGGAGATGGTTGGCAGCGCCAGGGCTGAAGGGACCCTCCAAAGCCCTGGTGGGAACTGGGCGCCACCCTCTCCAGACTCGGCGGGAACAAATACAAGGGCGTGCCCTCCTCCTGAGATAAGTGGAGATGACCTTGAAGAGGGAGGGGTCCCCCACACGGAAAGGTACTGTGCAAACACAGAGGTGTCTTCTCAGGCAAGCGAAAAGGAAGCAGGAAGGAGCTTGGAAGCTAAAAAGGGTCACCTTTTGGCCCACCAAGGTGGCATTGAAAGGGAAGACGGTATGGACCCGAATGGAGAAAGTGCAGCCGAGGCCCAAGAGTGCGGTGTCAGGGCAGGATGCTCAGATGGGACAAAGGTGGATCCTGACCAGAGCAGGCCCCTTGGGACCTCTGCCCACCTGGAACGCCAGCAAGAGTCTCCTGTGCCTGGTCAGCGACAACTGCAGCCTCCTGGCCCTGAGCCTGAGGATCTGGAAGATAACTTTGCAGTGAAGCCCCGGGGAACCGATGTGGGGAGAGAGCTGTTGTACCCTGAAGACTCCCGCATGGAAGGCAGCGTTTGGGAGGAAGCCTGTGAAGGAAACAGGGCTGCTGAGCAGGCAGACCCCGAAGAGAGAAAGGAAGGGGCCACTCTGGGGAGGGAGGTGGTGGACAGACCCCCGAGAGTTGCCATTGCACCGAGGGAAAAGGCAGCCTCCCGTTGGACACTCCTAGCGCTGGCTCTGGGAGCCCTGGGGCCGGAGAGGGGTCCCTGCTGGAGACGCCCCAGGGAGACCCACACTGACCCTGCAGAGGTCCCAGAGTCCTCTCGTGGCCGTGAGCTCAGCTGGCTCCTCTCTGGCTCTGAAGTTGGAAGGGAGGAGGAGGACAGAGGCCACCTTCAGAGAGGGAGAAGTCCACTTTGGCATTCAGACAGTGTTTCAGAGAATCACGAGGCCTGGAGGAAGCTACCTGAGGAATCCACAGCTCGGGAGTCATGTGACACAAGTGCTGAGCCGCCAGAGGGTTCCGGGGTGTTGGATGCTGGTTTGGAACAAAAGGATTCTTCCCACGATGAGGTGTGCTCTGACCCAGAAGATGCTTCAGCTGCTGTACCTCAGACCCACAACCCAGAGGTGGCCTTGGGTGGGAAATCTCCTCCTTTGCCGAGAACTGCCGTGGTGAGAGAGGAGCTGGAGGATCGAGCTGTCGAAGGAGCTGACCTTGTGGCTGTCAATCTCGCCTGCCTTCCTGTGGAATCTCCTTGCCTGGCAGAAAGCGATGCCAAATTTGGTGCAGAGGATCAAGCCCCAGAGAGTCCTGGAGGATTGGCTGGAGATTCTGGTTTGGATCTTGTTCAAGACAATCGGCCGGCGGATGATGAGTTTCCTGGCCAGCCCAGAGTGGGAATCTCAGGTGCATCTCTTGAAGTTGGAGAAACAATCAGAGAGTATTCGGGCTGTGAAACACCTGCCAGCCGCGCTCCAGGAGAAGAGGCAGGTTTCCTGAAGGGAGGAGCAGAAGCGCCGCTACTCCAGCATCAAGAGATGGAAAGAGTGCCATGCCCAGGAGATGGGTGCCAACCGGAAGGTGGTTCAGACCCTTCTGGGGAGTTTGATGGCTCAGGGCATTGCAGACGACTTTTGCAGGAAGAGGAAGAGTCAAAGGCCTCTTTCTCCAGAAAAAGACATTTGAGTGAAGATCAGGCTGCCAGGATGACCAGCTTGGGAAATGATTCTTTGTGTGAGGAGAGGCTCTGCCGGCTGGATCCTGTTTCTGTTCGGGCTTCTACACCTGACCTGCACCCTTTGACCATGACACCTCCTGCTCCTCTGAACCCAGAAGGGCTTCTGGGCCACTTTGGCAGAGCTGCGGGGAAGCCTCCAAACCAGCAGGACAGCCAGGCAACCCTGTCCCTGGGCGAAGCAGAACAGAAGAATGGGGAGAGCTTTGCCCAGAAGGCGAGAGGGTGCTTTGAAAACACACTTTGCTCCGATAAGCGAGCAAGCGCACTCGAAGTGGCAGAAGTAGCTGAAACTGCTGGAGGGGAGGATTGCCAGTCGGCCGAGATCATAGAGGCTGAGAGACTTCCAAGCTCAGGTGAACCCAGCTCACCTGAAGAGGGAGTCAGCAAAGTCCAGTCTCAGGACCCCTCCCTGGATGAACCAGGTTCAACCCCTGGCGCCCCGTCTGGCCAGTCAGGCCACCTCTCTCATGAACAAGACAAAGACACGTCCGACCCTGTTCCGGAGAGCGTGTGGGACGCCTATTTCTCAGAGGAGGAGAGCTTCCAGTTGTCTGTGTGTTCGGGGATGCAGAATTCTCCCCCTAGCTCTCCCGCGAAGTCCCCCGAGGCAGAAAGTGCTCCCAGTCAGAAGAACATGGACTTTTTCTTCTCTGACATCTCCAACAGTTCAGCCGAATCTCACTCCTGCGAACGTTCTCCCAGGCCGCCTGGCAGGGGCGCTTCTGGGGCAGAAGGCGATGGGCTCCCCACAGGGGGCTCTGACTGGGTGGGGAAGGGGGCCGAGGCAAGCGTGGAACCAGATTCTTCCTCCGGCCCAGAAACCTCTGGCATGGACTGGTTTGACGAAGACCCACAGGCGCCGTCCCATCAGCCTGTGTCCCCCAGGGAAAGCACCCCAACTCCTAGCGGTGACCCCCCGTCTGAGCCTGACTGTCCCATCAGCTTTGCTCCCGGTGAATGTGGCGCCTACGACCTCCAAGAAGAGGGTGGCGCCTTCGAGGGAGAGGGCGGCCCCGAGGCTCCCAGCGTAGAGGGGTCTGGATGGGCTGCCCCTCTACGAGCCCCACAACTGGTGCGGAGGAGGAAGAGGAAGAGGTGGCGATGGAAATGGAGACGGGGGGCCTTGGTCAGAGGCCAGAGAGGGCCCTTCTCCAGAGAAGCCCTGGAGGGTCCTCACGCCAAGGTATGTTTGAAAACATCTTCTGAAGGGGAAGGGAGGCAGAGCGGATTGGGCCGGCCTCTCCAGGGCAGCAGCCCTGCTCAAGGAAGGTTTTGGTGTGCGGTGCTGTGCTTTGCTTTTACTAAGTTTTGTTGAGAGCCAGCCAGAGTGGCTGAGGCAACCCAGTCAGATGGGCGGGATATTATGTATGTATGTATTATTATTATTATTGTTAGGCAATGGGAGGTGGAAGGCAATTTAGGGCTCATCCAGACTTGCACTTGCCCTTTCTCTTTCTCTTGGGAAAACCTGTTCTTTACCATTGAATGGGAGCAAATGTCAGGTGAGTTTTCTCTGGAATGACATTTGCTCCAATTCAGCTCCAAAGAGCGGGTTTTCTGGGAGAAAGTGACCGGGCAAAGGCAAAACTGCCTGAAAATCATGGGACAAGCGGGAAATGGCTTGGGCCCATTCTTTCTAGGTACGTGGGAATTTCAGACTTCCCATCTGGAGTCTGGAATGGTACAGTCTCAGGATCGTGTGATTTGTCTGCACGTAGACATAGCGGCAAATGTCACCTCTTCAAAAGGGTGCCAGAAAAGCAAGGCTGTTGCGCTTGGAGAGTCGGGTGGTGGAGGAGGAGCGTCTCCACCAGGAAAACCACCCCACTGCTTAGGGTAGACCAGAGGTAACCAGCTGACCCAGCCCAACTTGTCTTGGCTCGGGTGGCACCTGGGAGCACTTCCACACCGGTTGCTAAGGAAAGGAAAGCAATGCTTCCAGTTCATACCTTGTAGAGCTGGGTCAGGAGGGACCACCATGGCAGATGGTGTCGGAAGCCCCTGGAAGACACTGTAGAAATCCCTCTTCCACCGTCCCTCTCTGGATAAAGGCCATCACCCATCAGGACATCAAGGCCAGTTGAGCCCCAGACTGGAAGGGGTCTAGACCAGTGGTTAGCCAGGTGGGGAGTGCTGCCCCTAGGGGGATTACCTAGGGGGACACTAAAGGGCAGCAGGGGGCTCTGGAAGTGCAAACGACTATCAGACTTTGAAAAGCTCATATCCCAGGAACAAGCGCCATCAGTTCTGTTGAATTAATTATATTGAATAGTTTTCACTGTATGTTAAATAAGCCTGCAATTCATAGTTTCTATTCTGAATTTTACTGTGTTTTCTTGAGTGAGTTGTGCAAACTTCTGTTCTGAAGAATTTTTATAGTGTAGGGTAGGGGGGACCTGAGGATGGTTTTATGGAACCAAGGGAATGGCGAAGGTTTAGACATTCCGTAACTTCTAGGAATGCTTGCAGTGGTCCCACCGCAACCCTTTCAGCCACCTTGCTCCAAAATTCTTTCCTCAGATATGGAGCGTGACCTTGGTGTTGACCCACCTTCTGCATTATCGTCTCCTGATGCGAGGAGAGACGTGGAACATCCCCAGGCACCACTGAAGAGGAAATTGCCTTACGACGAGCATCTCTGCCAAGACGGCGGTGGAAATCTCACTTGCTCTCCATCCAGGACAATGTCTGTTGTTGCTGCTGCTTATGAGCCAACCAGCTGCCCCATGTTGAGTGATGTGAAGAGCGAAGATCTGGCTGCTTCTTGCTCCAGCCCAACTCAGGTGAGCAATCCAGGTGAGCATCCCTTGGCGCTGAACAGACCAGGCTCACCTCTGCCCTCCTCTGAGGATCCTGGTTCTGCTGGCATGGCTGGGAGCATTGGGAAAGATCCTGAGCAGGACCTGATCAGCGGCAGCCGTGGAGCAGGATGGGAAGGACAAGAGGACTCCAGCAGCCCTCCGCAAGAAGCTCCAGGGAACCCCTTGCTGGTCACAGGTGTGTCTGGCGATCAGGTGCCTGCTTGCAGCCCCTCAGAACAGAAAGATGGCGCCTCCGCTCTGGGTTGCTTGGCAGGTGCGCCTTGGGTTTCTCAGCGCTTCAAGGAAGAAAAGGACCCATGTGGTCCTGGAGAAAGGAGGGACGGCCCCAGCTGTCACACAGCGTACCCCACAGCTTGCTCCCCAGTCATCACAGTCCTGCATAAGCCCAAAGCCTCAGCAAACAGCCAGTCAGAGCGTTTCACAAGCTCTGGAGACTTTGGAAACGGAGACCGGTTGCTCCTTCCTTGTTGGTTAGAAGAGGCTGAGTTGAGCTCGCAGCTGGATATGGAGCGCGTGTGCTCAGACGATGAATCTGTGGCCTGTCCTCCTCCTCCGGGCTCCGAAAGAGACTCCTCCATGTCAGGAGACGGTGCTGGGCCTTCTGCGCCTCGGGAGGCTAAGGCGACGGGGCAGTTGGATGGGGAGCAGTGGGGCTCCGACGATGAGTCTGTGCCCTGCCCTTCCCCTCCGGGCTCTGAAGACGCAGGCTCCTCCTCCAAGTCGAGAGGCCCTCCCGGGGCTTCTGGTACCCAGTCACAGAGCGACCGCTGGCCTTATGCTGCTGGAGCACAGAGTGATGACCCGAAAGACTGGGCATCCTGCGAGCAAGACGTTGAGTTTCAGTTGCAGGAGTGCCAGTCTGTCCTCAGAGAGATCTTGCGGTCCCTGGAGTCCCTGGAAGGGATTGACCGGCTGCATATGGAGAAGTGGAGGTAAAATGTTCCCACTTTCTTTTGCTCGTAAATTTTATTACAGCTTTTTATGATACAAGATAATAAAAAAAATCTGTATACAAACAAGAAAATGAGAGAGAAGCAGGTATGGGGAGAGGAGAAGAAGAAAGGAAAAGAAAAGGGTGTCTCATTCTCTGTCTGTCAGTTACATAAAAAAAATTATTCAAAACATTTGCTGCATGATACCATCTAACTATTCTACCTTCTAGATTCAGGTAGGTAGCCGTGTCGGTTGAAAAAAAAAATATTCAGATATCTGAAGAAGTGTGCATGCACACGAAAGCTTATACCCAGAACAAACTTAGTTGGTCTCTAAGGTGCTACTGGACAATTTTTATTTATTCTACCTTCTATAAACCAGTATTTTTCCAGTTTTCAAGCCTAAATATCATGAGTTCATTTTACTTTCCACACAAAAAGTCCAAAAGGGGCCAGCAATAGTTTTCTCTAATTAAATGGATTAGCTTTGGCTCCAGTACTTTCAGCAACCTGCCTTCCTACTAAATAATGGTAAATCTTGCGCGGGAAAGAGAGAGAGAGAGAGAGAGCCCAGCAGGTGAGGTGTGGCTTAGACGTCATCAGCAGAGTTTGCACAGCTCCAGCAGAACACTGGAGTCTTCCTGCTTCCCAGGAGTCAGCCTTTTCCAGAGTTCCTGGTTAAAAAGAACTCCTTTCCCACTAGGTTCGGTACAAAGTATAAAGTGTTTATCGTCTCATGGCACAAGCACAAACACCCTGACTACATAAACTTTTAAGAGATGCTGGCACGTCATGAACTAATCTGCTGTTTTTCTGGTCTTGGAAGGAAACCTTGTAAAGACACAAGAGAGATCCACTAGCCTCTTAGCTCTCCATGCTCTTCCAAACTAAACAGCCTGTCCCCTTCCTCTCCTCTTCTGAGCAAATCCCTCTCCCTCTTGCCAGTGCTGCTGAAGGCGGCCTTGGCTTTATATCGGCTTCTGCACTTAAAGACATTCCTTAGAGGAGGAGACCTGCTTAGGCCCTTTGGGCTTCTCGGCCACCCAGGGCAGCTGGCATGATAACCCTGAACTAACCCAGACATTAGTAGGGGGGAATTGTGGGAATTTTCCAGAGTCACTCAGAGGATGATGAGGATGATGATCAGAGTTCGGATTCCGGCTCAGTGGGCGGTGCTGCTGCTGATGTCAGCGACAATGATGACACAGCAGACTACAAGAGCACAAAGGCCTCAATCAGACCATCTGATGGGTCTGACACTGAACTGGAAGAACCACTGTTCACCATTGGCCACTTGTCTCCTAAGAAAGAGGAGATGAATGCAGAAGGCTTGCCTCTAGTACGCAGATCTGAAAGGGCCACAAAGGCAAACCTCCAAAGAGATTTGCTGATGAGTTTGCTAAGACAGCAACTGCTGTTCTTGGTAGCTCAGAGAAGGTGTGGGAACCATCAAGCTTCAAAGAGGTGCAGGAGTTAACCTCTAAAGATGCTGAACCATGGCTTAATGCCATGAAGGCTGAAGTTGATTCCTTGAATAGGAACCAAACCTGGGACCTGGTGTTAATAGTCCCAGGAATGAGGCGGTTGGGCTGCTCAAGACACGGGTTCACCCCTTTCCCACATTACACCCGCAAAGATAACTGTTTAAAAAGGTAATCAAACGTCAATGGAATTTAAACTGTGTGCGTATTAGAGTGAAGTTGCTGGTTGCTGATGCTTCGTTTTCTTTCTCCCCTAAAGAGAGCAGGTTGCGTCTCTCCAGAACGCCACCCAGATGCCCCAGACCCACATCGCGGTGGTGGGCAACACGGGGGCAGGGAAGAGCTGCCTGCTGAACGCCCTTCTGGATGAGGAGGCCGTGCTGCCCACCTCGGCCATGAGAGCCTGCACCGCCGTGGTGGTGGAGGTCTCCCGGGCAGACGGGAGCAGCCCCTACGAGGCGGATGTAGAGTTTCTCTCCCGAGAGGTAGGTTGGGCGGCTGGGGGGCAGGTCCCCCCCCGGCTCTCTTCTGCAGGGGCTGGTCTCCTGGGTTGGGGTCCGTGGGGGCACCGGAGGCTAAGACAACCTGGAAGGGGCTAGTGGGGAGCGGAGGGCAACAAAGCAGCCTGGGATTGTTATGGAAGGAATTGTAAATAAAACTGCCCCAGTATCATGTAATAAACAAAAATCTGCCCTTATTCCCTTATGGGGATGCAAGAGCCCTTATAGAGTCCTTTGTAGGTTCTCCATCGGTCAGAGAAAATAGCAGAGGCCAACCGGAGAATATTGAGAAGCAAAGCAGCTAGTAAGCCTGGTCTTTATTGATCTGTTGCAACAGGGTGCTCCCCTCACACACAGGAAAGGAGGAGGACCCAGAACCCAGGGGGGCCCGCCCTTATGTAGACATTTTAAATTGCCTTCCCTGGTGCTCAAGACAACCCCCAAACATCATACCTACATCACAGAAAGGGCAGTCTACAAAATAATAATAATTATTATTATTATTATTATTATTATTATTATTATTTCTTATTTATACCCCGCCCATCTGGCTGAGTTTCCCCAACTACTCTGGGCAGCTCCCAATCAAGTATTAAAACAATACAGCGTTAAATATTAAAAACTTCCCTGAACAGGGCTGCCTTCAGAAATCTGAGTGCGTTGTTTATCTCCTGTCTGGCAAGTTACCCATTAATGGTCACTTGACTGGATTACATATAAAGGTAAAGGTACCCCTGCCCGTACGGGCCAGTCGTGTCCGACTCTGGGGTTGCGTGCTCATCTCGCTTAAGAGGCCGGGGGCCAGCGCTGTCCGGAGACACTTCCGGGTCACGTGGCCAGCGTGGCGAAGCTGCTCTGGCGAGCCAGCACCAGCGCAGCCCACAGAAACGCCGTTTACCTTCCGGCTGTAAAGCGGTACCTATTTATCTCCTTGCACTTTAAGGGTGCTTTCGAACTGCTAGGTGGGCAGGAGCTGGGACCAAAAGACGGGAGCTCACCCCGCCGCAGGGATTCGAACCGCCGACCATGCGATCGGCAAGTCCTAGGCACTGAGGATTTACCCACAGCGCCACCCGCGTCCCTGGATTACGTATATATGACCTTAATTTTTTTTATTTCAATCATAATGCCATTAAACAAATACATTTATTGACAAGCTGCAAGGTGTGCAGAAGATGATCAAGGTCTGGAAACCAAGCCTTATGAGGAATGGTTGAAGGAGGTGGGTATGTTTAGCCTGGAGAAGAGGAGACTGAGAGGAGATAGGAGAGCCATCTTCCAATATCTGAAGGGCTGTCACATGGAAGAGTGAACAAGCTTGTTTACTCCTGCTCTGAAAGATAGGACTCAAACCAGTGGATTCAAGTTACAAGAAAGGGAATTCCTGTAAACATCAGGAAAGACTTTCCGACCGTAAGAGTTGCTTAACAGTGGAAGGGTCTCCCTCAGGAGGTGGTGGACTCTCCTTCCTTGGAGGTTTTCAAGCAGAGGTTGGGGGCTGCTTGCCAGGGACTCTCCAGCTGGGATTCCTGCATTGCAGGGGGTTGGACTAGATGACCCTGTGGGGTCCCTTCCAACTCTATGATTCCGTGATTCTATTTAAAAGCAGCCTTTGCCAACCTGGTGCCCTCCAGACTGGACTCCCAGCTCCCATCGCCTTTGTGCTGGTTGGGGGTGGTGGGAGTTACTTTTAGAGTAATTTATCTATTCTGTTCTCCATCGTGCTTTCCCTCCTGCAGGAGTGGGAGAAGGAGCTGAAGGGTCTCCTTGAAGACATGAAGGACAAGTTTGGCCACCTGAAGAGCGCTGCCCGGATCGCAAGACGGAAGCTGGGGCCGCCTACAGCCGTGTGAAGGCCGTCTACGGGAGAGTCGATGAGCTGGAGAAGCTGGAGGAGATGCAGGAGGTGACGCAACACCTGGGGACAGTGAAACACATCTGCGCTGAGACGGCAAGTGAAGCGTTTATTGGCGGGTGCCTTTGAAATTCTGAAATCGGCTTTGTTGCGTCAGTGTAAGCAGAGAAGACTGGCTTCGTATCAGGGAAACCGAGTCCTCCAGTTGAAGGGCTAGTGGTGGATCCTGCATTGCAGGGGGTTGGGCCAGAGTGGCTGGGGAAACTCAGCCAGATGGGCAGGGTATAAATAATAAACTATTATTATTATTATTATTATTGATGACTCTTGGAGTCCCTTCCAGCTTTTTGACTTGTTCCAGGCGTATCTTGAAAAGGCAGGTTTCGGATGCTGACCTCCCTGCTTCCCTCACAGGCGACAGAGTTTCGCGCCGCCATCGAGAGGTTCATTGATTCCCGAACTGACAATTTGCGGGAGATGAAAGGCGGGGAGTTTTGGCCCATTGTGAAATGCGTCCGGATCCGTCTCGCCAAGGCTGAAGTGTTGAGGACGGGGGCTGTGCTGGTGGACTTGCCCGGCGTCCGAGACGCCAACGCGGCCAGAGACAGTGTGGCCAAAGAGGTGGGGAACTGCTTCCGTGTGTTTGTGGGTTGGACAAGCGTTTGTTGAATGGTCTCTTTAAATTTGAAGGTTCCACAAGATGTGTATTTCTTCAAGAGCCAGAGCAAATAACGTGACCTAGTTTTACAGCTGTGAAGCAGTATAGCAGGTGCTGTTAAGTTATGTTAATTAAACTGTTGGGTATAGTATATAAAGAGCGGCACATAGCTCTCTCAGTTCCCTGGTGGATGGGTTGGTGGTTGGGTGATGCTTATTGATATACAGTGGTACCTTGGGTTAAGTACTTAATTCATTCCGGAGGTCCGTTCTTAACCTGAAACTGTTCTTAACCTGAAGCACCACTTTAGCTAATGGGGGCTGCCGCGCCACCGGAGCATATCTGTTCTTATCCTGAAGCAAAGTTCTTAACCTGAAGCACTATTTCTGGGTTAGCGGAGTCTGTAACCTGAAGCGTATGTAACCTGAAGCGTATGTAACCCGAGGTATTGTAAAAGGAGATTTTGTTTTTGTTATTAAAACCTAGCAAAAGTTACTTTTGCGTTCCTTGTAATGTGTGGTCTCCCCAGCACGCCTTCTGCAGCGCAACTAATCTGCAAATAGCCAACATCTTTGCTCTCCTGGACCCCGGAGCGTTTCTCCCTGGCATGATCCCGGTTGCGTATCGTTGCTTTTGCTCAAACCGCCAGGTTGCGGGTCTGCTGCGTGTTGGCAGAGCCGCCTTGGCTTAGCAGACACTTCCTCCCCCGCAGTACCTGAAGAACTGCCGTGCCGTGTGGGTGGTGGCCAGCATCACCCGAGCCGTGGACGACAAGACGGCAAAGGAGACCCTGAGTGCGAGTGTGCGCAGGCAGCTGCTGATGGACGGCCTGTACGGCAGCGTGGCTTTGTCTGCACCAAGTCGGACAGCTTCAACATTACAGATATAGTCAGGTAACCTCGGTTTATTCTCCTCTGTTGTGGATGGGCAGAGAGAGGCACCGTAGATTGGCATCCCCAAATCACACAATGCTCTTTCTTGGCCGTTGTGAGCTGCTGTGTTGATGATTTAAAGATCCCAGGCTGCCTGGGCATTGTGCTTGGACCATAAAGGGGGTTGGCTTGCTGCTTAATGGCCAGTGGGACAGAGGATGCTCTGAGACAGCAGCCCTCCCAGGTGTTTTGGACTGCAAGGCCCATCAGCCACAGCCAGCCTTGCCAGTTGCCAGGGATCATGGGAGTTGTAGTCTAAAGCAAGTGGAGGACATTGAGCTGTTGGGTAGCCTAGGATTCTGTCATCCCATCGGTGCTGCTGGAAAGCTAGTGGTTAAAGTGGACTGTCTTGTGAGGAGGCTTGGCTCCCCCTGAAAGTGCTCAGTCACCCGAATCTTGCAGGAACCTGGACTTGAGAGGCGAGATTCAGCCCATCGAAGATGAAGTGAGAGAGCTGGATAATCAGAAAATGCAAGCCGAGAGGGAGAAGGAAAGGCTCTACGCATCTTTGCAGCAAGAGGTTTGTAAAACCACCCATCAAAGTGGTTTGCCCCTGGCCCAGCTGGATGTGCCATCCAGGATCATGTTATAGATCTTTATTCTCTCTTTGTTCCTGGTGTTGATCTTCGCTCCCTGCTTCTTCCCTGGCTGGGCGGGGCGGGGGGGGGCATTTTGTGGTTTGCCTCAGGTGGCAAGATGTCTTGGGCCGGCCCTGATCCCTGCTAGGCTGGATATTCCTGCAACCCTGGGTAATGCCGTATGGCAACGAAGACCCAGCTTGGCGCCAGAGACGTGCTTTCTTCCTGGGGAGGGCTCAGAGGCAAGAAGAAGCCCAGTTTCTCTAGGCTAAACTCTTGCCAGGCCTTTGGGGCAGCGGCTGCTTTTTGTTCTCTTGCTATCACAAGCCACCGATAACGCTCTGTGTGTTTTGAGCAGCAGCCATCGCCGTGGGAGAGACCAGGATGCGATGCCTCCGACTCAGCCTGGCTCCAAAGACGCCACGACCTTCTGGAGAAGGAGTTCAGAGTGAGTCTTGTATCTTGCCACCTCCAAGCCCAGGCATGGCTGCTTTTCGTCCTCCTTGTTTCCCCCTTGCTTGGGAAAGCCCTCCTGGTCCGTCTGTCCCCCCCCCCCCGCCACATTCTTGTGGTTGTATCTGGTTTTGCTTGTGCCTCAGTTCCCCCCTTGTTGCTTCTCTCCTGTCTAGATCAGTGCCTTGCAGAGGCAGAAGGAGGCGAAGCTTCGCGAGATTAGCCTGATCTGTGTCCGGGCCCGGAATAAATATTCCAAGGAGCAGATTCAGTTGGAGTTCAGCGCCAGCCTGGAGGTAGGTCTGAGTCGCTGGGGTGGAGGAGCGAGGGCTGGCCTTTGCGTTGCCTGGTGAGGCAGCCTTGGCAGCAGCTCCACGGTGGCATTAGCCGGGGAGAACCTGCTGCACAAAACAGGCATGAAACGCAGTTGAGATGGGGGCCGTCCTCCTGTGCCTGCAGGGTTCAGGGCTGCCACATGGCAGGTGGAGCAATATTCTGCTCCAAAAGAGTAGGACCCAAACTGATGGAAAGAAAGGAGATTCCTACTAAACATTAGGAAGGACTTTCTGACCTTCGCAACCCACAGTGGTGCGTCTGTGCACGCGCGGGTTGCGATTCTGTGCTTCTGCGCAAGCGTGATTTAGCGCTTCTGCACATATGCGACCCCCCGATACCTGGAAGTAACCCGTTCCGGTACTTCCGGGTTTCGGCTGGTCCATAACCCGAAAAAACTCAACCTGAAGCGTCTGTAACCCGAGGTATGACTGTATTAATACCAGAACAATGTTTTTTAATGTATTCCTTCACGCAAGTCCACTCCTCTATCTGTTTTTGATCTGACTGGCCTCTTGCCAATGCTGTAAGTCTTGCTAATTCTATGTATTCACAAAATCTTATTTGCCATTCTCTTATTGAGGGAGTTTTTTCTCCCAATTTTTTGCTATAATCATTCTGGCCGCAGCTGTTGCATATAAGAAAACTTTTTTCTTAGTGGCAGGAATGTCAGTCGATATAATTCCCAAGAGGAATGCCTCTGGTTTTTTCATTACGTGATATTTAAAGCATTTTTAAAGTTCCTCTTGAATGTCACTCCAAAATTGTTTGATATACGCACATTCTCACCACATATGATACATTGTTCCTATCTCTGTTTATAAATTTTCGCCAATTTAACTGGGTTAAATACCATTGGTATATCATTTTCATTATATTTTCTCTAATTGTGACGCAGGCTGTGAATCTGATAACATATTTCCATAATTTCTCCCATTGGTCTAATCGAATTGTGTGGCTTATATCTCTGGCCCACTTAATCATAATTCTTCATCTCTTAATTCCCGTTCTAATAATAGATTATACATTTTAGACAATATCTTTGTAGGATTTTTAATAACTCAGTTTGTAATTTTGATTCTTCTTTGCCAAATCCAGTAATCTTATCGTGCTTGAATAGGTGATCAATTTGGTACTATTGTAGCCATGTATTACAGTATTGGCTAAGTTCTTCATATGGTCTTGACCCATATGATCATCTTTACTAATTGCTGATTTGTGGCCCATTTGCCTTCCGTATTTTTCTTTTTAACAGATAATACCTCTAATGGTGATATCCACCATGGTGTTTTGAGCTCTGACAATCTTTGATGTCTTTCCCAGGCTACATATGTTGTTGTTGTTTAGTCGATTAGTCATGTCCGACTCTTTGTGACCCCCTGGACCAGAGCACGCCAGGCCCTCCTGTCTTCCACTGCCTCCCGCAGTTTGGTCAAACTCATGCTGGTCGCTTCGAGAACACTGTCCCACCATCTCACCCTCTGTCGTCCCCTTCTCCTTTTTTGAAAATGATATTTATTAAGGTTTCAAAGAAAAGAATTACATAAGTAAAAAGAAAGGGAAAAAAATACAAAAATAAAAATAAAAGGAAAATACAAAATACAGAAAAAAGATAAAAAACACTTTTAAAAATATATATCAGTCTTTCCATGCCTTACATTCATTTCCTTGCTTCCTGGACTTCCTCACACCTCCCTTTTTTGTATTCCAATTCAGTTAGTTAATTCAGCAATTTCTTTCCCTCTTTGTTTTTATATTAATCCTTTAACTTAATATTTTATAACTTTGGATTCTCACCTGTTAACAGTCCATTTTTACATACACCTTTATAACATTACTGCTTAAACCACTTAAGTTCATTCTGACATCTTTCTAACATTCATTAATTTTGCAATATTTCTGTAAATAGTCTTTAAATTTCTTCCAATCTTCTTCCACTGACTCTTCTCCCTGGTCTCGGATTCTGCCAGTCATTTCCGCCAATTCCATGTAGTCCATCACCTTCAGAGTGGGTAAATCTTATTTTCCTGAGAGATTTTTTATAATCCATTTGTTTTCAAAAATCGATCTAAATCAATTTCTTTCTGTGGTCCTTGTGTATATAATTGTTTAAAGTACCTCTGGAAACAATTTCTAACCTCAGCTGGGTTCTGTATATTCCTTCCTTCCACTTCTAAATTTGTAACTGTATTTAATTTTTGTCTTTTTTTCATTTGCCAAGCCAGCAATTTCCCACATTTATTAGCCGACTCAAATGTTTTTTGTCTCATTTGTTTGATTTTCCATTCTATCTCCTGATTCATCATTTTCATGTATTGTACTTGAAGTAATTTTATTTCTCTCAAAATCTCTTGTGACTTAGGTTTTGCTCTCAATTTCTTTTCACTTTCTTTTATTTTCTCCAAAATTTTATCCTTCTTCTCATTTTGAATTCTCTTCTTTAATGCATTCTGTTGTATAAAGAACCCTCTCATAACAGCTTTGCTTGCGTCCCAGATTACTCTTTCTTCCACACTGGTGTTCATATTTATCTAAAAATAGTCTCTCAAGGTTTTTTGGGCCTTCTTAAACACTTCTTCATCTCTGAATAAGGTGTCATTCATCCTCCATCTGAAGGAACCAGTTGGTGTTAGTTTCATCTCCATCTTCACAGCATTATGGTCGGAGCAAGTTTTTGGGCAGATTTCCACTTTTCTTGTCTTTGGTGCCATTCCTCTAGTTACCCATATTTGGTCAATTCTTGTCCATGTCAGTTTGGCTTCAGAGAAGAAGGTTCCCTCTCTGGCCAAGGGGTTCTTTGTTCTCCAAATATCAACTAAGTCCAAGTTGTCTGTCATCTCAAAAAAAGTTTTCGGTAATCTGCCGTCCTTAGTGACTACCTGTCTTTGTGCCTTATCCATGTGTGTAGATACCACTCCATTCATGTCTCCCATCAAAATCACATTGTAATCCAAATAGTCCATCAAGGTCTCATGCAACTTTTTAAAAAATTCAGATTTCCCCTCATTTGGTGCATAAACTCCTACTATCAAATATTTCTCTTCTTGTGTTTGAATTTCAATTGCCACAAATCTTCCTTGGTCATCTTTGAAGATAAATTTCGGTAATAGTCTATCCTTTGCATAAATCACTACCCCTCTTTTTTTAACCTTGTCCGAAGAAATAAACTCCTGACCCAGTCTTTTATTGATCAGTACTTTCCTGTGTAGCCTTGTTACATGTGTTTCCTGTAGACAAATCAAGTCCAATTGTTCCTTTTTTAATAAATGAAACACAGTTCTCCTTTTCTGAGGGGAGTTGAGACCATTACAATTCCAACTTCATAGTTGCAGAGCCATGATGTAGTTACTTTGCTTCTCCTCCAACTGCACCCAGTGCCTGTTCCTGATCTGTTGGTGGTATCACCTTCTCCAGGCGGTCTTTTAGTTCAGAAGGTAATCTTGGTATGTCTAAAGTTTCTCTTACTAGTGCTCTTAACTCTTCCCCAGCTTCCTTCTGCAAGTCTTCTCCATGGTCTCTCCAAAATCTTTCTTTGTCGTCCTCTGATCTTATTTTTATCTTTTCCCTTTGTAACTAAAGGATAGGCCTTGGGGAATTCCCACCTAAAATGATTCCGTTGCTTCTCAACAGGGAGGCCAAATCTCTATAATTGGACCTAAGGTCCAGAATATGTTTCGGAATGTCCTTAAATATCTCTACTTTTGACTGATGAATTTCCAAAGTCTTCTGGAAATGCAGACTCAAGATTTTGTCTCTCTCTTTTGTTCGGAGGGTGATCAAACAGTCTCTCACCCTGTTCTTCTTCCCTCCTCTTCCAAGCCTAAAAGCACTCACTATCTTGAAACCTTCCTTCTCCAAATCTAGGTCCCAAAAGTCTGCAAATTCCTGCATAAGAAAGTCAGTCAGATTGTCTTTCTCAAGTTCAGGTACGGCCCTGATCCTCAAATTCGTTTGCTTCTCCTTCAACTCAGTCATAGACAATATTGACCTGTGGTCTTCAAGTTGTTTGTGTATCGGTGGTATCTTCTCTTTACAGCAGTTGCTATTTCCTTTGCCTCTTCGGCTGTCTTTTGTGTCGAGGTAGATTCCTGTAGTAATTTCTGAATAGTTTCTGTGTTGGTATTTACCTTCTGTCCCAAATTGTTAATACTTGTGGTATTTTGGTCAATTTTACCCGATGCTTCGGCTACTTGTTTACTTATTCTTTCCAAAGATTCGTTAATTTTACCTAGTGCCTGAGCCAAAACATCTTCAGATGCCATTCCTTTGGGTTTAGGTTGTGCCGACGCATCTGCTGTTGGTAATCCAGAAGGACCAGATGTTGACGCTCTTCGCTGCAGCCCAACGTCTGTACGAAATAATCTGCCAGACCTCGTTGTTTTTCCTGTAGCAAATCTATCTTCTCCTTTCCATCTGCTATAACACTCTAGATAAGGCTGGGAAATGATATATAATGAATTTAAAAGGTATTTAAGTATACCTTCCCTAAGAAACCAGAGGCCTTTCTCCTGGGCATAGTCGGCCAAATGGTGTTAAAAAAAGGATAGAACTTTCTTTATGTATGCAACAACAGCAGCAAGAATACTCATCGCAAAGTACTGGAAGACACAAGAACTTCCCACGCTGGAGGAATGGCAGATGAAACTTATGGACTATATGGAATTGGCGGAAATGACTGGTAGAATCCGTGACCAGGGAGAAGAGTCGATGGAGGAAGATTGGAAGAAATTCAAAGACTATCTTCAGAAACATTGCAAAATTAAAGAATGTTAGAGTGATGTTGGACTGAAAATAAGTGGTTTCCAGCTGTACAGGTTAATGTTAATGATAGACTAAGATTAAATATTAGGATTAAAGATGTTTAAAGAAATGGAAATTTGACATTAAGAGGGAAAATTTTAATGTTATATGATACTAAGACTAAAGATCAGGTTTAAAGAAGTGGAAGTTATATATTTCAATATTTTATTAAAGCTAAAGATTGGGATTAAAAAAGTGGAAAAGAAATTGCTGGACAAACAATTTGGATTGGAATACAAAAGAGGGAGGTATGAGGAAGTCCAGAAAATAAGTAAACTAAAAAAAACGGAAATGGAAAAGAGATATTGTTTTTAATTGTTATGCTTTTTGTTTTTATTGATGAATTGTGGTTTTTTTGTGTGTGTGTTTTTGTCATCATTTTTTTTTGAGATATGTATTGTGTATGTTTTTCTTTTCTTTATTTGTTGTTTAAAACTTTAATAAAAATTATTTATTAAAAAAAAAAAAAAACACTCTAGAGAAGGCCCAAGGTCAATCCGACGATCAGAATTTGTTTTGAGGTGGAAAATTCCCCTGGCCCAGCTGTTATTGTAACAGTTTCAAACTTCCTCTAGGGGAACACAGTAGCAGTCAGAAATTGTTGTCTTAAAATAATTAACCTTTTTTCCTATAGCCCCCCAATTCACAGAAAAGACGACAGTTTCAATCTCAATTGTTTTTCAGTCACTTTAAAACCAGGAGAAGCCAGCCAGAAATATTGTATCTTACTTGTATCTCAGTTGCAGAGTTAACTGTCAAAGAGTACTTTCAGCAACAGCGCATTTCACAGTACGGCATTCTTATTGTTCACTGGCAACCCGTTCCCAGGTTTTAAGCGGTGGATTTTAGCTTCCTTTTCTCTCTTTTTGCAGGGAAATACAGTTCAGACCTTTCCCCCCTCCTCCCCTGCAATCAGGGGGGGAAATCGCTTGTTTGATGTTAGAATTATAATCCTTTTCAAACGCCTTTCAAGGTTTCCGCTACAAGTTCATTGCTTTACTCCATTTACAAAGAACGGAAGGCAGACTTCCTGTTTATGCCTCTCCGCTTCGGTGCTGAATTACTTCTTTGTTCCTTCGTTTCCCAAATTAGCCTACTCACGGATCGTTTTGTAGCCAAATTGTCCCAGGAAAAGGCAGCGCTCCCCGGCAACGGCTGTGCGGCTCCGCTCCCCGGAAGAACCAGTGGACTCACAGCACCGCGCCACTTCCCGCTCCGCTCCGGAACCCGTAATCGGGCTCCTTTGCAAGTTGGGGGCGCAAAGGTGCCCGCCGAGTCCCACGGTCACAGGCTTCACCCGCCTGTGATTTTTGAAGGGTCCCAGCTTCGCCGTAGCGGTGCAGACCCGATTTCCGCAGAGCCGGTCCCCTCTGAGTCAGAGGGAATCCGCCATTTCCGATGGCGCCACCCCGGAAGTCCCTGTCGTCCCCTTCTCCTTGTGCCCTCCATCTTTCCCAACATCAGGGTCTTTTCCAGGAGTCTTCACTTCTCCGGAGGTAGCCAAAGTCTTGGAACCTCAGCTTCAGGATCTGCCCTTCCAGTGAGCACTCAGGGCTGATTTCCTTCAGAATGGAGAGGTTTGATCTTCTTGCAGTCCATGGGACTCTCAAGTATCTCCTCCAGCACCAGAATTCAAAAGCATCCATTCTTTGGCGATCAGCCTTCTTTAGGGCCCAGCTCTCACTTCCATACGTCACTACAGAGCTTTAACTATACGGACCTTTGTTGGCAAGGTGATAACTACCTTCTAATAATGGTAGTGCTTCCTGTTGTAGGACATGACCAGGAAAGCAGCATCTCCTGAGAGCGAGGAGGACGGTGACGAAGACCTGGAGGAAGGAGATGCCACTAGGTCAGACTCTGGCAACGCTGGGGAAGTTGAATCCCTTCACGGCAAGCTTCAGGTGTTCACGGTCAGTTCTACGGAATATCTCAAGCTCTGCGGGAAGCTGATCAGAGACGGCCAGCCTCAAGTCTTCCACGACCCCCAGGACACAGGTATGCTTCTTCCTCAGGAGAACAGGCTGCCCTCTGCAAGTCAGATGCACAAACCAGCGGCCGTTTGCGGTGGGTGGACCCCATCCTCTGTCGACACGCAGGGCACCTCTTCCGGAAGGTGAAGGAAGGTGCGCCTGCTTTGCGTTGATTCCCCGTTTTCCTTTTATCCAGAAATACCGGCCTTGAAGGCGTTTGCCATGCGCACAGCCTTGAAGCACAGCATGGGGGCGGCAGAGAAGCTCATCCGGGACTTGGCGCGGGTCCTCAGCCAAATAGTGAATTACCTGACCAGCCAGAGGGCAGAGGTGAGCAGGGGCCAAAGGCTTGGGAACGGGCTTCTTCATCATGAAAACAGCAGTGGTTAGAAGCTTGCCTGTAGTAGAACAGAGCACCAAAAGTTGTATTTCCCACCGTAGGGCTTGTCCACACTTCTGCTGGAGCCATGCCCAGGAAGCTGGCGTTTGCGTGGTTGTCCCCTTGCTGCGCTCTGCTCTTTAGCGATGGATCGGAACAAATGGCGATCAGGGGAGAACCTGAATTGCCCTTTGCTCCAATTGCGTGCCGAAGGGAAGCCGTGGGACAAGTGCATATGAGCCCTTAGACATCATGCTTGCTTCCGGCATTCTCCTGTGGCTCAGGCTTCAATCTGAGCCAGAGAAGAACTGTCTTAGGCCTGGTGTCCTACTACAGTGCTACCTCGGTTCTCGAACTTAATCCGTTCCAGGAGTCTGTTTGACTCCTGAAACCATTCGAAAACCTAGGCGCGGCTTCCGATTGGCTGCAGAAGCTTCCTGCACTCGCGTTGGACGTTTGGCTTCCGAAAAATGTTCGCAAACCAGAACACTTACTTCCAGGTTTGCAGCATTTGGGAGCCACTTTGTTTAGGAGCCAAGCCGTTCAGGATCCAAGGTCCCACCGTATAACCAGGCGCTGAGCATAAGGCGCGCTTCCCCTCCTTTCCTGCCCTGCCGCAGAATCATTTGCGATGAGAGGCGCATTCTCCTGCAGCCAGAATAGTGTCCGAGGCCAGGAGGTGGCAGGTGTGAGCGGAAGCCTGGTGGGGAGAGAGAGAAGACTCTGCTGCATTACCAGTTAAATAATAATAGTCTGGGGTCCAGCAGCCTCCCATTGGGGCTCAGGCTTCAGGAAAATGAATTGCTTTTTCCCAGAGCTGGCTAAGGGAGTTCCCTCCACCCCTTGGTAGGCCCTCTGTGGCCTGATCCTGCAGCCAGGCTCTTCCACTGTTCTTAGGAGGGCTTGGAAGAAGGGTGCAAGGTGACTTGTGCCCTGCAAGGGTGCAACTCGTCATCCTGAACCTGCGGAGTCGCCTCTCGGTTGCTGCTTACGGAGAGCCCTGCAGCCTCTCATATCCTTATACCAGCTGCACTGGCTCCCAGTGGAGTACAGGATCAGGTTCAAGGTGCTGGTTTTAACCTTTAAAGCCCTATACGGCCTAGGACCCTCGTACCTACGGGACCGCCTCTCCTGGTATGTCCCACAGAGGACCTTACGATCTTCAAACAAAAACATCTCGGAGGTCCCGGGCCACAGGGAGGTTAGGCTGGCCTCAACCAGAGCCAGGGCTTTTTCGGCTGTGGCCCCGATCTGGTGGAACGCTCTGTCACAAAAGACTAGGGCCCTGCAGGACTTGGCATCTTTCCTGCAAGACAGAGCTGTTCCACCAGGCCTTTGGCCAAGGCACAGTCTGACCCCCTCCTTTGGTAATCCTCACAGAACTCTAGCCCAGTGGTTGCCATTAATTTGATTTTGAATTGATTTTAGAATGAATTGATTTTAGAATGTATTTCAATTAATTGATTGTAATTTTATGTAAACTGTGTTACTTTTACTGTTAGCTGCTCTGAGCCTGGCTTCGGCTGGGGAGGGTGGGATATAAATTTAAAACTATTATTATTATTACTACTACTACTACTACTACTACTACTATTATTATTCCTCCCCAGACCGACATCCAGGAGAGTGTCTGGCAGTCCCTGCAGCAGCTCCCCAGCCTCCTCCAGGAGGCCATCGACTGCAGCCTCCGCGAAACCCAGCACTGCTTGGAAGGCCTTCTCTTCGCCAGCCTGGGCAAGGGCACCAGCCGGGCCAAGGAGCTGTGCCAGGACGTCGTCAGGAGCTGGGGCTGCCCTGTAAGTCAGAGCTCCTCTCTTCCTGAAAGCCTTTTGTGCCACAGAAAATGCACGGAGGGAGACCAAGCTGGTGTTGCCCGGCGTTTTAAAAGACGAAGCCCTTTTTCAATAACAAGTCCCAGGTCTTGAGGCAACAGCAACCACATTTATTGTGTGTTCGTTTCTGCTTAAATATGATGTTGATGCAGAGCACTCGCCCCCCCCCCCAACAATAATGCTTAAATGGCCACCCACTCCACCCACCACTGACTTAGGGGAGTCCAAAGTATCTTGGGCGCCAGGCTGGGTAAGGCTGCTAGAAGCAAGGCAGGAGGGAAGTCAGAAGCCTGGCCTCCGCTGCTGGCTTAATTCCTCCATTTCTATGATCTAGCGGGATACAGACCCTCTTCTAAAGAATAATATACAAAAGCCAGCCCGCTTTGAAAGGGCACGATCCATCAGGATCCTTTTAGCACTTGCCGGAATGGGTGGGCATCCCGTGACGCTGAATGTTGGGAGATTCGGGAGAGATAAAAGGGAGTCCTCCTTGCAGCACTGCTAGGTGTGGGGGGCAGCGACGCCTCTGAATATCGGTTGGTGGAAAGTGCAGGGATCTTGGGCTCAGATCCTGCTCGTGTTGGGATACTGCCAGGGAGACAAAGGCCAACATGCCTCCACGTCGTCTCCGGATGATCCATCAACCTCTGGTAGAACAGCAGTATCAGTCAATTAGCGACACGAGCCTCAGACATAGTAGTCGACGTGCCAGGACTCGTGCACGCCCTTTTCGCAGAGCGAAAGATGCACCCAGGAGAGCAGCATATATACAGCTTTATTCAGTGTTGGTCAGAACAAAGGGAAAACATGACTGCCTGCCTGCCTGTTGAGGCAACAGAGTGAAAACGAAAGCTATATACAAAACAGAAACTTCCTGTGAGCCGGATGTACTCAGGCTGTGACTCACGACAGCCTGTCCCCTTTTAAGGTGGAACGGCAATATCCTAACATCTCGCTGGTGTCCCACAGTGTTCAGCCACCAGAAGAACAGGATGCTGGATTGATGGGCCATTGGCCTGATCCTGCAGGCTCTCCTTGCATCTCCTGCTCCTTTCTGTGGGGCTTAGGCAGCAGAGCCCAGAGTCTCATGTGCCCAAACTGGGGGTGGGGAAGGGGAGCCACGCAAGGAAGCGCCCACCCCTCGCCTCCTTGGTTTGGCGACTGCCAGGGAAGGCTTCCATTTGTGTCCTTGAGTTGGTCGTCTGATTCTGTGGTTCCCCCCATGCTTGTGATTGCTCTGCCTCCTGAGAACATCCCCGCCCAGCCTTGGCCAGCTCTGCTTTTCAAGCCACGCTCTCTGTTCCTCCCTTTGCAGGTGAATGGCTACCCACATGCCACGTACCGGGCCGTCTGCAACCACCACGGTCTCTACGCCTCTCCGACCCTCAACTGCGTGGTGGATTTCAACAGCCACCTCGCCAAACCGATCTGGGAGACCCTGGCTGTGACGTGGAACAAGGTCTTCAAGTACGTCCCATTTTGCTCGGGGCAGCCGTGGGAATGAGGGGCCAGGCTAGGTGTCCTCATAGTATTAAAAGAGACGCGGATGGCGCTGTGGTCTAAACCACTGAGCCTCTTAGGCTTGCCGATCAGAAGGTTGACAATTCAAATCCCCACGTCGGGGTGAGCTCCTGTTTCTCTGTCCCAGCTCCTGCCAGCCTAGCAGTTTGAAAGCACACCAGTGCAAGTAGATAAACAGGTACCGCTGCGGCGGGAAGGTAAACGGCATTTCTGTGTGCTCTGGTTTCCATCATGATGTTCCGTTGCACCAGCAGCGGTTTAGTCCTGCTGGCCACATGACCCAGAAAGCTGTCTGTGGACCAACGCCTGCTCCCCGGCCTGAAAGCGAGATGAGCGCCACAACCCCAGAGTCGCCTTTGACTGGACTTAACCGGCCAGGGGTCCTTTACCTTTTTTTGGCGGGGCCCCGAGGGTCATCCACTTCAGTGCAGGGATCACAGCTCAAGAATCCCTGGCATGTGGCCATTTGACCTCTGCTTGGAAAACCTCCAAGGGAGGCGAGTCCGCAACCTTCTGAGCAACTCCATTCTGTCATCCTCGGCATTTAGATACCGCTTCCTATGTGAATTCCCAAAGTGGTTAACATAAAACGCATAAATCAGAGAGGGAAAATGCATGTGCCGCAATTTAAAAATGAAGCATGCCAAGAAGTACATTGGTAGAAACAGAGAAGCCGTCAATGAAACATTCGGCTAAATATCAATAAATAATGAAACGGAGCAGGATGTGGGTGAACCTTATGCCTGGGGGGGGGCCTGTACCCCTCCTCCTCCTGCACACAAAATCTTCCCTCCCAGCCCAGCCCGCCCTCATTGGCCGCCTGGCCTGGGCACACAGTTCTGAGGCCAGCTCCAATGGCACTGTTAGAAAAGGGCTGGCTGGCTGAGTTGCAGCCCTGGAGGGAAGAGCTGCATGGCTGCTGCTGGGGGGGGGGGCAGCCAGAGACACCCCTACGAGGGTCTCAGGGGCCAAAGGCTGCGTGTACGGGGCTCAGGGAGGCCAGGGATGGGGAGGTGGGCTCTGTGCCCTTGCAAGGGGACCCGGAGGAGGGAGCTGGACCAGCCGGCGCTCTCCCAACCCTTCTGCGCCTGTGCTTCCTCCTAGCTGTCAGCTGAAAGACGCCATTCAGGGCTTCGCTGCTGCCATCTTGGACAAGCTGAGGCGCTTCTTCAAAGACCTCCGGAAGAAGCTCTGCAAGCACAGCGGGGTGGCAGCTGCAATACACACCATTCGCCGCCAGCAGATGGAGGCGGCTTCTGCGAGGGTGAGGCTGGGGAAGTGGGGGGGCTCTCTGCCTCGGTTGCCCCTGAGGTCTGGGGGCGTTATTAGGTTGTGTTTGTGTGTTGTTGTTTCATTCTTGTTTTTATTCTGTATTTTGTGTTTTTACGCTGCGAACCGCCCTGAGATCTACAGATGAAGGACGGTGTGCAAATTTAATAGTTGTTTTTTAAAGTCAATTTGCAAAGACGTTGGGGTCCTGTGGGGTGAGTGGTGGGTTTGTGAGGGACCACGTGGGTCGGAAGGCTCATCCAGACTCCTGAACCCTTCCCTCAGTTGCTCAACTTCACCCTGAGTCTGATGGATTACATCACTGAAAGGCAGAGGAGCTTTTCCCGCATCCTGACGCCAGAGATCCGGACACGCATGGAGCCAGCATATGCAGGTGAAGAATGGCATAGAAGGGCCGGGGGGGGGGTGCTGCTGGCCGAGATGGCTCCTGCTCTGCCCCCCCCCCCACGGTGGGAGGCACCTGGAAACCGCAGGAGGGGAGATCAGACCCTGCTTGTGGGTTTCCCACAGGATGGGGGACTCAGTGAGCCCCTTTGGCCTGACCCAGCAGACTGCTCCTAAGCTCTTCTGTCCTTATGGGAACCCCAGGAGGAGAGAGTGCTCAAAGCGTGATGGGCAGGGGGAGTCTCTGGGGAAGCTGGAAGGGCTTTGCAGTATGGTAGGATCCAGTCCAGCAAGGAAGGCTTGGGGGGGCAGAGTTGGGGGGTCCCAGATGTCAAGGCTCTGCGTTGTGCTGATGTGCCACGTGCTTCCCCTCCAGCTTGCACCCAGATGTCTGGCCCCGGCTACTTCCAGCGGATGAAGGCCTGCATGGAGCATTTCATCAGCACAGAGAAACACACCATCTTCGATTCGGCTGCAAACTTGCTGCAGGAGCGGCTGAAACTGCTGCAGGTGAGTTTGTGGGCCATTCCAGAGAGCAGAGAAACCTTAGTGGAACTTTCTGGGGGTGGCGCCTTGCCTTGGCGCTCTCCTCTTTCCCTGCGGGTCTCAGACCGATAGGATGATCAGTGCCACGCTCCCTTCTCAGTCGGCAGGAAACCGTAATTCCAGGGCCATTGTATTGTAAAGTGGGGTGGGAACCCGTGGTTATTTTATTCTGTTTTGTGCCAGGGCCGCAGGATTCCCCCCATGTCTCTCTGTGGGAAGGAAAGCCCCGTTTTGCACACAGGTGGTTCTGGTGCCCCCCCCCCCCGCGCTCAGAGCGGGGCAGGCAGTAGAAGGAGCAAGTGGTGGTGGGGGCTTCTAGGGCCAACTGCCTAGTGTGGCACTGTTTCCTTTCAGCAACACATCGGAGCAAGGTTTCAGGATTTGGCCCAGGAGCTGCAGACATCCCTGAAAATGCAGCTGGAGCCTCTGCTGAAGCCTGTCCAGAAGAACGCAAAGATAACTTCAGGTACAGCTGCCCCCCCAACCATGGCACCCCCTCCCCTCAGAGGAACATGCAGCCTTGACGCTCCAGGGGAGGCAAGTTTTAGAAACTCGTCTTTCCAAGACCATCTTCCGTTGAATCGGACCGTTCTCCGGGAAGCGCAAGTGGGCGGCTATAATGTGGGGTTTCTGTGACTCATCTTGACCTGGGCTGTGTCTTACGATGCCCTGCTGTGTCGCTGGCATCTCGGGTCGTCTTCTGGGCATCTTGGGTCTCCATCTGGGCATCTTGGGTCTTCTTCTGGGCATCTTGGGTCTCCATCTGGGCATCTTGGGTCTTTTTCTGGGCATCTTGGGTCTTCTTCTGGGCATCTTGGGTCTTTTTCTGGGCATCTTGGGTCTTCTTCTGGGCATCTTGGGTCTCCATCTGGGCCTCTTGGGTCTCCTTCTGGGCCTCTTGGGTCTCCTTCTGGGCATCTTGGGTCTCCTTCTGGGCCTCTTGGGTCTCCTTCCGGGCCTCTTGGGTCTCCTTCTGGGCCTCTTGGGTCTCCTTCTGGGCATCTTGGGTCTCCTTCTGGGCATCTTGGGTCTCCTTCTGGGCCTCTTGGGTCTCCTTCTGGGCCTCTTGGGTCTCCTTCTGGGCATCTTGGGTCTCCTTCTGGGCATCTTGGGTCTTCTTCTGGGCATCTTGGGTCTCCTTCTGGGCCTCTTGGGTCTCCTTCTGGGCCTCTTGGGTCTCCTTCTGGGCCTCTTGGGTCTCCTTCTGGGCATCTTGGGTCTCCTTCTGGGCCTCTTGGGTCTCCTTCCGGGCCTCTTGGGTCTCCTTCTGGGCCTCTTGGGTCTCCTTCTGGGCCTCTTGGGTCTCCTTCTGGGCCTCTTGGGTCTCCTTCTGGGCATCTTGGGTCTTCTTCTGGGCCTCTTGGGTCTCCTTCTGGGCATCTTGGGTCTCCTTCTGGGCATCTTGGGTCTCCTTCTGGGCATCTTGGGTCTCCTTCTGGGCATCTTGGGTCTCCTTCTGGGCCTCTTGGGTCTCCTTCTGGGCCTCTTGGGTCTCCTTCTGGGCATCTTGGGTCTCCTTCTGGGCCTCTTGGGTCTCCTTCTGGGCCTCTTGGGTCTCCTTCTGGGCCTCTTGGGTCTCCTTCTGGGCCTCTTGGGTCTCCTTCTGGGCATCTTGGGTCTCCTTCTGGGCATCTTGGGTCTCCTTCTGGGCCTCTTGGGTCTCCTTCTGGGCATCTTGGGTCTCCTTCTGGGCATCTTGGGTCCTTCTGGGCCTCTTGGGTCTCCTTCTGGGCCTCTTGGGTCTTCGCTGCTCCTGCCGTGTGTTCATGACGCCTGCCAGCTGCCTGGAGTGGGCCGTGTTCAGCCAAGTCCTACTCGGGAGTAGGCTCATTGAAATGAATGAGCCCAAGCTAGAATCATAGAACTGTAGAATTTGAAGGGATCCCTAGGGTCATCTAGTCCAACCCCCTGCGATGCAAAAACCATAGTTTAAATGTGTTCGTAGGAGAGGGAGGTAGTGGTTTGTGGGGGTTTTTGTTATGTATTTTGTGTTTCCATTTTGTGACTGCCCTGTGATCTTTGGTGCACAAACTCTGTCCTGGATGCTTTAGCTGAGATTCATGCATTGCAGGGGGCTGGACTAGATGGCTCTGGGGGTCCCTTCCTAGTCTACAATTCTATGATAATCGGTCCATAAGGGGTGAGCACCCAACCTCTGCTTAAAGGCCTCCAAGGAAGGAGAGCCCCCCACCTTCTGAGGGAGCCCCTTCCACTCTCAAACAGCTCTTACATGCAGACATTGGAGCTTTTTAACTTCAGCAGGTTTACTCTGAGTAGGACTGTGTTTCATACCACCTTATATACATAATAAACAAGCGCTAGGGAAAACAGGGTCTGTGATGTCTGGTAGCATGTTAACCTGTATTTTAAATTGGGTTGTTTTGTTTCCCCCCCCCATCATGTTTTTTACTGTGATTTTATTGGTGTTAGCTGCCCTGAGGGCGGGGTATAAATAATTTATTATTATTATTATTATTATTATTATTATTATTATTAGCCAAACGCTTGTGGGTGGGATTCTTGGCGAGGGGGCCATTTCCTGTGCCCCTGCCACACTCTTGGCCCACTTCTGTGCATGAAAAAGATTTGACGGTTGCCGATTCTTGGACGTAGTTTGGACGCCCCTGGTGTTTAGGGGATAGGGCTCTGTTTGGCCCCTAAGTCTTTGCTTGCCAGGGGAGGCTGTGGAAGACTCAGGGGAACAAAGGGGTGTGGGGTTCAGGTGGTCATGTCTGGGTTCGTGGGGCCTTAAGAGAGAGATTAACTGGATTTTTGGGTTCCTCCCCCCCAACAGAATTAATGACCATCTGCGCCAAGGTTGACAAGATTTGTAGGTGCTCCTGCGTCAGTTACATCCTTCCCTGCCCCACACAAAGAGAGGACAGTTTCCCTGAAATGAGGAGGGGCCTGCAGGGGAGTCAGGATCCCCCGAGCTCCTTGGCCACATGCATGGATGTCCGGATCGGAGCCGTCTCTCTCGCACCCTCCAGGTAAAACGAATTTAACATCCGATACCCTTTCAAATGTGTATCTGTGGGAACGAGGGTTATTGGTTTGCTTTTGTCCTGGTTTTTATTATGTATTTTGCTTTTTCTTATCTTGCGTTTTTGTGTTGTGAACTGTCCTGAGATCTGTGGGTGAAGGGTGGTGTACAAATTCAATAGGCTGAGCCTTGGGACGAACCCCAGTGGAGCCCCATCTGTGCCTTCCATCCCAAGCAGGCGCCCCTTCTCTGCCTCTGCCTGATTTTGCTTCCCCACCTGAATTCGCATTCTTTGTGTTTTGATCGGAGGGATGCTCCAGGATCTGTTTTAGGAAACAAAGCCACAGGTTAATCAGAATTTTATTTTTAAAAACGTTTCTCTACGTATGTTTACTTGTAACATAGCAACATATAACTTTGTGTAACTCACTATACAGTCGTACCTCGGTTTAAGAACAGTCCAGTTTAAGAACGATTCAGTTTGCAAACTCCACAAAACAAGAAATAGTGTCCCGGTTTGAGAACTTTACCTCGGTCTAAGACCAGAACGCGGGTGGCACTGTGGGTTAAACCACAGAGCCTAGGGCTTGCCGATCAGAAGGTCAGTGGTTCGAATCCCTGCAACAGGGTGAGCTCCCGTTGCTCGGTCCAAGCTCCTGCCAACCTAGCAGTTTGAAAGCACGTTAAAGTGCAAGTAGATAAATAGGCACCGCTCTGGCGGGAAGGTAAACGGTGTTTCCGTGCGCTGCTCTGGTTCACCAGAAGCGGCTTAGTCCTGCTGGCCACATGACCTGGAAGCTGTACGCCGGCTTCCTCGGCCAATAAATCGAGATGAGCGCCGCAACCCCAGAGTCGGCCACGACTGCACCTAATGGTCAGGGGTCCCTTTACCTTTACCTTTAAGAACAGAATCCGAACGGTGGAAGGGCACCGGCATCAGGAGGCCTCATTAGAGAAAGCGCACCTCGGTTTAAGAACGGTTTCAGTTTAAGAATGGACTTCCGGAACGGATTAAGTTCGTAAACCGAGGTACCACTGTATTACTTTCGGCACCTGCTGAGGACATTCATACTTAGACAAGCCTACTCAGATGTTTAGAAACTTTCTATGCTCCTTAATTTGTTTTAATATATACTGTTGCCCCTCAGCTCCCTCAGGTGACTCTGTACCCATATGGCTCTAAGAGGGCAGGGGAGCTCCTCCAGCCACGGCTGGGGAAGAAGCACAAAGGCCAGGCCGCAGCGCCTGGGGCAGGATGCGGCCCTGCTGGGCTCGCCTCTCGGAGGTAAGCTGCTCTAGAGGAATTCCTGGCGAGTAACAGAATCACAAGATTTTAGAGCTGGAGGGGGGAGCTCAAGGGTCCTGGAACCACAGCTAAAAAGACTCCAGCTGCAGGAACTCCTCCTTGCCCTCGAAAGGGGCCGGATCCAGGGCGCTGGACACGAGTTGCTGGTCTGCCCCGGGACTTGCTAGGAGGGCCCGGCCTGCTCTTGGGCCATTCATCCGTGTTAGTCAGGAGAGAGGAGCTAGGAGGGTGCGGAATGGAGGAGCCCCCCTTGTGTGGGACATGGAGGGTGAGGCTCCTGCTGTTTCTTGAGCTTTTCCCCACCTTGGCTTTCTCCAGCTCCAGGGGGACCATGGAAGCCAAGCCAGGGACCTCCCCCCCGGCCCCGGAGGGCTGCCAGCCGAAGACAGGCCTTCTCTTTGGAGCCCCTCAGCCCCACATAAGTGCTGCCCTGGGACCCAGGAACTCTGGTTGAAAGCGTCTTCTCGGGAGGAGGAGTCATAGTCACTATTATTATTGCTATTATTTTATTTATTTATACATACAAACCCCGCCCATCTGGCTGGGCTTCCCCAACTACTCTGGCCGGCTTCCAACAAAATATTAAAATACTGTAATACATCAAACATTAAAAGCTTCCCTAAACAGGGCTGCATTCAGATGCCTTCTAAAAGTCTGGCAGTTGTTGATCTCCTGCGGCCCTTGAACCTGCGGGCCAGGATCCCTTTTAACGGTGCAGAGTTGACCTGTGGAACTCCCTCCCACAGGATGGTCCCCAACCTGGATGGCTTTGAAAGAGGATTGGGCAAATTCATGGAGGAGGAGAGGGCTCTGGATGGGCTGCCCTTAGTCACAATGGCTCTGCCCTTCCTTCACCCTCCAAGGCAGCAGCAAAGCTTCTGAATAACAGTTTGCAGAAACTGCAGGGCAGGAGAGACGGACTCATGTGCTCAAATCCTTTTTGTTGGATGGAGAAAGATTCTCTGGGGGCTAGTCAGAGTCACTCAGAGTCCCCTTTTTTAAGGGAAATTCCCTTATTCCAAATAGGATTCCTTGCAAGGAAAGGGAAAAGTTGACAGCTATGGTCAGAGGTTTTTGGTTTTTTTTATGGCTTCAGATGACTTGAGAACCATAAACGGCAAACAAAATCCCCTGCTTTTCTCCCCCCTTGTTTTCTGCCCCTCCAGGTTCCTGTGAAAGTGGAAAGTGAGCAGTTTGCTATTCCTGGTTCTGCAGGTAAAACACACAAGAATTACTTGGCTGGAGTGAAGTGGGCGGCACAGCAGTTCCTGACAGGTGTCCGTCCAACCTCTGTTTGTAAATGGCTCCTTTCCCAGGTGCCTCCCCAGGGAGGGAAGTTTGGCAGGAGACAAGGGCTGTTGCTTGGCTTCAAGGAACTGGCCTGGACTCAAAACGAGGACTCTGGGCTTAATAGTAGTTATAAGAGGGGGGTTATTTTAAGGGGGGAGGAAGCCTTCATGGGGGGTGGAAAAAGTGCTGCCTTTGGACCGGAAGGGGCCTGTGTGCTGCCTGGCGAAGGAGAGGGGAGCCCCCCCTTGGGTTTTGGCTCAGTGGCCCATTCTAGTGCTAGAGAGCGGGGGGCCTGGGCCAGGGAGATGGTGGTGGTGATTTCATAAAAATTATGCACAGCTTGTCTGAGGGGGAAAGAAACCCGTCAAAGTTTACGGGACCCCCTCTCCTGGTCTGCCCCGCAAAGGACCTTAAGATCCATAAATAACCATAGTTTAGAGGTCCCGGGCCCTAAGGAAGTCAGACTATCAGGGCCAGGGCCTTCTCAGTGGTGGCTCTGACCTGGTGGAATGCTCTGTACCATGAGACCAGGGCCATGCATGATTTAACCACCTTCCGCAGGGCCTGTAAGACAGAGCTATTCCGCCTGGCCTTTAATTTGAATTCAGCCTGATCTTTTATTTTCCTTCTCTTCCTTCCCCCTCCTTTTATGAAGATCACCCGCTCTGGGATCCCACAGCTAATTCTCCCCTGGCCTCCTCGCTGGCCCAAGTAGGACTAATTTAGCCAGCTAGCCCTGGGGATCATCTAATGTTTATTGGATGGATTTCCCCCCTAAATTGATTTTTGATTTTATTGTTATTCACGTTTTATTCTGTATTTTATGCTGTTTTTTGTAGCATCAATTAAGTGTTTTCAATTTGTTGTTAGTTGCCGTGAGCCCAGTTTCTGAACCAGGAAGGGCGGAGTATAAATAAAAAATTATTATTATTATTAATTATTTATTTATTTATTTATTTATTATTTATTTATTATTAAAGTGGTTTGCAAAAAAAGATAAACCACTTAGAAGGTTTAACTATAATTTAATGGTGTAAAGGTATAGGGACCCCTGACCAATAGGTCCAGTCATGGCCGACTCTGGGGTTGCAGCGCTCATCTCGCTTTATTGGCCGAGGGAGCCGGCGTACAGCTTCCAGGTCATGTGGCCAGCATGACTAAGCCGCTTCTGGCGAACCAGAGCAGCGCATGGAAATGCTGTTTACCTTCCTGTCGGAGTGGTACCTATTTATCTACTTGCACTTTGACATGCTTTCGAACTGCTAGGTTGGCAGGAGCAGGGACCGAGGAACAGGAGCTCACCCCATTGCAGGGATTCGAACTGCCAACCTTCTGATCGGTCAAGCCCAAGAGGCTCTGTGGTTTAACCCACAGCGCCACCTGCGTCCCAATTTACAGCAAAAGACTAAAAACAGATTAAAACTCACACCAGCTTTCTAAGCATCTGGGCCGGCTTGTCGGAAGGATGTTTTAGCAGACACTGAAAAGAATTCGGGGGAAGCGCCTGCTTCATATCAATAGGCAGGGAGTTCCGAAGTGTAGGTGATGCCAGGAGACGGGTTGAGTCCCTGCCTGGGATTTTAATCGCCTTCAGGCCATCGCATGAAGCCTCATGCCTCCTCCTCCTCCTTTTCCAAACGGCAGGTGTCCTCCAAGTCTGGGCCAAAGAGGGAATCTGGGGGAAGCGTTTGACTCTCAGCGCGGAGAAGGAAGAGGCGAGTGGAAGCTGAAGGCTGAGGAAGATGGAGACGGGCCCTCGCCCTGCCGGTGCCCCCTGGATGACCCACTGAGGTCTCTTGGGTTGGAAGCCTCCCGGTTCCAGAGGGACCTTGCAGGAGTTTCCTGCAGAAGCTGCCAAGGCCATTATTTCCCTCCCCAGGGTGTGTGTGTGTGTGTGGCTCTTTCTCTGCATTTGACAACCCGGAGCCGAGAGCCACGTTGGCAAAGCAGAGACAGACACGAGAGCGGGCAGGGGGGCCTCGTGCAAGTTCACGGCTGCCAAGCTGGATCATGCCCACCCCCAATGCAGATATTGCAAGATAAATCTTGCAGAGCCCCTCCCTGCTTTATTTAGAGCTTCTGTGGCGTCTTCTGGGGGAAAGAAGTTGGGCAGGCTGACCTTCATCACTCAACGCAAAATAATGATCTTGGCGTGGAGTTGTGTCTGTGGAATTAGTGTTTGGGATGGCAGGGGGGTGTTTGCGGGGGCAGCTCTGCGTTGGGAGTGCAGGAGGAGCTCCTGGGCAGCTGTTAGCCCCCTGATCCCAGCTGCCCCCCTCTTGCGGTCAAAGGGTGAAGCGAACGAGCCCTCTCTCCCTCCTCACTGCTAGGATGGCGCAGGGTTTCTCCTGCCTGCCCTGTTTTTCAGGAGCTGCCCTTGCAGGCCGAAATGGGTGGCAGGGAAGGAGCCCTGGTTCTCTTGCACCTTTGCCGGGGGGGGGGGTGGTCCTGTGTTTTGCCCTCTACAAGCAGCTACAAAACCTTCTGGTCACTGTCCCACCAACACCTCCCCTATTTGAATCTCCTGTCTTTTTTGGGTCTCAATGAGGGAGATCCACACACTTACCTTGGTTGGTTTTTCAGCAATCCCTTCCTTCCTTCCTTCCTTCCTTCCTTCCTTCCTTCCTTCCTTCCTCTCTCTCTCTCTCTCTCTCTCTCTCTCTCTCTCTCTCCAGCCTGCAGAGAAGGCATTCTGACCAGAGGAAGCCTTAAGGACTCTCGATTTCCCGCTTGCCTTTCTCACTGCTTTTCCTCTCAGCTTTGCCCTACAGACCCTTTCAGGGGTTTGTCTGCCTGGCAGCTGAGTAGAGTTTCTTTCTTTCCAAAGCCACGTGCTCTTGGGAAAGATTTACACCGCAAAGTGCTCCTTAACTTTTGTGGCTGTCAGCCTCTTTCTGTTTGCAGGGCTCCCGTCGCTCCCCATTGCCATTTTTCTGGCATCCTGCACTTCTGTCTCTGCCTCCTTGTGCTTCTAAAACAAAAGTTCTAAGAATTCCCTGGCTAGTTAACTGAGGGTCAGCAACTGAGCAGCCCAGTGGGGGGTGGGAACCACGATTGGAGTTTATTATTATTATTATTATTATTATTATATTACTACTACTATTTGTATCCCACCTTTTCCCTAACAGAGATTCAAGGTGGTTTACAGAGTAAATCTACATTATTTTGAAAGTTGCATGAAGTTTTTCATTAAATGTTCGATGCTTGACAGAACTGACCACATTATTCGGCTCTTTGGGGCATCGGGTTCCAGATTAAACTTCCTGGGAGAAACGGCACCCAAAGCCCTCACCCAGACTTTGCTCTGCCCTTTCCAGGTACAGGTCTGGGCTTTCCAGGAATGTGTGCTAGCGGGTTTTGTTTCTGTTTTTGTCCTGGTACTTTCCCTGGGAAAATCCATATTTCACCATGAATTGGAGCCCACAGCAATCCGCAGGAAGCCCATTTGCCATTTGCTCCGATTCAGTGGTAAAATGCCGATTTTCCTGGGGAAAGCACTGGAGCAAAAAAGAAACCGCTCAGACACAGACCTGGGAAGGCCAGACCTGTTCCTAGAAACAGGGCACAAAAGGGAGTCTGAGGAGCTCAGATATGTGATTCAGGACATTTACAGGACTAATAAAGCATGTTTAGTAACCATGAATGTCTGCTGCGTGGTTCTTGGTCCCCCCAGGCCCACCTTGTCTGGGTGTGAATCAGGCCAGAAGCGGTGGGGGTTGGCGATGGGGGCACCCATGCTTCTCCTGCTGGCACCTTAAGGAGAGAAAAGGTGGTGGCGAAAGCAGTTGTTCCAGAACAAGGTTTTCTTCTTGACTTAAACTCAGTGCAACAGGTGAAACAGGTTCCCTGATCTGGATACAGTAAGGAGTGTGGAAACCTACAGAGTCCAAAGGAAGCAGTTGGCAGAGTCAAGGGCTGGGGAGTTTATAGAATAGTAGAGTCGGAAGGGACCCCAAGGCTCATCTAGTCCAGCCCCCAAGTGTGCTTGTGTTACTCGTACCAGAGGACTCAAGTGTGTCAATCTCCTGCCAGAATTTATGACTCCTTTACTTCCCAAACAGTTCCATTTCACCCGAAGGGACCGAGCTACCAAGCTAGAGGTCGCATTGGGCAAATCAGAAATATATAAAAGTGCACCAGTTCCCCCTCCTTCTCCCCAAGCAGTCTTGAAGAATGATGTAGAATATAGTCCTACGAGGACCATCTTGGTACTGAGCATGAAAGCACACTGAACATACTCAGAGACTGGTCCTCTCCAACCTTGGCATTGATGTCAAAGGTTGGCATTGTTCATGGCCTCCCCAGACCCAGTTTTGGGGTGCCCCCATGAGCAATGGGCTGGTGGTGCTGAGATCTAGATCAGGCATAGGCAAACTCGCCCTCCCGATTGCATGGAGCCGGACAGCCCTCCAGATGTTTTGGGACTACAACTCCTATCATCCCAAGCTAACGGGACCAGTGGTCAGTGAAGATGGCAAGTGATGTCTGAAAACACCGAGAGGGCTGAGTTTGCCTATGTGTGACCTAGAGGCTACAGCATCAGGATGTCTCTTGGAAACAGCAGCCACCTCAGTGCTTCATCCTCTCCTCTGCCTGGGGGTGGAACAGCTTCAGTCCAAACGCATAAAGGAAGGAATCTGCGGGATGGGTCCAGGGGAGGGGAACTGTTGTCCCCCCATCATAGCTTGTCAGGTTTAAGTGTTTTTGTTAACTGCTTAAGACTTTGCAATGTTAATATGTGACCTGTCCCCACCCCAGACACCAACACCCAGGAGAAGGTGAAGGCCTGATCTTGATGGCCCCCATCCTGCGGGGGTTAGTGGCTGCTGGCTGGCTGGCTGGCTGGCTTGTTCTGAGCCTATGGAGAGGCAAGGGCCAGGGCAGCTCAGAAAGACCCCCAGGAAGAAGAGCTTTCTGACACTGAGTGGAGTGGACCCCCTTGGACGAGGTTGGGCTCTCCTTCCTTGGTAAGCAGAGGCTGGATGTCCCATCTGTCATGTGTGATCTGGTTGAGATCCCTGCATTGGGCAACATATGATATAAAACATTCTGGGTAGAAGTTCCATTCCCCTCTCAGTATTCATTACTTTGTAGGGACAGTATGAAAGGGACCCAAGGATGGAATCTCTGAAAGAGAATACTGTTAAAGACTGTGTTATGTACTGAGTTGAATAGGATCCAAAATGCAGCAGTCTGATTGGTCGTAGAACAATAGGATTCAGAATGGAGCAGTCTGATTGGT